TATAAACATGTATATTATATGTTTATGTTCACACAGCATATACAGTTTTTGTGCTCTCACTTTTTATGTAACACACATTTTCCCCATATTGTTATGAACTCTTTATTAAGTAGCATTTTTAATAGGTTCATACTATTCTATCCTGTGGGTCTTCTGTAATTCACCAACTTCTACCCCTTTTGCTGGACAGTGGGTTTATTTCCATTTGTTATTAGAAGGAATAATATAATAAACAACCAGTTGGCAGGGGAGGCAGCTATGACGTGGATGGGCTTCCCACTAGCCCTCCGTGTTGGGGGAAAAGGTCAGATCTTTTGAAGAGGAGAAGATGATAAAGGCGAATGAATGAAGGTGGTGGTACTGGAGGTGTTAAGAACATAGGCTTTTAATCTTGGCTCCATCACTTCTATGTAACCTTAGGCAACTTAACCTGAGCCATTTGTAAAACTGGGATAACAACAGAGTGTTGGTTATTCAGATTAAGTGAAAGGAGGCACATAAAGTATGACATCTGGCACATAAGAAGTCCTCAGTGACTGAGATAAAAGTAACCTTCAACATCATCTTCATGCCCACAGCTTTTTCTGAAAGAAAACAACCTCGTTCATTCATGCACGCACATATCAAACATGTATTGAGCCCCCAGTGCTCTCTGTTCTCTAGAAGCTCTTGGTCAGCAGGGGGGATAGAGAGCTCATGAGCTGTTACCAATTATTTTAAAGGTGCCCAGTTGGAGGGCAAAGATTTCTTAGAAGAGGTACTGCTCAAATTGAATTCGGAATGTGCAGGCACTGGTGAGCAAAGCTGATAGAAAGACAAACAGACACTGGAAGCAGAGGGAGCCCTGTGTGCAGGCATAAGAATGCACTGAGGGATGGCAAGGAGTTCGGTGGAGCCTGAGCCAAGGTAGGAGCTCGTGGGCAGGGGCTGGGAGATGATGCCGAGAGGTGGGACCTCGTGGCTGGTTAGTGAGTCTGAAGGTGACAGAGCCTCCAGAGCCTCAAGCAGAGAATGGCCAGTCTGGTTTTTCTTAGAGAGATTTCAAAGAGTGGAAGCGTCAAATGCTCTGGGCACTTCTAAACCATGTTGCTGTATTGCTTTTGAAAAGAAATGGGTCATTTTACATCCCCCCCCCCCTCCCGCCGCAGCGACGGCTGCTCTCACCACACTTCCTCCCAGGAGTCCCTTGTTTCTTGGAACCTCTCTTCCTGTGGTTCCTGTCGACAGCTCTCCCGTCTCCTCCCTGCAATGGCTCCGTCGCAGGCCCTCTGCTCCCCCTCCCTCCCTGGTCGGATGCAGTCCCCAGTGTCCTGTCTTGGTCCTCTTCTGTCCTTTCGTGAGGTCTTCACTGCCTAGGCTGCAACTCCACCTCTGGGCAGAAGGCTCCTGGCCCATCCTCTACACAATCCGGCAACACACCGAGTACCGCCGCCTGGAAGCCCCCCCACCACCACCGCAACCCCTGCAGGCATTTTCCTCTTGACTTTCCTAAGAGATATCTCCTCTTGATCCCCTAACTGTGTCAACAGCACCGCCCTCCTCTCCGTCATCCAGATGCTAACCTCCAGGTGATCCTTGGCTTGCCCCCCCACCCGCCACAAACCCCAGGCCAGGCTCCCATTCTCACCTGCCTCCACCCTCCATTTCCAGTTTTGCAGCCACAATTCTTTCCCCGGCAGTTAGGATGACTTGACAAATCAGCAGTCTGACCTCAGCCTCTCTTCCCTGGGCACAGAGTCCCACGGTCACTGCTGGCACACCCAACTTCCTGAAACACCACACTGGATCCTGTCATCCCTCCCTTAAAACCTTCAACACCTGGCTGGTGTGGCTCAGTGGATTGAGCCTCGGCCTGCAAACCAGAGGGTCACTGGTTTGACTCCCAGTCAGGGCACATGCCTGGGTTGCAGGCCAGGTTCCCAGTAGGGGGCGCGCGAGAGGCAACCACACATCAATGTTTCTGTCCCTCTCTTTCTCCCTCCCTTCCCCTCTCTCTAAAAATAAATAAATGAAATCTTAAAAAAAAACCAATCAATCAAACAAAACAAACAAACAAAAAAACCTTCATCAGAGAGCATAAAGCCCTGGCCTATACTGGCTGCCACGACCTGCCCCTTCTCAGCTCTGTGGCCCAGCACGCTCCTCCATGCCTTCCACGCCTCAGCAGGCTGAGTTACTTGACATTGCAGAAAATTCCTTAAGAGGCAAGAGTATCACTTTAAAAAAAACCAACTTTCTAACTTCCCCCAAGCATAAAGTTTTATACACAGAAGGAACGGAGATGAGACCAGGGCCAGGCAGGTAACAGCTGTGTAAAGAGGGTGACTGGGGCAGCCTAGCGATCGTGGGATAGTTGGGGCCGTCACATGGAAACTGGCTGCCACACAGGGATCCCTGAATGGGCAGCCCACCTGCCACCTTACCGCACGATCACTAGTTGCCTGGGTGCAGAAATGGGGTTTCAGTTTGTTTTAAAACACCGTGCGGCTAAGATTGTGTAATGGGGCTTCCATGTGGCTAAGGGTCCGCAGTCACAAACTTTGACTTCGGCCAATCCTGTGTGCTGACATTCAGGACAGTGGGCTAGGTCTTTGGATTTAGGAGGGTGGCATGGGATCGAGGGGGAGGGTGGTAAGGAAGCAGAGGGAGAGGGTTTAGATTTTGTCTAAGAAAGAAATCTTTGGTTTCACTTGTATGTGGAATCTAAAGACAAATATAAATGAACAAATAAAAGAGAAACAGACTCATAGATACAGAGAACAGACAGAGGGTTGCCAGAGGGGAGGGCAGTTGGGGGACCAGGTGAAAAAGGTGAAGGGCTTAAGAAGTACAAACTGGCAGTTACAAAATAATCATGAGGATGTGAAGCACAGCACAGGCAATATAGTCAATAATATTGTAATGACCATGTATGGTGCCAGGTGGGTACTAGAAGTATTTGCGGAACACTGTGTAAAGTATAAATTGTCTAACCACTAAGCTGTACACCAGGAAATAATATTAATACAAAATAATATTCATTATAAACTGTAACTGAAAAAATTTAGTTTTTAAAAAGTGAAGTGTATGCAGATGTGGAAAAGGATAGTTAAGAATGTATAAAATGTACAATTATCATTTCCCTTTTTTGAAAATGTACACAATTGCTTTGTAGGTTCCCCTGAACCTCCTTGGGAGAAGTGAGAGGAGTATGGGAAAGGAAACATACTAGTAGATGCTCAATAAATATTTGTTGAGCATATTAAAAAAAAAGAAAAGAAATCTTTAACCAAGTAAGCTCTCAAAAACCTAAACAGGCAACTACACAAATGGGAGAACACCTCACTGCTGGGACTGACAAAGCAGGGGGCTAACTGACCACCTGGAAGGAAGGTGGCAGCTTGGAGACACAGGTGCTACTTGGACACAAAGCAGGTGAGGACAGCCATCAAGGCTCCTTCTGGCTCTGGATTCTCAGACTCTGTAGAAAATTCTCCCGTATCAGTCTTCCTACATTGGGCCTGGTACCCAGTTAGTATTTAATATACAAGGTGGGCAAAAGTAGGCTTACAGTTGTAATACAAGGAAATAATACAATAATTGATAAATAATACAAGAATAAACTGTGTTTTGTGTATTCACAACTTTTGAAAACCTACTTTTGCCAGCCCCTGTATATTTGTGGCGTGAGGCACTTAATGACAGAGGTGCTCACATGTATGTGTTTTTTCTGGGGTTGAGGGTGGATTGTTACTTGAAGTGGGTTAATCAACAGTTTTCACTGTCCTCCAAAGTATCTTCCAAGAATGGTTTTGTTCAAGAACTCTTTTTTTTTTTTTTTTTTACCTCCAGTAAGTTGAAGACCAAAGAGGCACTGTTGGATATCTGATGGCTCATATTCTCAGTGGTAATGCTATCCTAGAACAGAGGCGATTCATACTGTCCATTTAGAACTCCAGTTAATGGAAATAAATGCATTACAGAGGAAAACACCATTTGGTTGATTTGAACTTACACTGTTACTAGTTAAACAAAGTAGAAGATGAAAGTTTGTTTAAACCATTGACATTTTTGATATCTACAGCAAAAGTGCCTTTACATATGAAGGTAGGGCATATGTCAGAAAATGGGTGGGTTCTAGTCTCATCAGTTGGAATACTAGGGATGAGACTAGGGCATAGCAGGACCTGGCTTTGTGGTTATTCACATAGACTTTTTTCAAAAGGCCCAACACTTTCCCAATTTTTATTCAAATTATTAACCAAGGGCATCTCAGGAGGTTCTGGACGCTGTATGGGATCGTTGCCCTTCCTGCATAAAGGGTGGAGCCCTCTGCCCCCATGGAAGATGAGGTTTCGGAGGAATGCTCTAGAGTGGTTCCTGGGGTCAAAATGCAAAGCACCACATAAATGTTAGGTGAAGAGCCTGAGACTACAGGTCAGGATCCCTCCGCTTCTACGGGGGAGGCCTGGGTCACAGGTCCAGGCAGCTGCAGCTTTGGAATCATATGAACTTAAACGCTCATACCTGCATTTTGAAGATGCAGTAATTCCAGAAAGCAGCCTAAATAGTGGGGTCCTAAATTTCTGAGCCAAGTTGTTCAAAGGGCTCCCAGGAAGTTCGGGAGGCTTATGGATGAGATTATTCGCCCACGTCTGAGATTTCTACGTTCCCGCAGGCAACTCTGATTCCACTTGTGGCTCAGAAAGAGGGGGCCAAGGTTCACGAGAGACGCGGCCTAACACGAGACCCGCGGACGCTCAGGCCTGGAGAGGCACTCGGTCCTCCCATCCCGAGGGGACCCAGGTTCCCTGGGGCGCCTTTCCCACGAACAGGGACCCGAGCCCTCGGTGGGGGGACGACGCTCCCCAGGCCCCCATCCCCGGGCCCTACGCGTCCGCTTTTCCGCAGCGAGCGCGCCAGGTGCACAGGTGTGGCCTGGACACCAGGTACAGTCAGCATTAGCGCCGGGCCGTCTTTCCTACCGCGTGCCCTCGCTCAGGTCGGGTTGCCCTGCCTACCTGCGTGTACAGCGCGGCCACCGCCATGTGCGAAAGAGGCAGGGCAGCTCGGGGCCTGGGCCTGCAGCTTTGAGGCTCCGTGGCAGGTAGCCGTGCGCGGGAACCGTATCAATAGAGCTGGGCCATCTTGCGGGAGTTTTCCAGCGATCCACAAACTTTCCCGAGGGCTCTCGGCTTGGGAGGAGAGAGGGGCGGATTGGTCCCTCCCTGGCGACTCCTCGTCGCGATTGGCTGGGGCGGGGGCGGGGCAGGGCGGGACTCTCCTCCAGGTAAGTGTCCAGAGGGGTCCACCTGGCGGGGGCTGAGCGCTGCGCCTAGAACCTGCGGGAGCGGGACGCACTGACTCTCACGGGAGGAAACAGGTGTGTTCTGAGAGCTGTCCCGGCCCATATTTCAGCTCCCTTAAGTCGCAGCTTGTATACGGGAAAGAACAGAGGGATATGACCATTTCTTACAGAAAATCCAAGAGAATTACCAATTTTTAGAACTTGTGGGAGTTCAGCCAGGTGACCATATTCAAAATCAAATATAAAAATGAATAACGTTCCTTTATATCAGCAATAACCCTTTAGAAAATACGATAAAAAGTTAAATAAGGCAGTGACTGGTGTGGTTCAGTGGATTGAGCGCCGGCCTGAGAGCAGAAAGATCACCGGTTTGATTCCCAGTCAGGGCACAAGCCTGGGTTGTGGGCCAGGTCCCCAGTAGGGGGCGCAGGAGAGACAACAGCACAATGATGTTTCCTTCTTTCTCCTTCCCATACCCTTTCTAAAAATAAATAAATAAAATCTTTGAAAAAAGTAAAATAGGAACAAAGTGTCCAGAAATTACTAATAAAAATGCACTTGGCCTTTGTGGAAAAAATGCTTAAAGTTCTCTTCAAGGGCATAAAAGAAGGCCTGAGTAATACATGTCATTTTCACGGGTGAGAATATTTAATATTGTACATGTGTCAATTCTACACAAATAAATAACATATAAGCCTAATATAAATGGAATAAAAATCTTAGCAGGACTTTTGGAAAATTGTACAATGATATTTTTTATGGAATAAAGTCCCATCTTGGTTAAGCACCAGCCCTCTGGAAAGTCTGTGGATTGCTGGAAAACTTTTCCTGCAAGATGGCTCAACAATGTTTTGTAGTTTTAAGTGTACAAGTCTAGCACTTCTTTTCTTAAATTGATTCCCAGGCATATTATTCTTTTTTATGTTATTATAAATGTATATGTGTTTTCTTAATTTCATTTTCCAATTGTTTATTGCTAGTATGTAGAAATAAAATTTATTTTTGTATATTTGATCTTACATCTTGTGAGTTTTTCTGAATTTGTTTATTAGATCAAGTAATGTTTAAAATTTTTAAAAAATTTTTTCCTTACGATATTCCACATGAAATAATCATTTGCAAATAAATGCATTTCTTTACTTTCCTTTCAATCTAGGTGCTGTTATTTAATTTTTTTGGTGCCTATTGCATTGGCTAGAATCACCAGCATAATATTGAACTGCAGTGGCAAGAACAAATAGACTTCCTTGCCTTGTTCCCAATTTTAGGGGGAAAGCATCGCAGGGGTTTTTTTCTCCATTAATTATAAGTTTAGTCATAGGTTTTTCCAAACATGAAGGAGTTCCTCTATTTCATATTTTGATGCTGGGCTTGTTTTTTTTCTTTTCAATCTTGATTGGGATTGATATATCTTTATCTCTTCTTTTTTCTTAGTCTGTGTTTTTGAATCTATAGACAGTACAGTTGGCTCTTTAAAAAAAAAAATTCGGTTTGACAATCTCCGCCTCCAGTCAAAGTGTTTAATCCATTCATATTTAATGTCATCATTGATATGGTTTGATTTATGATTTATCTTGTTTTCTATATGGCTCATGTCTTTTTTGTTCCTCTAGTTCTCCTTTATTGACTTTTTGGTTATAGATTTTTAATTTTTTTAAGTGGACCATTTTAATTTCCACCTTTTAAAAAACTGTATTTCTTAAATTAATTTTTTAGTGGTTCCTCTGGGGATTAAATTATGCATCTGCACTCAACACAGATACTTCAGTTTATTGCTGTATCACTTCTCTACAGCTGTTGTAACAAAGTACCACAAACTGGGTGGCTTAAAATAACAGGAATGTATTCTCTCACTGTTCTGAGATCACTACTCTTATTGCTCAGTGTGGTTTCACTGCCCTCCGCTGTGATTAAATGAGCCCTCCAAAGGCACACTGCTGGTTTTCACAGCTCGCCCAGCCCTGGCAGAACCACCCTGCTCTCTGAGGTGGGGAGCCAGGGCGATGGGGGTAGCCCCAGGCAACAATGTCAGACTCCCATTGTTTTTACTCAGAGTTCAGTGCTTTTTCGTGGATAACCACTACTAATTTGTTGTGTGATGTTGGTCTATCTATAGAGCCCTAAAATTATTTTTCTTGATTCTTTTGCCCAGTGTTTTACCTTTTTTTGAGGAATTCGTTGAGCTCCTTTCTCATTCTGCCATACCAGATATCAAAAAATCTACTTAAATTATAGCAATATAATTCTTATAACATACACTACACCCATTTAAAGTAAACAGCTCAGGGACTCTAGCATACAGCTACCATAGCTGTTGATAACTATGGAAGACTATACCAAATAGAGGAATTGGAGAAGGTATCTATAGAGTTGTGTATAAGAGTAGGTACAAAACTACAAATCAAGTGGTAGCCAGAAAGGAAATCAGACTAGAAAATGAAGAGGTGGGGGTTCCTAGTACAGCAATTTGGGAAATTTCTCTATTAGAAGAACTTTGTCATACAAATATAGTCAGTCTTCAAGTTGTGCTCATGCGGGGTTCCAGGTTATATCTCATCTCTGAATACCCTTCCATGGATCTAAAGAAATATTTGGATTCTGTCCCTCCTGATCGGTTCATGGATTCTTCACTTGTTAAGAGTCATTTGTACCAAATCCTACAAAGAATTGTGTTTTGTCACTCAAGAAGAGTTCTACACAGAGACTTAAAACTTCAAAATCTATTGATTGATGACAAAGGAACAATTAAACGGGTGGTTTTGGCCTTGCCAGAGTTTTTGGAATACCTGTTAGAGTATACACACACATGAGGTAGTAACACTTTGCTGTAGATCTCCAGAAGTATTGCTGGGGTCAGCTCACTACTTGACTCCAGTTGACATTTGGAGTATAGATCCCATATTTGTGGAATTAGCAACTAAGAAACCATTTATCCATGGGATTTCAGAAGTTGATCAACTCTTTATAATTTTTCAGAGTTTTGGGTACCCCCAAATGAAGTGTGGCCACAGTGGAATCTTTACAGGACTGTAAGAATACATTTCCCAAGGGGAAGCCAGGAAGTCTAGCATTCCATGTCAAATACTTGGATGGAAATGGCTTGAATCTGTTCTAGAAAATGTTAGTCTATGATCCTGCCAAACAAATTTTTGGCAAAATGGCATTGAATCATCCATATGTTAAGGGTTTGGACAACCCAATTAAGAACATGTAGCTTTCTGAGAGTTTCCATGGGTTGTACTGAGAACAGGTAGTTGTATTTTTACTGTCGACTCTATTTTTGTCTTGTGTAGTTTTGTTTTTTTGTAAACTTAAGCTATACTCCATCTTCTAACTTAAAAATTGTAACTTAAAATGTACATGTTGTTCTTTATGAATTTAAATAATTCCATATGTGTGTAGATCTCACCATAACAACTGTTACTATGATAAAACTATAAATCTCACAAAAATAATAAAGTATGCAACTCAGTGGTTTTTAATAGGTTCACAGATATGTTAAACTATCGCCACAATCAATTTTAAAACATTGTCATCCCAAAAAGAAACTCCAATGCTCTTCAGCTGTCGCTCCCTATCCCCTCATTACCCCCTACTCCTGAGTGGAAGCAGCCACTTAACTACTCTACATCATCTCTCTTTTTTCCTTAATTAGTATTAATTAGAGGCTTATCAATTTTTTATTGATCTTTTCAAAGAACCAGGTTTTAGTTTCATTGATTTCCTCTATTGATTTCCTCTCAAGTTCATTGATTTCTGCTCTAATTTTTCTTTTCTCCTGCTTACTTTGCATTTAATTTCCTCTCTCTCTCCATCTCTAGTTTCCTAAAATAGAAAGTTGGATGACTGATTTTAGGACTTTCTTTTTCCTCATATATGCATTTAATGATATCCATTTCCCTCTAAGTACTGCTTTCACTGCATCCCACATATTTTGGTAAGTTGTATTTTGATTTTCATTTAGTTCAAAATATTTTTTAATTCTCTTGAGATTTGTTCTTTGACCCTTGGGTTATTTAGAAGTGTGTTGTTTAATCTCCAAGTATTTGGACACTTTTCATTGATTTCTAGTTTAATTCTGTTGCCATTGTAGGGCATATATTATAGAATTTCTATTCTTTAAGTTTTAACGGCATGTTTACAGCCCAGAATGTGGTCTATGTTGGTGTATATTCCATGTGCTATGGGTTTATTGATAAGACATGAACAAAAATTCTTTATACCCATATCTTTATTTGAACAATTTTCTATAATAGCTAGGAGAATACAGCATTAATGACACACATTTACTAAGTACAACATTAGACAACTACAAAGCTTAAATGTCAATCTGATTTTGTTTTGGTTTTCATTTTAGCACTAGTTGATATCTAGTAAAAACCCATGTTTCAAAGGCTTTTGTTGATATAAGGTGAATTATTAACTTATTTTTAAAAACTCCATGTGAGATATGCTGGGATGGATTCTGTTTAAAACTAGAGTTGGTTGCTAATGCCTTTTGTTTTCCAGTTCTTCTGCTTCCTTTGTAATAGATGAATGCTGTACCTAGGAACTTTTAAAAGATTGGTTATAGCTTGTTCTTCTATGCAGATCAATGTAGAATTCCTTTTCCAGGTCCATCACAATTTGGAAAATTGTGATGTTCAATTTCATTTTAGTTAAAAAGCATATCCATCTCACAGTAAATGAACAATTAAAGTTAATAATTAAAATACAGTGTTAAATGTCATCAGCTCATTTCTGTGCAACACTGTTAGGACAATTTAAATTTGCAAGACACAAAAAAGTCAATGTTACTTCCAGGATTCCACAAAAATACATAACAAGGAATCATAAATTACAATATACATATCCACATTTAAAGGAAAAAAAAATCACCATTTGTTGGATAAAAATTAAGTGGCTCAAATGATTTAGAAAGCCTGAAATGTAGACTAAAATTTTACAACATATGGTGACAATAAGATATTTGAAAAATGCATAAAAATGTACTGACCTACCAAGCATTAAATTATACATTCCAGTTTCAACTCAAAAACATTTTTCTTTCAAATATCTCAGGCAACATTACAGTATTAAAAAAAGTCATTTGCAGATATTTATGACTCTAATAACATTAAGCCAAGCTAATGAACATTTTAGCTAGACCAAATTCTAAAATAAAAAAAAGTATAAAATGCATTTTGGCAGATATGTTACTTAGTACTTTTCAGTTCCTGATCTACTGAAAATCCACTAACTCCAGGTTAATTTAATTTAGGGTAATACAATGGATTAGAATGTACAGCACTCTTTCTTGTTTTCAATCTTTTATCATACCAGGTTCTTAAAAATTATTTTTAAAGAATGTCCATGAAAAGTTTTACAGTTATACTCTTTACCTTTATTAAGAAAAGGTCAGTGGAAAACAAGCCATTTAAATATTACCAAGACTCTAGCACCTCTATATTTCTTCCATATGTTCATTTGTTTCCTTGTGACACAGAGCCCCCCAAACTCAGGATCACTTTCTAAGCCCACGTTTCATTGGCTCTGAGACTACCACTGCTTCAGAGTTCTAATACCTGTCTGGAGTTAACAGAAAAGAAAGGGAGAAGTAACAGGTGGGGGAGGATCAGCAGACCTGGGAGAAAGGAATTAGTGGTTGGAGGCCACACCCAACCAAAACCTTCACAAAACCTTGAGAAACAGGGCTTGATATTCTCTCCAGGCAAGATATCCCCTTGCAGAGGAAAAGTTGCAGAGAACTTAAGGCAGCTCCAGGAGGGAAGGGAGCAGAGGTTAAGGCGGCCCTCACAGCACAGCCTGAGAAGAAATTACAATGCACTTATTCAGGAACAGAGACCACGGCAGTACACGGCCTCTCTAACACGCATGCACATGACACGCCTCCTAGCTGCTAAGTAAACACTGGCAGCATGCACACACGGCGATGGTCAAACAACCCTGCCTTGCAGAGCAGGGTGTATTGAGAGTGACTTTCCTCTTCACTTTTGAGAGGCGTTTGCTGCTTTCCATCAGGCTGAGACAGCCTGCTACTAATTAATGACCTAACACAGAGTACTGCACCCTCCGAGGGAGCACTGATTTATCACAAAAGTCAAACCTAGTTATAGCAGGTAACTACGACAAAAAGAAAACCACCGGGCTCCAGGTTCTAGGTGCTTTATCTCATTAGCACAAAGAACTATTGCTCGGTATTGCTCATCGCTCAGTTCCCATATGCCAGTTGCTAACTCTGATAAAGAGAAAGAGTACCTCTTGCTGATCCGGGCACCCTACAGGCACCAAGAGGAACAGATGGAACCTTGGGACTTGTTCCAGTCTCCTCGTTGCACCTGCCCACACGGCCTCTGCTCACATGGGAAGGCGGCCGGGCTGGCGGGCTGCGGGACCTCCGGCACGCCCGACCTTACCTCTCTCTCAAGCAATCATCAGCAGATGGGTGTAGCTACATTTTCTACCTTCCAGTGCTGCTGTGAGGAGACAGTGAGGTAACACAGAGAAAGCGCATTGAAGTAAAGCATAGCCAATGCACAGTACTGTTCTGCACAACTTTCAATAGGAGAATTTAAGGGTCAAAGAGTAATTTTTGCTTTCTGCTTTATCCTAAATAGTTGAAGTTACCCAGAGTATGCTTGATTGTGCTTTCTGGAGAACTCTATGAACTGGTGACTGTGAGTGAGTGAGTGAGTGAGTGAGTGAGAGTGTGTGTGTGTGTGTGTGTGTGTGTGTGTGTGTGTGTGTGTTTTACAGGAGAGGAGAGGAGAGGCGAGGATAGGAGGGGGAGAGGAGGGCAGGGGAGGGGAAGGGAGGGGAGGGGAGAAGAGAAACAGTGTGTGAGATCTTCCCAGGACGGTGGCAGGTGCCCCTTTACCTAGGGTCACCAGGAAAGTAATTTCTCACAATCACACTATACTGAAATTCTAATAAAATAATTTTCATAGCCTCCCCTAGTTATTAAAAAAATTTGATCTATATTGTACATAATCACCCAGAAAGAGCCAACTCTCAATTATCACTGAAATAAAGCAAATCATACTAACTGATTCAAATCCCCAAAGCTCCTTTAAATTGGCTTTGAAATATATACATGTGTACTTTTGCTCCTACAAAACAAGTGTCAGGTATGTGGGGATTTTTCAAAACTTCCAAAGGAACTGTGAAGCCACATTCGTGGATTTTATCCATATCCATCACCCCCATCTTCATAGTTAACTCTCAGGCAGATCAAAGCCTGAATCGAAGAAAAGCAAATAAGGGAAGCTGCTTTTAATTTTTCAACTTCGTATTCCAAGGTGGGAGCTGAACCTGTAGGTAAGGTGAGTGGGGAGGAGAGTATTCAGAAGGGGCAATTAAGACAATGAGCTGCTGTTGTTTCAAGATATTTCTTTTAATTCCTATTGTGTGTCAGAGAGGAATTATGAAAAAGTAACTTAGTGAAAATGTTGAAGAATGTACTAGAGAGAAGTGAGAAAAAGAAGACAGTGTACAAAGATTGGCCTGAAGGTAAACCACCAGGCAGGTGGGGAGCAGCTGAGGACCGACTCCATCCACCGGTTCTATGCAGCCAGATCAGGCGAGTGGGCTGGTGATGGGACACAGAGTTTGCATGAGGGAAATGGGCAGGTGAAAGGCTGCTGGAGGTGTGTTGGAAGCTGCAAGAGAAAGTGTGGATGGACAGAAGGAAGGGTGAGCAGTCCTCAAAGTGGCCAAAGGATTCCCAGAGTCAGCAGAATACTGCTGCACCCGTAAGTAGTACACAGAGTCACTTCCAGGCAGTGGGGTTCCCTGGTGGCAGGGTTCTCTGGTTCTGACTAAAGATCTTGAGGCTGCTAAGAGAAGTTAATTCAGACCCCCACCTGGGGTTCCGGGCAGAGCTTGGAGCAGGCTGGGCCCCGGAGCAGCAGAATCTTTGTGCGGCCATCCCTGAGCAGGAGAGCCTCTGGCCCAGGAGTGGACAGGCTGCTGCACTTTCCAGCAGAGAGACTGCACTCAGAGGAGAGACAAAGGCCCAGACCAGAGACCTGTCAGTGTGTGAGTTGTCTGGGGGTGAGAAAAAGAGCTGCAATGGCAGCGGCAGCGCCAGTGTGACCTTGAAGACCTGACAAGATTGAGGGTGGCGTGGGACACGTCCCACGGCACTACGCTGGGAGGGCCAGGGGAGGTGCCTGGGCCTGAGGTGGGCAGTGTACACCATGGTGGCATTTTTTTAAGCATCTCCCCACCCAAGTCCCATCTATGCTCTTAAACTAGGACACAGTCAGTACTAACCAAGTGGTTATGATTCACATTGAAAACCACATTGACAAACCAGGCAGAACTGAGAACCTGATTGAATTAGTAGTGTTTGGGTTGGTTTTGCAAGTAAATGTATACAAACTGAATACAGCAGTATGTGACTCAATAAAAATTACCTCAATGAATTAACTTTCTAAAAGCACAGACGTCAATCATGTACATTGAAGAAGGTTATAGCTACACAGACTTGTGATACTACGTTTTATTAATCCCTCAGACCTAACAGGTACCAAACGCTGGTCTTTGCATTGGAGGATAAACTTACTGAGTAACTGCAGCTTGTTTCTCTAGGAACCAAGCGCTGAAAGGAGAGAATGTCGGACATGGAAGGGACCTTAAGACTCAGTTGTCCAACCCTCTTATTGTATAAAAGAGGAATTTGAGGCCCAAATAAGTTAACAGACAGTATTTATATTTTAATAACAATCTTTATCATTGTTTTGAAATTATCTGAATTCCATTAATAATATTGCACATATTTTAATAAAATGTCATTTTTATAAACCATCTAGGAGTTAAATTATATAAATCTATGATTGTAATGCAGAACCAGAGTTCCTAATGAATTTGCTTTTGCACAACCTGAAAGATTTATTGTATAAGATATCTAAGAAAAAATACAGGATGTTTAATAGGAGTTTGAGAATGAAAACATAGAATCTGGGTCTTATTGAGCCAAATCCTCTGTAAAACTCAGCAATCTTCTTATATTTCTTATATAAGTCAAAGTATTTCTAACATGATGGATGCTCTTTAAAGTATCTAGTAGTACTAGAACATGTACAGAAGCTGCAAAGCCTAAAAAAATGGAATCATAATTATTTATTATACACCTTCTTTTGCATAATTTATAGTATAATCAAGGTTTTTAAGACCTGAATCATGAATATTCTGACAATGCTCTCTAGATAGTGACTGAGATGAATTCTTAATAAATTAAGAAGAAAGAAAACCTGTCAAGGCTGAATATATGCACTGTAGGAATCATATCTGGGAACTAAAAATAAGTCACTTCACAAAACACTGTACCCTGCTGTGACATCCACCCAGGGAAAAATAATGAGCACATCAGTGTAATACGTCTTGAAAAAATAATGACATCAACAATTGCCATTCTGTCTAATCCTACTCCTAAATAACGAACATTTTATTACTACATGACTTTCCAGTGTCCGCTACTTGTGCATGTGAATCTGTAGATATCTGCACATAATCCAGTTAAAACTGTGATCTGATTGAATTGTAAACAGAATTGATAAAAGAAAAGCTTATTTTGTAGTGCCTAACAAGAATATCACTTACATTTTAAAGAACACAGTATGTAGCAGCAATTTAAAATGCTCAGGAAACTACAGTACAAATGGATTTCTATGCTACATAGCAAACCAGCATTCTTTTTACATCTCTACATCATAATGACACACATAAGAAAGTTACTTGATTAACTACTATACATATTGCCAGTTCATTTCTTTGATCCAGTTCGACAACATCGATTCCTAAACTGATATGATATGTAATCAATAGCCATTTTTCTCCTGATTATCACAGAGGAGGGTCTCTGTTGGTACCCTGCTAACAACAGCTCATATCTGGAATTTATGTTTTTTTTTATACCATTTAGATGCAGTGCTAAAGATTTAAAATAATTGCTGGCAGCTGAAGACACATTTTTCCATTCCTTCTGTCTCTCACCTGCATGTGACCTCAGGAGACCTAAGCGATCAAGGATGAGTGTTGCTATAAAGATAACAGTACAAAGGGGCCTAACTTTCATTCTGAGGTGATGCAAGTTAATAACCTCTTGTTTGGAAGATAATCACTACATTTTCTTTAAAAATGTGTTTTCAGTAGCTCACTGGAAATAATGGGTTCTTATTTCAGGCAAGAAATGTATTTTCACTGTTTGCCTTGACATCACTTTCAGACTCGGGATATGAACCCTAGGCCCAGGCTGGCTGGAATCTGGATGGTTTCTAGCGCGAGGGAGGATGGGTTAAAAGGAAAGGTGACAGGGAAGATGTGCTTAGCATCCATAAGCAGCTGAGGAGAGTCTTTCCTGTCTCGTAAACGCATCTGGAAGATCAAAAAACAAAAAAAACTGAGCATCAATTCTTTGAACCTATAAAGAAATTTTTCTTATGCTAAAAATCCTACTAAAAACTCCCCAACTAATGAAGAAATGTCCACATTTGCTTTAAAATCACTTCATTTTCCCAATAAGCTGTTATTAAAAAATTTAATGCACTGTAAAAATAAGATAAAATAATACAATTAAAAAACATTATCCTTCAACAGATCTCCATTCAAAATACTGTGTTGGTGAATCAAAGAAGAAGAACCTGGGAGATCTTACCTGTATAGTACGAATAAACGACACAGAGACTCTTTCTTCAAACTCATTAACTGGTGTATACAAATTCAACACTTTGACAATCTGTGAGAAATAAAATGGTCAAAGTTGTCAGTATATTTTAAGTACACACTGGGTGCTTATAATCTGGAAACCTTGAAGAAGCTATGCACACAGTTTTCAGTTCTACCAGGGCTGGGGTGGGACAAGAAGGGAGAGGGAAATGGTCTGAAGGCACAAGTACCTTTACTATTTGAATTTTTATAATAAAAATGTATTAATCTTTGTACATTTCAAGAAGCAATGTAAATTTGGAAAAACATTCAAACTATACAAAAGAACACAACGTGAAAAGGACAAGTGCCCCAACTCCCAACATCCCAGTCTCGCAGGGTGGCCATTTTTGACAGTGTCCTTATCCATCTAGTTACTTTCTATGCATTTCTATGTGTAATCTATGCAAAATTTCTGTGCTATGATGAAATATGTGTTGAACATTAAGAAAGTCCAAGAGTAAGCACAGAAATAACTGGGCAAGTGAAAATAGGCAGGTTTATGTCTGTGCCTGCCCTTGAGCCATTGCCATTGTCCCCACTGTCCTCCCTTCTCCTCTTCTCACTCCTTACATTCAATGCCCTGCTTGACGAGACCTTCTCTGAACACAGTTATCCCCTCTCTGTACTTCCTGTAGACATCTCAACACTCAACCTGCTAGAATCTCTTATAGTAGAATCAGTTGGGTACATCTGTCTTCCCTAGTAAACTTGAAGTTCTTTTTAAGAGGGATTGTTCTTTATTTATTGAAGTATTTCCCCCAAGCAACAAGTATGGTCTCTTGAGATAGGAACTCAATTCATCATTTATTGAATTGAAAGAACAAGAATTATTTGTCTTAAAATAGAGAAATCTAAAGAATTCAATTATAAAATAACATGGAAAATTATTTTTTGGAATACAGGCTACATAGAAGACATAGAATGCATACCCCATTAGAGCAGGGACTTGTTTTGTTCATGGTTGTGTCTCAGGGCCTGGAATATCTCACACAACAGGGTAGACATCCAATAAATAGTCACTGAATTTTGAATGTGGATGTCTATGACTAGGACTGAAATGTGTTACTTTCTGGGAAAATCTTTCTTCAAGATTTGTATACATATATATCTTCTCCGACACAGATGAAGGCAGCTCAGAGACGAGAGCAATAGCCAGAAGACTTCTTTATTTACCTAAATCGCACCCTCGATGAATGTCAAATTACCCCGGAGCAGGGAGCTGCTTTACCTGGGCAGTAGTTAAAGCATTGCACATGGAACAAATGGCTTCTGCGTCGTCATCTGTTTTCTTTTTCACTTGCAAAAGCTGAGCAGCCTGAATGAGAGGTTCCAGGGTTTCTTTAGCCCCACTGTTCATCAGATTCTTGTCACGCAGCCATTCTTCCAGTTGACTGACGTTGTACCTATGCCGAGAAAGAGAGAGAGAGCGCACATTTACTGAATGTTGTCATAAATGTCTTAATTTTTTGTATGTGGCTTTGTCAGGAATTTCAGTTAAAATGACAAGTAGTAATCTTGTTCAGTTTTCTTAAATCTTAGGAGCTATACTTAAAAATTATCATTATAAAAAGTCATAAGGTTTATAATCATAATTATATAAGAGTAGAAGACTAGAGAATATAATTATCTTTAATGCAAGATAGAAAAGTAGCCATTATAGCAGAAGTTATCTTTTAACAAAACTTGCTAAAAGATAAAATAGAACACCTTATATGGCTGTGTCCTTATTACACAGCTGACCAGAAAAAACTTTGTAGCTTCTCTTACAACGTCGGATATGAGAATTGATAATCTTTTAAGTCCTCTCTCTTTCTTAAGTCCAACTGAATAACAAAATCCTGTCACACCAACTTTGGGCCCCAGCCCTCTTTCCAGAAGGCCTGGGTGACAGACAGTGGCCTGGGGAAGCTCAGGGATGGAAGAAGAGAAAGGCAGGTGGGGGACACTGGAAGAGACAAAGACCCCAAGAAACTACACAGATGCTAAGATATCAAGGGGTGGCCAACCAAGTAACAGTGGTTCTTAAAATGAGGTAAATAAATACACAATCGGAACTTAATAATCAGGCAAATAGGAGGAATTATATTATGACAGGTGCTTTAAATGTATAAACACAGCTTATGGAGAAAGAAATTCCACTACCTGGATGTAAGGTATTAGTGTTAACTACAATGGATGTGGGTCAGAAGAGAAAATTTGAAAACAATGCCAGGGTTTCCTGAGACTGAGTAACTGAAGACTTTTGTAGGAGAAATCCCTTTTCTTCCCTCTTGGTGAATATTCTAGCTGTTTTAAAATAAATTATTTGCAAAATAAATCAATTCTATTAGATAATAAGGTTATGCTGAGGAGTAGTTGGGCATCTAACTGGGTACAGCTCTTCCTAAAACATAGAGGGGCATAATTCAAGTGTTAGTGAAAGATCTATTAGACATGCTCTTGTTGCCATGGGTACAAAAAGGTTTTTTTTTTGTTAAAATAAATTTCTAAAAGCAATCAAACATTAGAAATATTCATTATCATTTGACATTTTGCTATTGTACAATTAAAACACACACAAAAGAAGCAGCAGCTATCTCATCTTTATGTATTTTTTATCATCTCTCCAATCCCTCTGATGAATTAGCTTCACTGTGGAGCAGGGCTCCTGACAAGCAGCGAGTAGAGCCTGCTGGAAGGCGCAGCTGGGAGCAATCAGGACTGAGAGCAGGGAGGTCCCACCGGTAGGAGGAAGTGGCTCCAGGCCCGGTCGTTCCTTGCTGCCTGGCTGGCGGCAGCAGACATCAGGTGCCCTGACCTCAAACAAGCCATCAGCAACCTGCACTCTAGCGGGCAGGTGGGCAGTGAGACAGGGCCATCACAGGGGTTGGCATTTGCTCACCTGATCTGCATGCCTTTACTCCAGGAGCACATGTCCTTCCGCAGCAGGAGGTTGTTCAGCGTGATGGCCCCCACGATGTAGAACATCTGCTTGACCACCTGCTTGATCAGCTCGGGGTCCATGCCGTGCTGACACATGACCGAGTGGAAGGAGTTGAGCTGCCGGAGGATGGAGTCCAGTGTGTAGGTGCCCTCGTCAGCGATGCTGGAGGTCCGCTTCCGTAGCCCTGTGGGCTTCACCCCGGACACACCCTGAATGGTCTCATGCTCCAGCATGCCTGAGACTGCAGGAGTAGTTCAAATTAAAAGAGTAATTAATAGAGAAGATCTGGAAGGACACCATTTCATGTCCATACACACACACTCACATACACATTCCATGCGGGAAAATGATCTGAGCATCAAAACAGCGGAGGAAAGAACTTCTCCCCCCAAAAAAGACTTCCAGATTTTCAACTTCAATGAAGAAATAGCTCTTAAATGCAAAAATTTACCATGAAATTAAGAAATCTTAATGGTGTGTTTTCTAAACTATGAAGCAGCAGCCTTGTCATAGCACTAGTATGTGGTACCTTGGGAGGGTTTCTGAGAGAGAGGTCCGGAGTGGTTGGAGAGAAGATAAGCGTTCTCCGGTGCCATGTGAGCCCCAGAGACAAACAAATCAAGCAGCAAGAAAGGCAGGAGCCTGGGCAGGGGTCTTGGAGAAGACCTGGGAGGGGCAGTTGTGCAGGGCTGGGGAGCCGGCCCTTCCTTGCCCCGAGCTCCCACAATGGCAGAGAGTCCTGGGTTGGCCTCCGCCTCCCAGGACTCAGTCTTCTTGCCTGGGAAGACTGAGTCCCTCCCTTGTGCTCCCATAGATGTGGCGTAAGTGTCCTCTAGGATGGTTCTGGGATGCCCACTACCGGACTGGGAGCGCCTTGAGAGCAAAAGCCAAGGCTGATTCACTTGTGTTTCTGCTAGTGCTACATGCACCTTCTACAGACCCTCATACAGGTTTGTTGTGAAATCGCTGGGAGATGGGGTGGTCGGTTAAAGTGAGACACCTCAGAGGTAAACTTCTTGTTTAGCCAATAAAAACAGGCAAAAGTAGAAAAAAAAATTTGGCTGAAACTGACCTTCTTTTCATCTGTTGCCTCTTGCATTTTAGCTGACCGAGATTGCTTTAAATGTATGACCTCTTAGGAGAGTGGTCCCCAACCTTTTTGGATCCCGTATCATGGAAGACAACTTTTCCATGGACTGGGGCCGGGAGGTGGGACGGACAGACGGGGACGGGGACGGGGACAGACGGACACACACACACACACACACACACACACACACACACACGGCAGTAATGTAAGCCAAGCTTCGCTTGCTCGCACACTGCTCACCTCCTGCTGTGCAGCCTGGTTCCAAACAGGCCACTGACCAGTACCGGTCCTTGGCCCCGGGGTTGGGGACCCCTGTCTTAGGGGATGACTAAAGAAATCACTGCCAACTCACACAGTCCCCTCAGCCTTTTATGTTTCCAGTTGTTTGACTGTGTGCTTATGATAGAAAATGTAACACTATGAGCCCATAGAAGGGAAATAAAGAAGTTGTGGAAGTGAAAAAACACGAGGCGGGCAAGCAAGGGCAACTGGGAGTAGTGTTCAGAGGCTGCTGCTAATTTGCCTGAGGATAAGAGTTCGGTAAGAAAAAACATTTTTTAAAATTCAACGCATTCAAAATTAGCAGCCTGCAATTTGTATATGCCTCCTAACTCCTACTTCAAATATGCTACACACTCCAAAGTATAGCACAATACATAAATAAACATCCGGAATGAGTGCACAAATACAAAGACAGGTACATGGAATCACACATTAGCTAAATACATATATACAGAAATAGAAACACCCCCACCTCAGTGGCTCATCAAATAAGAAACTGCTGCACTAAACCAAATTGCCTTTCACCATCCCAAAGGCGCCATGAGATGCACAGCTTAGCATTGGGTGTCTGAGGCCTGTTCTGTTGGCATGGAACCCTCCTAACCCTCTTACTGCAGCCTATTAATTAGGCAAAATGCAAACCCTCCCAGCCTCCTTATTTTTAGAGGGAGAGGTGTAGTAGTTTCCTAGACCAATGTGTAAAGTGTTTTTGAACACTGGGAAAGGAATGAGAGCTATTGTTGGGTATAAAGCATGACTCAATCTTAAGAGAGAGGTATTCCACATGGGGGCGGGGGGCGGAAACTAGCTACTGCTGTCGTGGTCAGGTGGAAGCAGTGGCTTTGAGCATCCCAGTTAGTCATGGCTACCATCCCATGTTCTGGGACTCCTTAGCTCTTTTTAAGGACTGAACCTTACTACTTCATGTTCCCTGTTTGACTATGTGCCCTGAAACACGTGCCGCTGGTGCTCATCCACTGGGGGGCAGGTGGGGTAGGCAGACCTTGATGTCAGCAGTGCCCTGGCCTTACCGATCATTGGCTGAAGGATGTTCTCTAACACCCGCACCAGCTGCTGGTAGATCTGAATGGCCAAGTCACTTAGCACCTGCCGGTACTCAGCCAGGTCAAAATTGGTGAGGCAGTGTTCGTTCTGGCGAGCCGTGTTGTGTTTCATAAAGCCCTAGAGACATAACGCAGAGTTAACGGTACATATGCGGTAAAATGTCTCTTCTGTCTGTTGAACTCATTTGATCTGCATTTTCCTGCTCTTTTTTTCTCCTCAAAGAGTTTCCATCCATCCCACACGTAAATGCCAGGATAATCATTTTCTATGCTGTGTGTGTTTCCATCTTAAAATTCCACTTCTTACTAGCTTTTGAATAATATTTAAACTTGGTAACCTAGCATTTAAGCCTTTCCAATAGCAATGTCAATGAAATAAGATGGGAGAACTTAACTTAAAAAAATTAATGGTTTTTCACTTATGAAACAGGAGGTTTACTGCCACACACTAAATTATCTAAAGTACTAGCCTCTTAAACTTCATTTCATTAAATACAGTCCTATTTATAGATACTGCACCCAAAGAGCACATATAATGTTCTTAAAATAGATCAATTTCTACAGAGACTGGTGCATAAATAAAGAACTTGACTTTCACGGTATCCATACATGACTTTTACCTTTTGGTAGTATTTGTTAAAATGGAAAGCCGACTGTTCAAGAGGTACCTTTGTCAGATGTCGCCTGTCAAAGGCAACAGCCTACTTGATGGATTCTGTCCACAGTCAAGCATCTGGCCCCCCTACAACCTACTTAACAACATGGTCTAGAAGTGGGGGATGAGAAGACAGCTCATGGCCCCTCTGGGGGACTCTGGTCTGTCAGCCCCTCTTCTCAGGAATCATATTTGCTCACATTTGTATTTCCCATCATTCGCCTGGAGAGGCCCCCGCCCCAGCCTCTGTCTGGGCGCTCAGAACGGGCTCCTGCTCAGCTTTTCTATCTACCCTCCTGGCAAAAGAGGGGGTGGCACGGAGAGCAGTGGTGAGGGGCACAGTCTCTCAGAGGCGGGCAAGCCCAGAATCCTATGGCTGAGAGGGTTGGGGCAAGCTGATGAACTTCACTGCGCTTCAGTTTCCTCATCTGTAAAACTGGGTTGCATCCTTACCTCTCAGAAATGTTGTAAGAATTAAATAACATAATGTATGGTAAGTGCTATCTGATACATACTAAACTGCTCTTAATAAATTATTAATACATTACAGTTTTGAAAAAGTAGAGTGTCAAACAACTGATGAACACATCACTACAAAGGAAAGCTAAACAGATTTTTGGACATGTCTTAACTTATCACCTTTAATGCATTATAGTAAGCTGACATTGATTAATTTTTAAAAATAATTCTTGACTAGTCCACTTCCACAGATTGACAAAAAAATTCATTTTTGCAACTATTCATTGATCAATGCTCATTATATATCTACTGTGTTTTTCATAATACCAACTCTCAGAAGTAAGAAACTAGTTCTGTAAATAATAGACATCAAACAAAGCTATGCACTTCCAAGCCACTTCTGAATTCAGGTTTCTAAATTAACAAATGGTTAAACATTTTCCTTAAAAAAATCAGAGAAAGTATAGCATGCTGGGTTTTTTTAGCACGCTGGTTTTGTAATTAGGGTTTTCTCACCTCTTCTCCGCTGTACTGCTTCAAACAGTGCAAAAATCGGCAAGTGTTGGAAAGCCAGAAGGAAACAGTTTCGAAATCATCACCTCTTTTCTGAAAGAGAGGATAAGTCTAAATGTGCCTTTTCTTTAGGGAAGTAACAACCTGAAAATAATGCACAGATACCAGAAGTCCCATTTCTTTCAGTTACCATTATAAACAATTATAAAAATCAGTTGTAAAGCCTGAGATCATTGTTATAGAATTTCAACCACTAGGTTCATCAGTTGTTTTTTATTTTGCTCGGTACCTTTTCTTTTTTTTTGCTATGAGAAAGTTATTCCCAGTGATTCACTGTGGATGTTAGCTTAACAGTTCCCTTAAGCAGAAAAAAATTCTCTAAGCCACAGTTTACCCAAACTTACTTCCCTTGGGGTTACTGAAGGGAAGCAAAGGGCTAAAAGCACAAAACAGAGTAACAAAGATTGCAAAGCACTAAAACTCAGATTAGGTTAAAAATCTTGTCAATGATATAAAATACAATTGCTAAACAGTGAATCAGAAACAGGATCCAGTCTTGCCTTGGTTGGTGTGGCTCAGTGGATTGAGTACCTGGCCTGTGAACAAAAGGGTCGCTGGTTCAATTCCCAGTCAGGGCACATGCCTGGGTTGTGGGCCAAGTCCTGAGTAGGGGGCATGCAAGAGGCAACCACATATTGATATTTTTCTCCCTCTCTTTCTCCTTCTCTCTCTAAAAATAAATAAATAAATCTTAAAAAAAAAAAAAAAAAAAAGCCGGGGTGAAGGAAGTCCTGAGCAGAGCAGTAGACCAGGGGAAGCTGCCTGGCTCTTCATCATAACTGTGGCACATCTCATAAAAGCCCACTGCCGAATCAAAACAGGAGCATAAGACAAATACACTTCAAATCAAATAAGGGTCATGAGACAAATGCATATCATTCTTAAATGGTATTAAAAGGGTATTATGTTCTAATACCCTCTACTTTTTAATCTTTAAACAATCTGGTACAATAATTAGTTAAATTACATAAATGCCTTCCTGCAATTAAGATGAGAGGAAGAAAACTCCATTATTTGGTTTTGTTGTTTTTGTAAAAGTTGACTTAAGAAATAGTAAAGCTTAGAGTCTATCTAAGGACAATATAGCATCAATATACCAAAAATGAAATGAATTATATTCAGAAGATATTCACCAATTTTTTTTTAAATATTAAATTTTCAGAAACTCCATGCTTCAGTAATCACTATACAATGTAACTATATAGAATATCTTAGCAATAGGGACTGAGAACTAGCATTTGTCAAAAGTTCATGACCACACGCTGGGGGGAGGGTATGTTTCATGGGGGCACAATAATATGAATGTGCTTAAGTGCCACAGAGCTGTACACTGAAAATGGTTAAATGGTATACTTTTTTGTTATGTATATTTTACCACAATAAAAAATATTTCATGAAAGCCATCTCAGATTTGAGAGTCCACTGGGAATGTTAACTATCTGCTTATCTCCATCCTAAAAGGTCTCCTTAAGTCAGATAATCAGAAAGCCAAATATCTGGGGCACATTCTCTTAGCTCCTTACAGAAATACCTGAGTTAAAACTAAGAATAATGTTCCTTGTTTTTCTAGAGAGGCAGGAGGAGGATTATGCAACATGTCTCAGTGATTGCTGAGTTATTAGGTAGGACTTTCTACTCTATTACATAATTTTGCAGCCTTTTCCAAGTCTTTCCTTTCAGGTTAGCACCTGGGTGTGGTTTCTCACGTGGAATCAGGCGTTTCAGGTTAAAAGGAAAATTATGGGTGAGTTGCAAAAAAGTGGGAAGAAAAATTTTAAAATTTTATCAGATATCTTTTTATATGAATGAGCCAGATATTAGTGAACTTATTTAATACCTATTTTAACTATAGCATCATATTCCCTATATATAATGGACTCCACTAAATATTTTAAATTTTTAAGTAAGACCTTAAAGTAAACTATTTCTGTCTATGAAGAAACAATTTACTCCACAATTAAATGCAATTATATCAAATTAATTTTGATTACTGTTCAACCCAGCCCTGCTTTGAAAGAAGGCACACAGACAATCTGTAAGAACGTTTCCTGCAGTGGAAGGTAGCAGTTAAGGCTGGAAAGTGTTCATAACTGGCATCTTAGCTCACAGCTAAGGAAGGAAAAGTACTTGGGTTCAGATTCTGTCATTAATATTCATTATGAGAATTTTGTTGAATATGAACTGACCTTTAATACTTTTTTGATGCTGTTAATTGTTGACGTTAGCAATGACCTCACTTTTTGATCATCGTTCAGGTAGTCAGCATGGCGAACACACATAAATAGGATGTATGCTGGTAACCCTGGAATCAAATTGACTGCTACACCACGTGGCTTCAATTCTGAAAAAAGAGAAAAAATAATCTTATATAACATTGAAAGTCACGAGAAATGCTTGGAAAGATAATAAAAGCACAGTTCTCATGTACGAGTCAATCATTCAGGGTAAAGAGGTCACATAAAAAAGCAGTTTAATAGCTCATTAAGAGAAGTTCTTGAGAGTGGGAACATGTGAATTTTAGTTGTCTACGCGATGACAACTCCCCAATCTCTATCTCCTGCCCCGACTTCTCCCTTGAATTCCAGTATCCTGTACCAAATGCCTTCTTGGCATCTCAGCTCAGACACATCACACTGAGCCCTTCCAAGACAAACTTGACTCCCCGTGGTACCTGCTCTTCTAGGAGTTGTCCCTATCTCAGCAAATGGCAGTTCCAGCCCTCTCGTTTCTCAGGTTATGAACCCTGCCATCATCTTTGTCTCCTTTCTTTTTCTCACATATCTAATCCATCAGCAGCAAATCCTGTTGGCTCTACCTACAAAACACATCCAGAATCCAACTACTAGCTGCCCTAATCTAGGTCCCCATCATTTTCTCCCAGATTGTAGTGAGAGCTTCCAAACTGGTCTCTCTGATTCATCCCTTGCTTCCCAGTAGTACATTTTCATGCAGCAACCAGAGTAATTCTGTAAGAAAATGTACATCAGATCATGTCACTCTTGTTATGAAAATCTTTCAAGTTGGTTCTCACCTCATTCATTTGCGAAATGAAGTCCTCACCACGATCTATGTGATTTGGCCATGTTCCCCTTCCCTAGGTCACTGTGCTCCAGTAAAATTGGTCTCACTTGCTATGGGTTGAACATGCCAGGCACACTCCCATCCCAGGGCCCATGTACTGACTATTTTCTGCCTGGAATGTTCTTTCTTCAGATATCAGCATAAATTGCTTCCTTACTTCCTTGGCCTTTGCCAAAAAACCACATTATCAAGGAGGCGTTTCCTAACAACTTTATATAAACTAGTACACCTGCCTTCTTTCTTTATCCTTTCTACCCCATTATATATTTGTTTATTTTTTCCTCTATTTTCTTTTGCGCTGGAAGGTAAGTTCTATGAGAATAGGGACTTTATTTTGTTATTCAGTACCTAGAAAATGCTTGGCATATGGTAAAAGCATAATAAATGTTTAGTGAACTGATGAAACTTTGCTTAAACTTTATGCTTAAAAACCAGTGGTTCCTTAATATTTTTGCTAAATAAAGATCATGTGGAAACTTAAGCATCTGTGCACCTATATATAGTACAAAGTTTAATGCCAGGAACCTTAAGAACATTAAATCAGGTACAACTGCCAATCACCTTGCCGTCACCCTGGCATCTGGGGGAAGGACGCTATGCAGAGGCTGAGAGGGTTTCAGCTTTTTCAGTTCACAGCTTTCAGGCTGTGCACACTCCCTAATCATTGCTCACACTCTTCTAAAAAGTATTCTCGCAGAGCCAGTGGGCTCAGATTCACCCAAAGGCCTTACGCTGCCCTGAAGTGCTTCTTCCACGCCCATTTCATTCTTCCAGCCCTCCTCTTCCATTGCTGGAATATTTTCCTTAATTCTTTTGTTATTTTCTCCCTATTACTGAGCTGTTGTTATTGATATATTTAGTCATACACTTTCTAGGAAAGTAAGGAAAACAAATTCAGGAACTTAAATACCCTCGAGCAGTGGTGTTCAACTGTGGCTACAAGTCACAAGGGGTCAGAATCCCTTGAAAGATTTTTAAAAATATTAGACATGACTAGGCTCTTCCCTCTAGAGATTTTGATGCCATCAGTCTGTGGTGGGACCATACGACAATACTTTTCAAAAGCTTCCTAGGTTAGTCTAATGTGCAGCTAGAGCTGAGAAGGCCTGGCCTCAAGGGATCCGTATAGGTGGACTTGCCTCCTAGGCGAGTGTCCCCGCAGTCTGACCAATGACACATATGTGGTCAGGATGCTTCTGCAGCACTATAAGGCAAAGTATGTAATGATGACTGAAGAAGCTGGTGCTGAATATTTCGAAAATTAGTGACTGGTCTCTTCTACCACTGACACATGTACCAGAAAGATCTTTTATCCCGTGCAGAAAATACTTGCCCTCTGCTCCCCTGCTCCCTTGTTTACTGATGGACACAGCCAGAAGAATGCCGTTCTCCAGCCAGCGAGAGAGGTCTCACCAGGAACTCAGCTAACTGGCACCTGGCTCTTGGGCTTCCTAGCCTTCAGAACGGGGAGAAATAAATGTCTGCTATTTATGGTGGGGGGGTGGGGGAAGAACAGAAGAAAGAAAATACTTGCCCAGAATTAGGTTCTTAACAAGTTTTTGCTCATCTTCCTTCTTGTACTCCAGCATTCCTTGGAAATCCTTCTCTTTCCTGGGAATGTTGACTGGACGGATGGGTTCGTCAATGATCTGCCCTGGAGATATGTTCTCCATCTGGCCCACTTTGTAAAAAATAAACGGGAGAAGAAAATGTTTTCCAGGTAGAGAAGATGAGAAGGTTTCATGTTCTTATAATTCTAAATGATAAATTCTGTAACAGCAGAAACATGCCGTATGTGCCACTTAATTGTCCCTTCTTTAAACACTTGTTCTGTTAACATTGCCTATAGATGGCAAGATTAGATGGTAAAGCCACTGACAGCCACCAGTGCTTGGCTACTATCAACATCAGAGAACCTTACTTGATTCAAAAGCATTTTTTAAATAATAAATTTACTCTGTAATAAGATTAAGTGTCCCCAAAGTAAGTGGTTTAATTTCTTGGTTAATGAATCATTGTTAATTATAAATGGCTAAAGATATTTAGACTTAAATCAGAGAAGGAAAAACAAAGAGGAAGAAAGAGTGTAGGGGATTCCCCCTTACTTTTGGTTTTATGAATGTAGTCATTGGAGAAAAAGACCATTTACTTTAAATGTATCATTGCAATCAGTTCAGACCACATCAAGATAGCTGGTAGGATAGGGTTTCTTCACACTAGTTGGCATGAAATGTATTATTTTTCACAGAGGCTTCCCAAGGCAAAGACCTAACTTTCACCAGCTGTCCCTCGTTCCCAAAGAATTCATGAGCAGGTAAAACCACTTCCATTTAATGTGATTTCCTAAATATTATTTTTTTGTTTGTTTTTAGTACAGTGCCAAAAGTCCTACCATGATGTTGCAACTATTAAAGCACAACCACTGCTTAATAGCCTTACAGGTGTTAAAAGTGGTCACTACTGTCACTAGCTGCTGCTGGAGAAGAGTTATGCTAAGGATTAAAAAAAAAAGCCTCCAACATCATCTCAAAATTGAGAATTGAATGGGGAATGCAAGAGAAGGTAGGGGAACACACGAGTTAGAGTTATGGTGGTGTTTCTGGAGACACATGCCAGTAAGCAGGTTGTTTTCTCTGTAGGAGGGGGCAGTTAAGAAATCTATTTGGAGTTCAGAGACTTGTTGAACAAATGCAGATCAGATGCATTGGAAAGTTTAATGCTGCTTACTCCACAGGGTGACAGTCATGCTGCTCCTGCCTCTACTGGGCAATTCCTGTGTTGGTTCTCGGAAGCCACCTCCACTGGAAGAGGTTACCCGAGGGAACGCCATCTCCTGTCAGTGCTTTTGCTTATGAAGCAGAGAGGCTGGTGACACCTGTCCACTTCTTGCTGCAGCCTCGCACAGCAGGGCTGCCAGTGCTGAAGATCACCACCGCCCATCAATACGGTGGTATCTAAGGAGTGACTGTCCTGTGATTGGACAAACCAGGGCTGTGGCATCTAGTGCTTCAGATGCATGATGCCGTCTGGAAGCCACGAGACTAACTGTGAATTGTATGTGTCTGCACAAGCGATAGAAGATTTAGACTATTCAGTTTTACATATATTATTTCTGGAGTCAGTTTAAACACAACAGCCTCAGGATTTTGAAGTCCACACAAAGTGGCCTTCCCAGCTCACGTACATGCTGCATATAAAATGCAAAGAAATAACATCCTCACTATCTATATTACTAGTTCTTTTCAGCCACAGAAACAATCCTAAGAGGAGAAACTGGGAGGAAATACATTCAGCATGTTAAGTTTACCAATAAATGTACATATCTGGACTCCATTTGATACAAAGAGAATGCTTTAAACCTACTGATTTCATCATATCTATGGGGCCATTGATTATGAAATAACATTATTTTATATAACACTAAAGAAGGAAAACATTGCCAATTAAGCTGTAACCCATCAATAGTTGTGAAACACATCCTGATTTCGGAGATGTTAAAATGTCAAAAATTGTGTACTTCAGAATTTATGAAATATGCTAAATATTTTTATTAAGAGATTTCATGTTTTAAAAGAAAACTTCACTTTCCTTTTGCAAAATCTCTAATCAAGATATTTTTGGTTCTGTATAAAAAAGTCAAAGTTAAAATTTGCTATACTTCTATTAAGGATGCCTTTAAGTAAGTAAGGCTTACTTACTTAATTACTTATTTCTATTATTTAAGCCTTTTCTTAAAAAAAAGATTTTATTTATTTTTAGAGACGGGACAGGAGAAAGAGAGGGAGAGAAACATTGATGTACGAAAGATACATCCGTTGGTTGCCTCTCGCACATCCTCAACTTTGGACCTGGCCCACATCCCAGGCATGTACCTTAACCGGTAATCAAACTGGTGACCTTTCGGTTCGTGGGCTGGCACTCAATCCACTGAGTCATACCAGCCAGGGCTCTCTCTGCCTTTGAATTCTCCCCAGAGACTTGAGTCTTTACAAAAACTTAGATAAGATGTAGATGTTAGCTTAATATGACTTTGATTCATTTAATTAGTGCATCTTTGCACTAATTAAAATAAAATGCCAGCCCTTATCAGTATCAGGTAAATGTAAAGTCAGAAAGGGAGAAGCCAGAACACCCACCCCAGTTTTCAAAGATTCAAGAGACCCTGGGAGTCATTCAGTCCAATGAGCCATCTAATACCAACATCCCAGAAGGACCTGAAGCAATCCCTATTTCTACTTCATAGATTCTTTATACTTGAGGGAAAAATATTTCTAAACCTTTTTTGTCTTGGAAAAGGAAAGGACACTAGAATTTTTTAAAATTTATTTTTCTTCATTGAGGTACCAGGAAGATCTGGATCTCAAGTTTAATTGAGACAGTTAAATTCCTATAAATAGATAAATTCTGCTGGAAAATATGACACAAAGGAGAGACATCAGTGGTCCTCAGAAGGCTTGAGTTAGGCATAGTTTGGCCACTAACTGGCTGAGACCTTGGACATCACTTATAGTTTCTGGGCCTCAGTTTTTTCTCCCACAAAATGATTAACTCATCTCTAGAATTCTTTAAGTTCCAAATTCCTTGATGCCATGAAAATTGAGATGGAACATCCACTCCTGGATTAAAATATAATCCAAACCATATCAAATTTTGAAACATTCTCCATTTAGCTATGTAATTTCTGCTAAAAAAATATATGTTGGCGTTTAAAAAAGTTTTCATTGGCTTCTAAAACAATCTCTGTAATTAGAGTGTAACCCACAGTAGGAGGCAAAAGTCTTGCTATTTTCAACCAGAAGAACAGGATATTATAATACATGTTTTTAAAAATATAATACAATTTTTAAATGTTCCCAGGATTTTCTGTATAATGGGGGATGAGGAAACTGGAAGAAAAAAGTGTTGGAAGAGTCTTGTCACCTCTGTCCTCTAACTTTGGGAGGTGGGGGGACATTGCTCTCAGCAACTGGTCAGTCAAATTTCATTTGATCTCAGTTGATCTCATTTTATTATTTGGACTTGTATCATTTAACACAACCTTTTTTTAAGACTATTATAATGTCCTTTTTTTCCCTTAGTCTATGAATTGCCTTCTCAAGTGCTACTTATATGTTTAAGAAAATAGCTGGCAGGATAGTTTGACAGATGAGTTGATTTCTGATTGAATTATGGCTTAAAATTGCTAACATCTTAAAATATCCCAATCTCTCTCTTCAATTAAAGCTGAGTTAAAACTTAAAATAACAAGTGAAACTATTAGGAGTTTTAAATAAAAATCTCACAAATTGATACCCTTGAAATCAGTTTCTTTCAAGCAAATACTCTGCTATCTAATTATCATCTCATGATGTAATTAGTGCAGAGTTAAGTGCAGAAAAGTTCTCTGAATAAAGGTTTTTAAAGTTTTGCCAACAGACATTTTAGCCTGTGTGTATGACTGAAGGTTCAATACATTATTCAGATATGTAATATCTGAATCACATAATGCTAAAGGACTGTATATAAAATATGACAGCAAAGTAATCTGTTTTCTAAATATATCTTTCAGCATTTGTATATCCAAGGGAATATTATACTCTTCAAACTAAACATCCATGCTGCCATTATGGAATGATTATAATAGGTCAGATACTATACTAGGTGCTGTGAAAAAGGGGGAAATAAAAGGTGACCCCTTGCTCAGGAAGCTCACAGTCCACTGAGGAAGTCAATAATTCAAACAGAAAAACTGCTAAAAATATGACAGTGAAAAACCATAAAAGATATTAGTCAAATTGTGGTACAGAGAAGATAGAACCATAGGTCTGCGTGATCAGAAAAGGATGCTCTTAAGGATGTAACATATGTCTCTGATTTCAAAGGATGAGCAGAATTTGACCGAGAGGCAGGAAGACCAAAGAGAAGAAACAGTTACGATAGGCCGGGCATGATGGGGCATGAAAACCACACACAGTGAGTCATGGTAATTATTGTGAACGTTCCCAGTGTTAGGGACTCTTCACTCCTTGAGCCAGGCAAGAATTAGTCAGAGTGACATTAGGAGAATGGATGGGGAGTCAGACGACACAGTATCATTTTTGGTCAAAATGACAACAGTTTGCATAGATGTGAAGGCAATTCCAAAGAGTGTCCCTGAAACTCTTGAACAATAAGAGTGTTGTTGGAATAAGTTTGGAATTTGGCTTTTGCCCTGCTCACTTCTATATTCCTGGCTCCTAAATAAATACCTACTGAAAGAACAAACATACTAGTGCACAAGATGAGATTCATTTGTATATAATAATAACTGATACTTAATTCATTCTCAAGGTATTTTCCTATCATCATCATATATAAATTAGGAGATGTTTTTATAAATCTTATTTCTTTATAACCATAATTCATTTTTTCTTATTTCTCTTTTTATCTGCATTACATGGTTAAGTTCTCTGAGGATACAGACTTTGTCTTACTCGTCTTAGTATCCCTAATACTAAGAATAACAGCAATAATAATAACTAAGTTATATATATAGCATTTACTGTGTGTCAGGAACTGTACTAATGCATTACACTTATTAACTCATTTAATCTTTACAAATCACATCAGGTAGACCATTTTCATTCTCATTTAAGACCTGGGAAAACTGAGGCATTGAGAGGTTCAGTAACTTGCCCAATATCAGGTGCCTAATAGGAGAAAGCTAGGGTTTGAACCCAAGAGACTAGGCTCCAGAATCCTGTCTCTTATCCTCTATGCAATACTGCCTAGCACAGTGCCTGACATATAGAAGATAGTCGTCGATGTTTATTGAATGGATTCTCTCATTTTTAAATTTTTTCTACAATGAAAAGAACATTTTCCCCCATCTTGCAATGAAAGTATCCACTTCACAGACACTAGGCTTGCTGAAAGTCAGTTTTGCTATCATCTGATAGTCACATGCAAACCTATTAGGCCACTACTGTAGCAATATAAAACCAAGATTCAGCAACTGTCATAAAACATGTTTGAAATACCTTCTAGTTCACCAATTTTTTTGGCAAATACTTTCAGTTGTTTTTTCAGTTTCCGTACAGTCTTATCTTGTTTTTCAAGTTGTTCCATCAAATCCTAAAGATCAAAATGAGAAATATAACAAAAAGATCAAAATAGGTCTTGTAAAATGCATAGGAGGAAAGCAGGCACAAAATCACAGAAACAATGCTGTTAGTTTCACAGAAAAGCTCATCATCGGTGGAGCCACCACCTGGCTAAAACTGGCAGGCATGGGAAATGCAGCTACAAAAAAAGCCAAATGTTAAAATATACAATGCAGTGAGGTCCTTTACAGCGTGATGGATAGCAGGCTCACCGTGGAGTCTCTTCCAGTAGACTCCATGTGGGCAAAACAATTAAATGCTCGTAAAATGTACTGCTATTCCAGTGGAATGTTTTCATTTAAAGGGGAAGAGACAAAATAAATTTTGATGAATGCACAGTAAGTTTTGTGGCATGTTTTAAGGGCAGTTGAACTTAGATAGGGGCTTCTGGCTTCTGACTTCCATCACACTGCTGGCCTGTTGTTAGTAACAAACCAAACGTGACAATGGACACAGGACACTGACAAAGGTGACACCACTGGCTCAGACACAGCTGTAGGGAGAAAGAGGTTTCGTGAAAAGTTTTTGAAGAGACTTCCTGGGGAGGAGCAGGCAGCTCCTCAGTTACAGAGAGCTAGAAGCTGCGAAGGAGACAACAGAAAAGCACTCTGAGTTTACATACAATCATCCGTCTGTAAAGTGAAATCCGATAGGATTGATACTTCTTAGGGTCATCTGCATATAATTCCTCAAAATACTGAAAAAACAGGCACAATGGATATTTGTTTTTCTCTGTGTCTTCGAGGGGAATGCTACCTCTCAGTAAAATCAATTTTAAAATATTTTAAGACTTAGGGCATTGTTTTTATTTTTTAAACTCAGTTTTAAAAAACTAAAATGTTCTTTCAAAAGAGGCACCTAAATATGTTCCTAATTTTGTACGTGGGCTTAGGTTTTGTAACCAATATATAAAGCTGCTATAAAAAAAAAAAAATTTAAGACTTAATGAAACAGTATATACCCAAAAGGCTCTGATTTGTCACCTGCCATTGCCTTCTGATCTTTGTAGTACAGATAATTCCAGTTTTATAACTGTACACATATATTTTCACATGCTCAAAGGAAATAGGCTATAGCCAGGATGCCATCATTCAGCAGGTGAACAAAGTGGTGGTCCATGGTCCCCAGATAAGGCTGTTCTGTTAAAATTTCACTCCTCACGCCCTCTCACCCATTGCTGCACTTTTTTGGGGGCCAGCAGCTGTCGCAAGAGTAGAGAAAGCAAATAAAGTGAGAGTGAGAATAATGGCAATACTGGCACTCTTGTTTGAAGGTGGGAAGGCTGGCAAGAAGCTGTGCGCCTTCCTTCTCTAAGAGGCAGCATGGGGGAGGCCTGTGAAGCACGTTCACTAGAGGAGGAAGAAACACCATCTCCGTGTTTGCGTTGGGGGTGGGTGGGAGGGCGGTTATGCAGGGCGGTGTTTCCAAGAACTAGGCCTACACAGCTGCTTTAACATTCTGCTCAAGCGTTTCCTAAAGAAATGCACAATTAAGATTGAGAAACTAAAATAATTTTGAAAAAGTGCATCATTCTCTGTGTTTAAATAAGCTTGAGACCATTCTCCTGAATTAGCAGTCAGTCAATTAGTGAGGCAGGAGAAGCAGCTGACCTACAAAGGGTTTTCCTAAACCTCAGACAAACTCATTAACTAGTCTACGAGCTTAGAATTTTGGGGTTCAGTTTATTTTTGTATTAGCTATGGAAAATTACCAAGAAAATTTACTACAGACAAGGTTGCAAGGGAATGTTTAATCAACTTGGTGAAAAAACTCTGGGAACCTGCCACCCAGAAGCATCCTTATTTCACAGTTTCACCTTGTATTTGAAGACAATCATTTATAAGCAGAAAATTTATACACTGATCAATCATTATTATATTATTTAGTATATTGATCAATTCTTAGGCATTTAAGCATTGTTAGTTAAATTTAATTAAGCAACAATATACTTGAGTCATAAAATGACATCGCAAAAATACTTCATGATTCAGAAGATCTCCCCCACAAACCAGTGATATTTCAGTCACTCTGGGAAGAGCCCAAACCCTGCCCTCAGCCCTCTCTCCCACGCCCACAGCGGAGCCACCCACAGCATGCTGTTCTCCTGCCCTCGCAGGGACGGCAGGCTGTGAAAAGGACACCTTCGGGCTTTGCTTCTGATTAATATAAAAGATGGTTAAATAGATGACACTAGAAAACTGTTTGTAATGTAAAATGATCATTAAAGGAGCAATGGAGGGGTAATTCAGATTGTTAAACTATCACAGAAAATCCAAACTATTTATTATAGATCATTAAAACCGTGACTTAAAAAAAGACAAAACACTACCAGTTCTAAATAGCTTTTCTCAAAACCAGGCTGATACTACAATACAGATTTTATGTAGAAACATGGATACCAAAAGCCTGGCATATAGTTGGACGATACCTTGCAGACCCTCCAAGTTAGGCCTGAGAGAGCCTTCTGTGAGAAACAAAACCTGCACACGTGCCTTTTCCATTTCTGCCAACAGAGTCCTATTTTCCTCGCTCTGTCTCTGCTGAGTGAGAGGGTAGCAAGTGTAGGGCAGTGAGCCTTCCCAAGGAGAAACTAGGGGCACGCGGCAGAGCTCGGCACTGCCTGCTGAGGAGCGTGCGGGCCAGGTCCCCGCCCTTACCAAGTTTTCGTTGGTCAGCCGGGTGATCTCGTGCTGCAGGCTGGCCTCGATGCGGGCCTCCGGGGGCAGCTGCAGGTTCTGGGCCAGCAGCTGCTGCTGCCGGTTGTTCTCTTCCTTCAGGCTCTGGATCTCCCCGCGGAGGGCTTCTGCCTCGTTCTCATGGCTCCTCTTCTGAGACTGGAGCTGGGATTCCAGGAGCCTGTGGAGAAGCCACACAGATAGGAAAGGGAGATCGCAGGAGTGCCTGCCTGGTAGGGGCAAGGCTCTGCGCTCACTCACAAGGGCAGGAAAGGCGGGGGCACAAGCAACTGTGTAACCTCTCACTTGACTGAAGTCAGGAAACTCAAACAAGACTGGAAAAGGATGCAAATGTTCACATTTCTGTCTTTCTGAATTATGGATCCTGCTACAAACATAAAGTTCTCAAAGGCCTTGAGGAGCAAGGGAATTTTAGCTCCTTTATTCATTCACCAGAATGATGAGTAAAATAATCATTTAGAAGACATAGCTTTAGTCTGGCTGACTACATTTACAAACTAGCACTTAAGTTGGCAAAGACAGTACCTTTGCCACAAAATAACTGCACTATAGAGCAAGATTACAAGCTCCTGATCTAATTAAATATGCCTTTAAGAATTTCAGCATTTCTAATTTCAGGTAGAGGGTGCAACCAAGGGTCGCATTTTTTTTTTTTTTTTTTACTTTCTACACTTATCTGTGAAGAACAGAAACGCTGGAGCGCTCCTCTGAAATATATACAGATTTACCCAAATCTAGAGAGTTAGTTCTAAAATTTCATATACAAATATTTTAAAATTGTCATCTTCTTTGTCCCCATAAACTTCCATATCAGTAACAGAATCCTAGCAAGACATGGTTTTAGACCATAAATATTAACAGGACCAACAAAGGGGATTACTGTTCCTGTGAACACAAACATACAAGTCAGCCATGCCCGTAAGCAGACCACAGCACTGGCAGGGAGAACAGCACAGAGAAACAGCAGGCTCCCATTACCTGTGTCCCTCGCCCCCATTTCTACATTCACCCCCCTTCTAAACATAAAACAAAATTACAGTTAGAAATTATTTAGCATGAAGGAGGAAAAGATGTTCTTTTACTCTAATCCCCTTGGTTACCAACTGCGCGGCAAAAATTTATTAATGCCCCTGCAAGCAAACTGTTAAGAGCAAACTAAAAATAGTTTAGTAAGTATCAAATTTCAAGAGGGTTTGAACCAATAACACCACAAAGTTAATGACAATGGTTTATGATTAGAACAAACAAAGCAGAATAAGCGGAAGCCCTTTGAACACATAGCATATTAAGTATTTTTTAAAACTTAATTACTAAAATGGTAATTTTTATGAGATTTTTAAGATACAAATATTACTAGAGCAGACGAGTATCTGTGTTAGAAAGATGTTGCTGTTTCAATTTTATTTGCTTTCCCCTAAACATATTTAACATGTTGAGTCTGGATAATTATTTTGAGCTGTAGCAATGCAGGAAACCCTCCTGATTTGCTCTTTCACAAATTTGAACTTCACAATAACCACACAGAATGCCAAATCATGTACTTAATACTGCTGTTAGGCAGCATGATTATATTGGGTTGGCCAAAAGGTTTGTTAAGTTTTTTCCATACGATGCTCTAGTAGTGCTTAGCTGTCTTTAATTTCACTCAAAACAATTTTGTTAGATTGGATTGTGACAGCTGTCATATCAGCATGCATTAAAAAAAAATCAAAATTGGTAAATTTTTGTGCAGCCATTTTAATATTGAAGATGGAAGGAGACATGGAACATTTTCAGCGTATTATGCTTTATTATTTCAAGAAAGGTAAAAACACAGCTGAAATGCAAAAGATTTGTGCAGTGTATGGAGAAGGTGCTGTGACTGATTGAATATGTCAAAAGTAGTGTGAAGTTTCTTGGTACTGTTGACGTTTTGGCCAAATAATTCTTTGCTGTGGGGCTGTTTTATGAATTGGGAGATGTTTAGCAGCACCCCTGGCCTCTACCCACTAGAAGCCAATAGCAGGATATAGACAACACATTCAAAATATCCAAATCAATAAAATTGGTGAAAATGAAAAACCTTTTATTTTATGGAAAAAACTACACAGACTTTTTGGCCAACCCAATAATATATAAGAGTGCAGGCACATCGCCATAGGCACATATATCCTTTAGACTGATCATTATTCCAAACAAGAAACTACTAAGTAATTAGGTATTAATCTCTTCCTCACAGAGGTTTGAGCTCTAGTTGAAAGGTTTTGGTTTTCTTCCAACTCCTAGTGAGATATTCCCACATTTTAGTGTCTGAAGGGAACTTTAGATATAGCACCTTTCACTTAAAGGACAGTAACTCTTATAACCACCATCACTCTGTTTCAATTTTAAAAGCATCCCTTACTAGAGAGGGTTTTTAGGAAGGTATTTGGGTGAACACTCCAAGTTTCACTGAAATTTACCTAAGAAGACAATTAAAGCACAAGAAATATAGAGTTTAAAGTCAGGAGGCCACTGTTAGTAAGAAAAACAACAAATTAATAACATTCTGTTTTGAGGAGACAAATATAACCTGTTGGCTTGTTTTAACCCTTCATAAACCAGCCACAGCTCTCCATCCTCATTCAGCTCATGGAAATCCAGAGCAGATGATCTTCCATGCACAAGGAACAACAATGCAAAACACAAAGGAATACGGGATGGGAATGAGATGATGATGGTCAACAGCATCATAAGCATCACATGGTGTTTCAATATTTTATTGTCAATATACTGTTTTTGTTAATTACAGATAACTTCAAGACATTATCACAAAAACTATTTTTGGTTAATTTTTTAAAAAATGTGTAACATATAAATGGATAGAAAATAAAATAATAAGGATCTATACTATTTTTCCTGCAAAATAAGAAATGATTCAAAAGATGAAAAAGAGGTTATGTTTTTAACATTTTATTCAGCTAGTAGAGTGATCTTTTGTGCCACTTATGACATTAGAGATGAACCACAACAGTCACACACATATAGAGTGAAAGTTGCAGGTTGCCTTCATGTGGCAACCTTCACGATCTACTTCAAAATGAAGTTTTTGAAATTAATATTAATAACTTAGTAATATTAATACATTAATAAAACTAATATTCTGAGTGTTTGCTAAGTGTCAGTTTCATTCTATATTCTTCCCCATATATTATTTCATTTAGTTTTCTTGGTAACCCAGTATCTATCATTTGCCCCAGGGCAGAGGAAGACATAGAGGCTTAGAAGTAAGGTTCCTAGAGGTTACACAGCTGGAGAGCAGGGATGCTCAGGGCTATCTGGTGCCGGAGCCCAGGTTCTCGGGCCTCCTCCTAGACTTCTGATGCTGATATGATGTTTAGAAAAAACAAATTCCAGAGCATGATCTTTTATTTTCCACCTACCACCTCTCCCTGAAGAGTTCATCTATTTGCATGGTCTCAATTGTATTATTATATGCTCATGACTTCAACATTTACATTTCAGCCCACACATCTCTCCTGCTTCAGATCTATACTTTCAAAAGCCTAACGGACATCTCTCTTGGGATGTCTTCCTAGCTCCTTAAATTCAGTATCTGTAAGTCTACCAATCACCTCCACCCCATGTTGCCCTACATCCCCGACCCAGGATCACAAAATGGCATCACCACATCCAAACAAGTGTCCACAGCAGACGCTTCAGAGTCACCCTTCACCGTCCCCTATTCCTCACTGACACATCCAATAAAACACAAGGCTCACCGACCTTGTCTGCTTCTCTGTCTTCCAAAGCATCCCACTTCTCTCCACCCCACCTGTCGCCAGCCAAGTCAAAGTCACCATAAGCCATCATTTGAGTACAGTAATAGCCTCCTAACTGGTCTTTATGTCTTCAGTCTTGTTCCACTACAATCTAGTCTCTAACATAAATGCCAGAGTTAGCTTTTTAAAATTCAAATTTCATTATATCATTCTCTTACTTAAAATCTTTCAACAGCTTCCACTATTATTGGAGTGAAGTCCAAAATCTCCTGGCTGTCTCCCCCACAGCCTATAAACTCTGTGAATGCATGTACCATGTGGACTGCTAATATTCCCAGCGTGCGGCACAGGGCCTGGTATGAAATAGGCATGCAATACATATCTGGTAATTGAATAGCTGATGGATGAACAGTGTCATCTAGCTATTTTTATACTTATACACTCTTAGGTATAGGATGTGTTATTTGTAATTTACATTCATAAATTAAAATTCAAGTTTAACCTAATACTTTTATAAACATTTTCCACCCTTCCCAATAAAAGATATTTAGTTTGTGAAGTATTTCTATATACCAATCGTGATACTATGTATCAGGAGACGCAGACTGTATACTGACAATAAAAGTCTTCAGAATTGTCTTTTTCTGTGATCATCACTGGCCATATTCTTTTAAGCATGTACTCTATTTTTTAAGTATATTTTATTGATTATGCTATTACAGTTGTCCCATTTTTTTCTCCCCTTTATTCCCCTCTGCCCTGCACTCTCCCTCCAGCATTCCGCCCCCCACCTCCCAGCTTAGTTCCTATCCATGGGTGATACATATAAGTTCTTAGGCTTCTCCATTTCTATACTATTCTTAACCTCTCCCAGTCTATTTTGTACCTACCATTTAGGCTTCTTATTCCCTGTACTTTTCCCCCCATTCTTTACCTTCCCTCTCCCACTGATCTCCCTCTGTGTGATCTCCATTTCTGTGGTTCTGTTCCTGTTCTAGTTGTTTGCTTAGTTTGTTTTTGTTTTAGATTCAGTTGTTGATATTTGTGAGTTTGTTGTCATTTTACTGTTCATAGTTCTGATATTCTTCTTTTTCTTGATAAAATATTTCATATGATAAGGGCTTTGTTATGAAAGGCAAGGATCTACATCCAAGGTTACTTTATCCAGCAAAGCTATCATTTAGAATGGAAGGCCAGATAAAGTGCTTCCCAGCCAAGGTAAGCACATGGTCTTTTAAGTTCAGGGTTCAACAGCACTGTGGCTCTGCTGAGAAGGTGGCAAGAGGAAGGCTGACAGAATTCCAGAGATGAGCTTTATTCTGTGATATAACCTCAGCTACAGAAAAAGCTTCAGAAAGTTCAGTTAGTGATGGTTCAAATTCTGCATTCTCAGCCAGCCCATTTAAGATTCTTGAATGTACAGTGACCGAGTTAAGTGCCACCAGAAATATCATTCATATTTAGAGTATATGGAATAAAACCAGAGTTAGGATTTTCTTAGAACACCTTAGGGAACACAACACAACAAAAATGTGGTTTCAAATATCAGGGTCCTGCCCTAGAAATTATAGAACCCTTTTAGAATTATATGGCCAACACTAATATGATTTCAGACACTTCATCATTTCTCTTCACCTTAAATTTTGATTATTGAAAGCTGCAGTTGTCCCTAAAAACCTTCACAAATAACCAGCCTGAATAACAAATAAAAGTGACTACCCAAGACAGTCAGTCCAAAAGTGAGCAACTTGGTTTTCTTCTCAGGGCTAAGATCTTAAAGATACAGACATACACCCCCTTGATATAAAGAACATTTTCCCTGACACCTCTCATCAAAAAATGCTACATTATATTATAAGCTTTTATTAAACATATTGAAAAAATTTGATTCCCTTTGAAGGTCAGCTGATAACTACTAAAGCAATGTATAAATACTTTGACTTACTGTACAGGAGGTTTGAAGACTAAAGATCAATGTGATTAAACCAAAATGAAATAAAAACAGGATCAACTTACCTGTTTGTTTCTTTCAAACCAATGTATGCTTGTGCTATTTCACCTTTATCTTTCATTTTCTGTACATCTTCCAAAAGTATTGTGGAATCTGTCATTGTATTCTGAAGGGGGAAACAACACATTTCCACATTAAGAATCAATTCAAAAGCTCTGGGCCACATACAACATATTTAGGTGTTTCTGTGTTCCAGCACAACTGTGCCCCTCCGGAGCACCAGCTCCAGACTGCAGAAGTAGAGAGGACAGTGGACATAAGCAATCAAGAAAAAGAGAAACCTTCAGTCCTCTGGAGAATTCTTAACGCTCTGCTGTAAATGTGGTGAGATTCTGGAATACTACGCCCTTGTAAATAAAATAACTGATGGGCTATGTGTGTTTTACATTGTGTGTGCATGTTGTTAAAAAAATATATACACATATATACTCCATTTGCCTGGTTATTGTTCTAATGCTACATATACTATATGCTATACACACACACACACACACATACACACACACACACATATATAAAAAATAGGTTTCATATATATAAAACATATACATACTTCAAAACGTACAAGCAGCAGTAGAACAAAAACCAGGCAAGAACATTGAGTATCTAGTGAAGTGGTCAACGTTGTTCTTCCTACTACTTTTCAATCAGTTATATTAAAACAAATGCCCTAATGAAACACTACGAGCTTGATATAAAGCTCATTCTTCCATGAAAAACTCAGTACAAAAAAGGTGGCATTCAGATATATGCTTCAGCATACAGCTATACATATATATAAATGGCAAGCATTTAGCTCCTTGTAAATACCTACCTTCTGCTGTTATTCCATTCTTTTTCCTTTGTTACAGTATTACATGGTACCTAAGCTTTTTGGAATAAATGGCTGGTCAGAATTTCTAATGATTTTGTATAAAAATAACTTTTCTTCTAACATTTTTATTTCCTTTTTAATTTTTCCTCTTTGGTCTAATCTGTCTGACAGCCACTGGAATTTCAAAATTTTGCTTCTACTCAGCTACGCTGTATCTCTCCTAAACAACAATAGGAAAATAGACAGTAAGAACCACTGTTCTATAGTCTCTAAAAAAGAATACACTGTAGAAGCCAAGGGGTCATTCTGTCTGTCAGAATAGTATATGTTTGATCTACATATGTGCCAGTGTTTGCTCTACAGCCAGATTACACAATGAAGTGGTGTTAGTAGAATACACTTCAAATACCAGGATCTTAGAGACCAGTTTCATGATAACTTTAATGCCAACTAGAGGCCTACAAATACTTGCTTTTGAATTTTAGTGTTATGAGAAACATCTTTTTTTTTAAATCCCCTTTTCTCCTAATGCTGTTCTTGTGTCAGTTTATAAATGTATCCTTAGAGAAGAACAAATATAATCTGATAAATGCTATTAACAAAAGCTTATGTTTTATTGAATTTTAAGCACCTTTCCCATAAACATCAGACACAGCATTTCTTTAGCTACTTTTATCAATATTTCAGTACATATGTCATAGAAAATTTCTTCTTTCTCTTTTGCTGAAAGGCATGAAATCATTCTATTCTATAAAGGGCCATACTCAGATTTTTAAGTTTTAAGCAATAACTCTCAAAGCCCCAGGTTCTAGAGTGCTATATGTATACTCTGATTTCTGAGGACCTACCAATCGGATGTGGTTTTGAACTTTTAGTAAATTAGGTAACCTGATCTAATTAACTGATGGAAAGGAAAGACAGGCTTCTCAATACTTTGCTGTCCTGACCGTAAGTAGCTAGTCCTTCCTCAATCCGGCCTATTGCAGCTAAGATGTGGTGGCTGGGGCATGGGGTCAGACTTCGACTGCCAGCATTAGGGCGTTCCCAACTCACTGCTCAGTCTGTCTCCCACAACCAGAAGTCCTGAAATGGCTGCAACCTGTAGGAAAATCCCACCCTTGTCGGGTGTGCTCTGCAACTCAGGCTCCTCTTCGTCCTTGGCCAACAAACCCATAGCTGGTAAACATGAGATCATAGGAGAGCCTGTGCTTTTAAGTGTGCTCCAAGTCAAGGGCTTCCCTCCCCCACTTGTGGATGGGCTACCATAACTACCACAGTGAGTGACAGAGCTGACCGTGAGTGAGAAGTCATTACGACCTCTCTGTGAGCCAGACTACTACATCCCTATTTTCCTACTGACCTCCCGAATAAGAAGGGGTCAAAATAGGAAATCAATTTATAAATATCAAAATATACTTGGTGGCCACGAAGCATCATTTGCATACACTGAGAGATATCTGTAAACTAAAATTAGGATTAAATAGTATTTACTAAAAATTTTATAATTACCTTGTCGTCCTGAAAATCACAAGTCAGCGAGCACAAAAAAAAAAAAGAGAAAACAATAAACCCTTAGTTCCATAAATAAATTCTAGCATTGAGTTCCCATCCTAAACAATAAACTGTAAAAAACAACCATGAATTGTTTTCCCTAAAACTAACTCAATAAATTAATATTCATGGAACTGACATGAGGTGGACATTAATATATATTTATGTCTTAATTCTCAGGAACAAGTGCTTGAAATTCTTTTGGCATTTTTTTTTCTCTAATTGTAAAATCTTTCTGAGTATGTGAGAAAATGTCCCTTCTGTTAATGTGTGTGAGTGAAATTCTTTTCCCAGGTCTGTGAGAGTTACAGTAATGCCCTGACAGGAGGTCATGTGCCCAAGGAAAGCCTCCCAGAACACTCATGGAGGTGGAGTGGATGAACTAGACCTGGCTGGTTGGAGTCACCACCCTGATCACTGGGTATCACCACTGTCTTGCAAAGTTGTGAAATCATGCTTCTATGACTGTGACACTGAGTGAGACAAACAGCCCTCAGGTATTTGAAAGGCCTCAATGACCTCACGGGCACTTTTCCTAGGAGAGGACAAGCTGCCGCCATGCGTAAGCTGGGAGCTGGGAGCTGGGAGAGCAGAAACCTCGACTGGACGGCACCAGTCCATGAGGGGCTGGTAAGCGGCTGTCACAAGGAGTATGTGAGCTGGGTCAGTGAGGGTGTGTGATCCCAGAAACATGTGTTCTGCTAGAGGGATTGTTTTATGTGCCTTGGTTCATTTTTCTTTTCCTTAACTTTGACTGAAGTTTCTTATGAGAATACCAGTTTGTCACAAGGGAACCAGAGAGAGAAATCCCAACCGTGGACTCTGCTCCAGCTAGTATGTAGAGAAATCCTTGTTTCTTGAGTGGTTGTCATGGGAACCAAATTGAAACAGCCCTAGGGAAGGCGAGAGGTACATACAGGGCCAGGCCAAAGGAGAGATTCCATTCTCCAAATATTCATTTCAGACTTAAGAGGCTTGTGATTTGTTTTAAAATAAGAAAGGACATTTTTTATATAACTCCATTTGTTACTGGGATATTCCAGAATTTGATATTTTCTGGATCAGTGTTAATCCTAGGTCAGAGATCCCATCATGAAATCCAAACCTCTGTGCCAGGTCTGGTATCTTAACCGTATGCAGAACTACCATTCTTTTAAGAGAAGCACTCTGAGATTCCAAGCATCTAGTTCATCATCTATCCCAGTCATATTTTATAGCATGTGATACAGTTGGGATAGCTGACTGCCTCAAGTCTCGGTCACACTTAGCTACATGAACATGGGCAGGGACATAGGCCAGGCTTCCACACGATTACTCAGGTCATTTTTGTCTGATGGCAAATGACAAAAAGGCCCATTTCTGATCAGCACGTGGCATTGGTAGGTCTCAAAATACCTGAGGACTTCAAAGGGCCATCCATCTCTATCCTCTAGCGTGGTCCTTTCGGTTGAAGCATGAAACACAGCCCCTCCCCACTGGGACAGCTCCTGCTATGAAACAGAACCCTCTGACGTGAGCAGAAATCACCTCCAGGTAACTTCTGCGCACTGATCTCATTTCTAATCTTTTCCTGTTACCTTTCCGGTTAAACAGGCTATCTTCAACAAATAATTTTAAGGTGTATCAAAGCCTTCTCACAGCAAGACAATTTACTTATTTTTGTACTTAATATTTTATTTTTGATCAAAATTTATTGTGGCCAAATTACTACAAAAAAATTAATTTTAAAACCCTATGCTCAAGAATGAGAGATGAAACTTTGAAAACCATTTGGGATTTCCCTTGCTCTTTGCTCACTCCAACTGATATTTGCAACAGTTTTAAAACAACATTAAGATTTTTTCAAAATATGATATCTTTGTTTAGACTAAAAATGCTCTTAAGTGTATGCTTCATTTTTCAATGGAGCGAATGGATAGGAAGAAACAGAGGCAAGTACCCAAATACCCTCTTAAGCCACGCGCTTGTGCTTACTTTGGGTTGGATGGCCTCTTTCTGGCTCACTAGCTGAGACCTCAAGATGAGGACTTCCTCCTTGCGGACGTCAAGCTCCTCACTCACGGAAGTCAGCTGCTCCATGAGGACACGGTACGCTGGTGCACCTGGAGCAGTCACCTCTGGGGCACTTTTCTCACTAAGAGCCTTGCGTAACTCGTTTAGCTCATTTTTCAGTTTTTTGTTTTCTGATTCTAGTTCTTGACGCTGTGTGGAGAGACAAAGAATAGTTCATCACTCTCATCCTCAGCTTTACATTGGAATGCTCATCTTCCTTTGAGATGGTAGAACTCTGCTGGAAAAGATCGTCAGAGCTACCCTAGTGAATGGCTTCCCAGGTTCTACTGGGAACTCTGCTCTGCAGATTAAGGAAGTCTGATGTCAAATAGAATTGAGCAAGGTAAATAGTAGTTAGCCTCATCAACCCAAATTCCAGAGTCAAATTTATTCCAGGCCTGCCCAGGGTGTGCTCACAGGCCTGGAGAGATTGCCAAGTTCCAAGAGATAAGTTTAGCCCAGTCCTAGAAAGCCCAGGTTTTGTTTGTGGGTAAATAAATATAAGGGCAGCTATTAGGGTCCAGCTAGTCAGGTTATTTCCAATGAATAGTTCAAATACATAGAAACCTAAAGTAAGAGTAGCATCCTCTTACTTTCTTCGTAAAACAGAATAGAAAAACCACTGAAATCTTAGGCTTTTAACTTCTAATGAAAAAAATTACCACATCACTTAAACTATTAAAATTCCCTTTAGTGTTTCAATAACAACTAACACTATTTTTCCACACTTCTTTCCTGTGGGACATGCTTGGGAAGTTGCTGGCAGAAGCTCTGAGAGGTGGGGGAAGAGGACCGGCCAGCTCCTCCTTCCGCCATCCAGATGGGCACGTACACCCTTTACCCCTCCGTACTTGCACATACTACCAGCCATCCTTATGCCACCAGTTGCGGCTGCTCTCTGCATATTTTGCTCAAACAGTGGCAATGGAAACCCAGAATAGAGTTCTGACATTAAACTGTACTTACTGGCACTAAAACACAAATGTCACAGAATGCCAGCTGAGAAACTGAAATAGACAGTCCTTTAAAAGCACCACAGTTACATGTGACACTAATAGAAAATAACATTGAATATAAACTGCAGTTAAACATTTTTTAAAATAAAAAAATATAATGATTAAAGGCACCATCGCGCCTTTTTTAGCACATGAGCTAAGGCTTTATGATAGTGGACAAGAGGTACCTCGGTATAAGGATAAAATATTTTCTTGTTTCTTTCAGAGGCAAACTTGAGTTTGTAGCACCATATCAAACCTTTGAACATGTTATAGTAAAACTACTTAAAGTCTTTTTTTCTAGTTTAAGATTAGGGAGGGGGCAAGGGACAGTGGTGGGGGGAAAGGCAGAGACAAATGTATTTGAAAAAATAAATTAAAAAAATAAATAACCCCTTCTTTCATGGATCAATCTATTCTTATGTGAAAAAAAAAAAATGTTCCTTCTTATCCCCAGACTCCCACCAACTGGTAATCAGATTTGCATTGCTCATTCCTGCAGCAGAAAACATGACTGTCTTCAATTTGCTACCTAAGCTCTGATGCAGTGTTTCCCAAACTTCAATGTACATCAGGATCACCTGGAGGACAGGCTGCTGGGCCCTCACCCCGGAGCTTGATTCATGGATACACGAAACAGACTAACATCTCAGAGGGGAGGGTGTGGGGGGCACTTGATAAAAGAAGGTAAAGAGATTAGTCAAAGAACATATCTGCATAGCCCATTGACACAGGCAACAGTGTGGTGAAGGCCAGGGGAGGGGGAGGTGGGGGCTGGGTGAAGGTGGGCAAAGGGTGGGGGGAAATGGGGGCTATCTGTAATGGTGTCGACAATTAAAAACAAAAAAGAATTGTGCGTTTGAGTAGGGTGAAGGACAGGCATTCTCTATACCAAGATGCCGTACAGGCTGGAGAGGAAGAAGTAATTAGTTCTGGACAGTGGAAAGTAGCAAATGGACAGAGGACAGGGGGCTATTAATGTTTGTAAATTATGTACCAAATCACAGTGTTAGGAAATAATGTATGAGGACTAGACTTGAAGTAATATTACTGAAAAAGAAAAAAAAAAACCTTCAAGGATAGTTTAGAGAGACCCTAGGAATTCTCAAATATACATAAAGGCTTTAAAAATAATACGAGCTTCCTTGCACTGTTTTGTGGCTTTTCTGACTTTTAGCTTTGTTTGGTTTTAATCATAAACCTTACCATAATTTTCCAGCTATTCTAGACTCTAACTTATAAAAGTAGAAAATAGTAAAAAAATGACATAAGCAGAAATAAATGTAAGACCAATAAATTAATTAATTCCCTAGAAAACTTCTGAAGTTGGGGGTGTTGTGAGAGCTGACAGCCAGAGAGCTCATACGTTGCAGGGCTCGGAAGACTCTGATTTTGGAAACCAGAGGAAGGGGCTGGGGCTGGGACTGGGGGTGGGGGTGGGCACAGCCTGCTCTGTGTCAAGGGATGGACTCTTATTTTCTCACTAAACTTCAACTCCTATGTTACCCAAGACGATTTGTATTTCAGCAACTACTGTTCTTCATCCAGTGCTTTTTCCCTTGTTCAAGTGCTCTGGGACACACAGTGACAGCTTATAACTATCTAGTTAGACATTGCCTTTAACCATTAAAAGGACACAATCTCCACCTTCACCCCTCTTCTCCCAATAGTTTTTTTTTTTTTTTTTTTTTTTTTTTGATGAGTTAAGAGTGTGTTTCTACTCTGAAAACTAATACCTAGTTATCTTTCTCTACAAACACATAGTTTCAGTGGGGTTTGGTAATTGGGGTATGAGATCTGGAGCCGCAGATACCAAGGTTCAAATCCCGTTTCTGTCCGTTTCCAGTGGGGTGATCTTAGGGAAGTTACTTATGTCTCTTGGCCTCAATTTTCTTATCAGTAAAATGGGAACTAAAATACTGATTTTCAGGACTGTTGTAAGAATTAGAGCTGATATGTAAAATATCTATATTTAAAAATGATGATACCAAGAGCAGCCAACATTTGTTGGGTACTGTTAACTTTAGTGCTGGGCACTATAGTATGCAGGTTACAAGGAATAGTTCATATAATCTTCATGACAGTCCTATAAGATAAACTTTATCATTATTCCCTTTTTACAGATGAGAAAAGTGAGGCACAGAAAGGATACATAACTTGCACACAGCCATGTAGTGGTGGATCTAGCACTGGAACCCAGGCAGTCTGATGCTAGAGTCCATGTCCTCTACTACCTTCCACAGTCTCAAATGGCCGCTACTGGTCATATTTCTGTTAGACTGAACTCCATCTTGTACAGATTAGAACTCATAAAAGGAAACAACACAAGGCTAGAAGTAATGCCTGAATAAGTCTTAAGCTAGGACCTCAGGTGCCCTGGAAGAGGTTCTCTGAGAAAAAGAGAGGCTCTGAGCAAGCCTCTTGCCAAAACAAGATATTCAAAGCCTTGGGCACAAACTTCCTCCTACCTTGAGCGATTCATATTCCAGTTCTGCACCTCTGATTTGTGGTCGTTCTTCTTCCTATGGAAAATATAAGTTAAAAACTTTATAAATAAGTAGTGGTATTTTAATTGTTACATTTTTACTCAGAATATTTCTTTGCTCTGCAGAAAACAGTTAGGAGAATCTTGCCCTCCCTTCTTGAACCAAATCCTACTTGGTTAAAGTACTTCTGAGCTGAGTTTGCATAAGAGACTGCAGAGCTGGACATAAAGTCCCAGCCTCCACGCTCGGTTTGCAGTGGCCCTGGGGGAGCACAGCACTGCGTACCTTTGCCTTGCTGCGGAGCACCTGCTCCTCCTTGCGGTCCAGCTCATCCTGCATAATCTGCTTCTCCTGCTCCAGCTCCGTGACCCGCTTCTGGAGCTTGAGGAACAACGACATGTCCAGAGGTACCTTCTTCTCACTTGGCTCCTAAACCCCAGAAAAAATTAGATGGTCAAGACAATCCAGAAGATGGATAAGCCAAAGAGAAAATGATGAACAGCGAAGCAGAAAAAAAAAGAGGAAACTTTTAGAAGAAACATAAAGGGCAAAAGAATATAGAAGTAATATGTCCAACCTAGCTAATAAATGGAGAAGTGCAAGTTAAACAATAATGAGGTACTACTTTTCCCCTATCAGACTGGCAAAGACTGAAAAGATTAATAATGCCATGTGTTAGCAAGTGTCTTACATGATACTGGTGGAAGTATAAGTATGCCTTTTAAAAAAGCAAGTTAGCCGTATCTATTAAAATTTAAATGTGTGATACTCTTTAAACTAGGAATCTATGTTTGAGAATTAATCCAACAGAAATAACTCACACAAGTACACAAAAATATGAGGAAAAAGATGTTCATTATAGCATTTTTTTGTTAATTGCAAAAGACTGGAAAGAACCCGAATATTAGTAAATAGGAGTGTTTAAATGAATTATGGTATATAGCCAAATTATGACATTTTGTAGCTGTTAAAAAGAATAAAATATATGAGTAGATAAATATGTCCTAGATAAAAGTATTAAATGAAATACACAAGGTACATGATAGTATTATGACCTTGCATTTTGTTTAAAAAAACACACAAATATATGTGACTTTTAAACACACCTAGCATATAGCATACAAAAATCTAGAAGGCCATCAGCGATTACCTTGGAAAATGGGAGATATGAAAAAATTTTGTTTTCTACTTTACACATTTCTATATTTGAACTCTTTTGTAATCAGGAAACATAATTTTTAAAAGGTGAAGGCCAGCATAAATATATTAATGTCAGAGGTGAAAATAAAACTGGAAAATGAAAACACATATAACCCTTAATAAACAGAAAGATAATCTAGTAGCATTTTAAAAGTAAGGCAATTGGTTTTAACACAGAACCACAGTGAGAACTACTAGGGTAAATTAAGGCACACTAAATAAAGCTAAGCAAACAGACAAAACTAACCACCATCATGTAAGTTCTGAGACTGCCATAATTATTTTGCCTTGTGTTTGAGTTTGAACTTTTAATGAGGTAAGAAGGGAGAGAACTGTATTCTTAGATTTAATGGAGATGATAAAGAGCCTCTTTTTCGTTTGAAAGAGAAGGAATGATAACGACATTTATTTAACTAGATAGCCTAAGCATAATTCCTAACTGATTAGCTAATCTTATATTTCCAATTGCCAATTTTTAAAATGAATGTTTTTTATTCTGATATAAAAGCAAAATAAGTTTTTAATTGAAAATTTAGGAAATAAGAAAAGTACAAAGAAGGAAAATGAAGGCATACTCTCATATCCAGAGAAAATCCACAATTTTTGTTCAATTTTTTTCTACAGATTTATAGAATTGGAGTAATATTTTCATTATAAATTTGTATTGTTTTAAAGCTTAGTATTGTATTATAATTGTTTTCTAAATATACAATATATTTGAAACTACAACTTTTAATGGCTGTTTTGACATGTAGTACCATCATTTGCTTAGCTATTACCTTAGTGGTAGGTACTGAGGTTTTTCCTAATTGTTTGCTACTGAAGTATACTAAGATAAACATCTTAGTACATAAATATCAAAACTTTGTTTTTAAGTCTATTAAATTGGCTGGGCTAGTTTATACTTTCATCAGTAAACATCACCTTGCCCAGAACAGCAATTACCGTTATTTAAAAAAAAAAAACATTGTTATGTATATTTTACCACAATAAAAAAAACAGCAAAAAGTAAATAAATTAAAAATTAAATAAATACCCTGATAAATACTGGTACTGGCAAAAATGAGGTTATGCATAGAAGAGTTTTGAGTTTATAAATGGGATGCCCTCAATCAAAACTGGGAACAACAGGTCTCTTTGTCCTGAGTTTAATACAAATTCATTTGTAGCAAACACCCTTGCTGCCGTGGCTTCCCTCCCATGCAAGCGCTGCTCAGTGATGTTATCCTAAAGTCGGCAGTTTGTTAACACGCTTCCCTCAGACCACTGGGAGGAGTTCTCCCGCTAAGACCAGCATATTCTCTAGAGGCTCAGAAGTTGTAATTTTGAAATCTTCAAAGTCTAACTTTGTGGGAGTTTCCAAGGATGGCCACCAAGGATTTCTCCCAACACAGATGCCTTTCCTCCCATCAAGAGATGGAGTCTATTTCCCACCCCTTGAATCTGGTCTGGCCTTGACCATAGAATGCGGCAGAATTAACAATGTGCCAGTTCTGGACCTGGCATCTTTTGCTCTTGCACTCTGAGAACCTCCTCACCGTGCTACTGAAAAGAGAAGCCACATGGAGAGGTGCAAGGAAGGGGACCCCATTTTTTTCGGCTACTGTGCCAGAAGCAGTCTATTTCTGGCCATTTTCTCAGAATACGGTATAAAAATAAAAGAGCTATGCCTGAATTCCCCACTACTGAAACTAATATCATATTTGAAAAGAAGATTTGAGAATTGGTTTGGGAACAATCTAACTTAAAGTCACTGTACTCTTGGAGTTATACTACTATGTCATTTTGGTTTTATACCACATAACACAAAACACTAAGGCAGATTTATAAGCTATTTTTCACATATTTTTGTGGAAGAAAATTACATTGGTAAAAACCATCAAAACAGAGGCAACAGTCTTACTTAAATTCTTGGGCACTGGAATTTACAATACTCAAGGGCAAAGGGCTTACTTTTTAAGTAATTTTCCTCAGTCTGAAATAAATTCAAGATAGGCTATATATTTTTTATACATAGAATATGGTAAAGTGTAAAAGGGAATTACAAAAGGGAAAATCTGGTCATCAAAATTACATTAAGAGTTTAAATGTTTATTGAGAAAAATGTATGTGATAAGAATGTATGTCCACAGCTAATTAAGCACCTATAGTCACTTATGAAGAATATACAGTTCAAAACAAATGATACACTTATGGGCAAATGGAGTCTGTTCTGCAAAGGAAATGTTCTGGCAGTAATAGGATGACCATATCCTACTTTTAGTGATAGGTGTCTAAAATGTACCTCTGCCCTCAATGGAATGTCTTCAGCTTCTGCAATTTCAGAGCTAAAAGTGTATTCAGACTCATTGCTGCTGTGGGTGGAGTCTGTTCTCTTGTGTCCAGGCTTCGGCACATTCTGCAAGGCAAATAAACCAAGTATAATCAACACAACAAAATTAAACCTGATATACTTAAGACAGCATCCACCTTAACTTGGTTTTAATCCCCACTCATTGAATGCTGTTCTCATGGCCAAATGATCTGTTCCATGTTGTCTTGACCGAATCCTTACAAAGGGTTACTTCTGAGCTCCTCATAGACAAAGAAAGATGTACCAGCAGGGCATGACAAGAACAGTGGCAAAACCAAACGCTCACCTGAAAATCATCTGTGATTATTAGCAGACTCCCCTTTGGGTTTTTTAAATCGTGAGTGGCCAGCCACACCAGGTGGAACACAGAATGATGATGCCTCAGCATCCACACATGACTTCAGTGTTTCAAATCAAATAATCCTGCTCCAAAAGTTCTAAAGATATGTGTGATGACAGCATAGTCATTTTACTGTGCTGTGTTTGAGCATAGTTGAAAAGAAAAAAAGGAGGTTTCCACCAAGTGCCTATACTTTCTGTCACTTTTATGCATGAAGTTGACTCTCTGGAGTCGGCAATGAGAAGGATGAGCAATGAAGGAGAGGCAAGAAAGCTGCTTTCAGAACGTTCTGAAGATCCTGGGGTTCCTAATTAAGGGAGTCTAGGTGATACTTTTATGACATGTGGTACCTAGGATACTGCATTCAGAAAATTTGTGGGGAATAGGAAAGTTAAGCAATTGCAGTTCCTTCTTTTCTGTAAAAGGAGCTAGAGAGGGGCTTGAAGGAAGAAGGGACCAAGAGGCCAGGTTTGTACTCCTCACTCCTGGTGATCCCCCAGCAGGAGAGGTGGAGAGGTTCAGCGGCCCAGATCTCACAGAGTTATGGATCCTGGGTGCTTCAGAAAGGCCTCAGAGAGCATTCTGATCTGTTCAATTTTCTTTACTCCTTCCCTAGCCACAGGAAAAGAGCCAGAAGCCACAAAGAGCTTTTTTGCCTCTTTCCTTGCAACATCCAGGCTTATTGGGAGCAGATCCACCTGTGCAACCAAAGTGAAGCCTGCATCAGGCAGTTGAAAGTCTCCCAGGCCAGCCTGAATTGTACTCCAGTGCGTAGGGAAGACCTGAGAACATCAGAACCTCTGAAATGATCTAGCAGCTGGGTGCACACTATAGAAGAGAGCTACCTCACAAGTCAAAGGCACCCAGGCTTACTCTCTGTTTACACACACAGTCACTCTTCAAGTACGGAGCCCAAGGCAACACTTGTAGAGGATGGTGTTTATTTAACAAATTGGCTGTGTCATGAAGAAAAAAGTAGGTCCATAAATACTAGGACAAAGATTTTTAATAAGCTTATTAAAGGTGAGTGCAACCCTGATTTTCCCACAAATATGTATTTTTAAACAACAAATACCTTAAGGTATAAATAGAAATAATGCTATACAAGTATATCTGCTATTTAATGTAACTTCTGCATATATGGCTGTGGTTAAGTGCTCTGGGTCAGAAACAGGAGAGAGCTGGGTAGGAATTACCTGTCCCTTACCTGTCCCTTACCCAACTTCTCCAGGCCTTACTTTCATCATCCAGAAAAGGGGGATAGTATTATCCACTTCATAGGGTTTATGTGAGGATAAATAAGACAGTGCAAGTAAAAGAGCATAGGGTCTGGGATATAACAAGCACTCAGTTAATGGTAACTGATGCTGCTATAATTCTTAGGACCCTGAAGTAATTCAACTCCCTTGGTGACCTTTCAGCTTTCATTCAATATGCTATTCAACTTACAAGGACAAACCTTTGACTTGATCATCATGTTCTCCCTCTAGATCTGTATGTGGCACCTCCTCTTCTCCTTATCTGTCATTTCTCCCATAATTCCTTCTTTTCTTGAATCTGTTTCTACTTCCTTTGTCAAGATTAGGACCCTATCGTCGACATGCTGGATTCCCTCCTTACTTGGGATTAATTTATCTTCAAACACTTGTGAAGCCTGGATTTGCTTGCCTCATTATCCATTTATCGTTGGCTTAAAACTCCTTAGCCCTTCATTGCCTCAGCCCTACAATTGAATATTCCTGAAGAAAACCCCCACAACACTCCTTGGCACTAGGGAAAACAAATTTAGACCCTAGTCATCAGTTGCACTCTCTGAGGCAGTCCATCAACTTCTCCACTTAAGTTTCCCCACCATCTATCGGAGTTTATTTACTGCAAAATGCTTTATCAGCGTTGTGGCAGTGAGAGCACATTTTCAGAACAGGGTCAATGGCACATTAGACAAGTACCCATCTGTTAGTTGCTAAGTTCTAACTAAACATTACAATAAGATGTTGCTGTTAACATTTTAATTAGTTCTAAGTTATAAAGTCATTTTTTTACATTCTCAGCAAACATTTCCTGTGAAGACTGTGATCTTGATTGCATCTAGAGCTAGGAAATGAGACCTAATGAAGAGTTGAGTGGGAAGCAGGCACCCTCTCAGGTTCCTTCCTCTGCTATTTTCCCTTTTCCTTCCTCTGACCATTTTGTTACCCAAGAGGAATAACAATGAGTCACAGACATCCAATGGAGAGGGTAATAGGATGAGAAATCAGAAATCAAGCTGCTAAACTACCCCAGGATTTTGGTTACATCGTTCTTTTTCCACAGCACTGCTGGGAACAAAATAAATAGCGGGCAGAGGTTTGCTCAGCAGGAAAGACTAGCCCTGTTTAGTTGCTGGAGGACGGAAATCACTGGAGGGTCTTTTCTAGAAATGGCTGCCTCTCTGACTAAGGAGGCCCATTAACCACACAGCTGTCTCTGGAATGTGCTCAGAGAGTGTTATAAATAGCTTCTCTCATTTTATTTTCTGAAGTTCACACGGCACACACTATTAAAGAATCCAAAAAATGCTGCAGAAGAAAAAAATCTGTGTATCTCTGTTTAAGCTGGTTGATCCCCACATCTCAATCATTTAATCTCAATCATTTCTTTTACCAGTGCCACTTCTTAACGTCCCAAGTAATTAGTGGCCTCTGAAACAACCAGTGGGATACAAAGCATAGCTCTAGTCATAACTAAAGTATAGATTAACCGTAAATGTTGTAAATGTTTGTTCTATCTAGTAAATAGAACAAAATGCACTCAAGAATGGAACTCTGGGGAACATGGTGTTAAAAGACAGAGGAAGAGGACTTTAGAGAAAGCTGAGAATGAGAGAATGTGAATGAAAAAAGGTTCCTACAGGGCCAAGTGGAGCAAGAAGATCAAAGAATACAAGACTTAATGAAGGGCCTTCCCATTTGTCTGTTGCAAGGATAATGGTGACCTACTATTACTTCTAATTTCTCTTTGTCACATACAAATTCAGAATAGAGTAGTGAGGTTTTGAAATAATGGTCCAACTGTGGAATTTAAATTAGCTTTTTAACCTCTTTGAGACTAGGCTTTCTCATTTGCAAGGTGGTAAATTTATTTCTTTTGTTGCATAATCTCTTTTATTTTGACTTTTTAAATGTCACATTTTAAAGGACCCAGATTGAAGCAGAATTTTGAAGGAAGTACTGAACCCCAGTATAGCAAATTGTTTGTTTTTTTAAATAAGATATTTCAGGGCATTTCTGGCCATTTGTACCATGAGGTTTCCTTAAAGGCTTTTTAGGGAACAAGAGTGCTAGGGGGCCCCTTTGTTTCCTGATAGCAGATTAAATAGAACAGGGGAGGGGTGGAGAACTATTAAAAAGTACATTGGCAGATACACAAGAGTCCTGGAAATAGATAATTTATTACAAATAGAGGCTGACTTTTCTTTTTGTAGGAATATGCCTTTGATATTACAATAAAAACGAGTGGAGGAAAATATTCAATTTTATGTCTTTACTTTATATACAAGTTTTACATTAAGACATTCAATACAAAAAACAAAGTCCAGCTATATTGACTTTATACTATTTTCTAGTCCAGTCTTCAAAGTGTTTGACTTTACAAAGTATTTATAAAGAAAGTTCTATAATTTCAGAGATTTGCTTTAAAACAATCCAATCCATTGGATGGGGTGAGATGAAGGGGTAGAAAAGTGTTTGCTATTTGGACTTCCAGCCAAGAGGGAGGCATAGGTAGATACACTTTGCCTCCTCACACAACCAGAAGGAGGGCAATAACCAATTTAAAAACAAAGAATAACCAGAACTGTCAGAAAATAGAACTGTATGGAAGTCCAACATTAAGAAATTAGAGAAGAAACATTGATTCAGACCCGCAGGAGGGGTGGAGACAGGAAGTTAGGGCAGAGAGGACACATGGCAAGGTGGCAGCTGGAGGACCTGGTGAGAAAGGTGGTGGCTGGCAGGCCGGGCAGTCCCACATTCACGTGAAGATAAACCGGGGGAACAGCTGGGGAATGAGACAGATGGTGGAACCCAAGGTTCCAGCATGGGAAAAGAAAGCCTCAAGAATGTACACAAATCCACTCACCTGGGAATCAGCATTAGAAGGGCCCAATTTGCTTGTGGGTAGTGGGGAAAGTGACTGAAAGCCTGCCAAGAGCCCAGCAAGTGGCATTGTTCCCTCTCAGACTCCTCCTCTATACACAGAGCCGCAATGCAGCAACTTTGGTTGCCCTGCCCTGGTGAATACCTAAGGCTCCTCCCCTTCCAATGTAAGAGGTGTGCCAAGACAAAGAAATATGGCTCAAATGAAAAAAAAAAAAAATAGAGCTAAGTGACTAAGAGCCAATCTATCAGATGCACAGTTCAAAACACCGGTAATCAAGATGATCACAGAAATGGTTGAGTATGGTCGTAAAATGGAGGAAAAAGTGAAGGCTATGCGAAATGAAATAAAGAAAAATATACAGGGAACCAAGAGTGAAGGGTAGTAATCTGGGACTCAAATCTATGATTTAGAGCAGGAGGAAGAGATAAACATTCAACCAGAAGAGAATGAAGAAACAAGATTTCAAAAAAATGAGGAGAGGCTTAGGGACATCTGGGACAACTTTAAATGATCCAACATCCAAATCATAGGTGTGCCAGAAGGAGAAGAGATAGAGCAAGAAATTGAAAACTTATTTGAAAAAATAATGAAGGAGAACTTCTCCAATCTGGCCAAGGAAATAGACTTCTAGGAGATCCAGGAAGCTCAGAGAGTCCCAGAGAAGTTAGACCCAAGGAAGCACACACCAAGGCACATCATAATTATATTACCCAAGATTAAAGATAAGGAGAGATTCTTAAAAGCAGCAAGAGAAAAGGAGACAAAGTTACCTAGAAAAGAATTCACATAAGACTATCAGCTGATTTTGCAAAAGAAACCTTACAAGCAAGAAGGAGCTAGAAGTCATGAAAGGCAAGGACCCACATCCAAGATTACTCTATCCAGTAAAGCTATCTTTTAGAATGGAAGGGCAGATAAAGTGCTTCCCAGATAAGGTCAAGTTAAAGGAGTTCATCATCACCAAGCCCTTATTATATGAAATGTTAAAGGGACTTATCTAAGAAAAAGATGAAGATTGGAAACAGTGAACAGTTAAAATGACAACAAACTCACAACTATCAACAACTGAACCTAAAAAAAAACCCCAAAACAAAAACAAACTAGGCAGACAACTAGAACAGGAACAGAATCATAGAAATGGAGATCAGAGGGGATGAGGAGAGGGGAGAATAGGAGGAAAGGTACAGGGAATAAGAAGCATAAATAGTAGGTACAAAATAGGGGGAAGTTAAAAATAGTATAGGAAAAGGAGAAGCCAAAGAGCTTATATGTACGACCCATGGACATGAACTAAAGTGGGGGAATGCTGGTGAGAGGGGGGCAGGGCAGAGGGGAATAAAGGGGAGAAAAAAATGGGACAACTGTAATACTATAATGAATAAAATATGTATTTTTTATATATACATAAAGTATGTAAAAGATTTCTTTAAAAGGGTTTAGTTTAGTTCCAAAAAAAAAAAAAAGAAGAGAAAAGTGTTTGTCATTTTGGAATTGGATGATGAGTACATGGCATACCTGGGAGTTTATTCTACAAATCTATCTACTTTTGTATATACTTAAAATTATCATTTAAAAAAAGCAAAAGTATTTGACCCACCAACATCAGAGTCATCTCTTCCTTGAGGTCATCATATCGTTCTTCCAAGCGACTAAACTCATTCAGAAGGTTCTGATATCTCAGCCTTTCATCATTAAGATCGAGTTCCAGTTGTTTTGTTTCTTCTACTAACTTCTTCTCCATAGTCTCTGAATAAAAGAAGAGGGAAATGCATGTCAAAGATGGCTCCACAAAATACAACAGTACAAACATATACACTGACTTCCAGTTTCACTGCAAGGGGTTTCACTTTTAGCACCACTATGATCTATGAAGAATATCTTCATAGTCAATATAGGGAAAGAGAAAATATCATGACAAGAGGACTGAAGGAATTATTAATAAAAATAACAATCATCTACTGAGTTCTTCTATGTATTACAGACAGTGCTACTAGTTAACTCAGTAGTTATAGCACATCCTTGATAAACTTCCACTAGTCATTGTTGGATTACAAAGTACAGTGGTATCTTGGTACCCATCGTTAATTCATTCTCAAACTAGTGACGAGTGCAAAAACCGATGAGTATAAGAGGATGAGGCATTTTCTCTTGCAGGGCATCATCGTAACTGATACAAGTTCTAGCAAGTATGACGAGTCCTGGGTGAGCATTTGGTGCTGAAACATTTTTTTCTTGCCAAAATTCAAGGAGCACAGGGTTTGATCAGTTCTGAAGCTGACTAACTGATCAAGGTATGACTGTACACATTTTTTTAATTCAAATAGTATTCTGTTTTAGGCTGTTTATAAATTCTTTTGTTCAAATGGCTGTACTCCATCAAAAAGCCAGATATTCTTCAAGTCTCTGAGGGAATGGTGGCTTCTCAGTAGACCTAGCTATCCTACGCCACAAAGTCTCTCCGCTCGTCTCAGTCTCTGGCTCTATTTAACGATTTTCACCACTCTGAACTGCCCACTGTCCTACTATTTGCCCATTTCTAACCACCTAAGCTCTCCATGCCTGGGCATCTGTGTTTCTCCTCTGCATGCTTCTGGGGGATTCCTGACCTTTCTGTTTACCTGCTCCACTCTAAACTTATCTGTTGCCAGTGGCTTGCGTGTGCCTAGAACAGCATCTGGGAGACTGGGGATTAGCCCCTGACTGCAAATAAAGCAAAATTTTAAAAAGCCTCAGATCTCAGCTGTATGTTTTAACTTGATGAGCCAACCAGTCACATTTATAAATATTAATCTTCCTGCCACTCTGGCCCATATTACCCTGATATTTTGTGGCTAAATCTTAATCTGTCCTGCCTGCTTCTATTGCTCCGCCATTTCTTTCTCTAGGAGGGCAAGGGCTGTAAGAGTCTTGTCACAATTGCCTCCTTGGTGTCTGTCATACTGTTTATTTGTCATAAGACTTTAATATCTTGTAAATGAATGAATGAAAGAATTTCTTCTCTCTGTAACATTTTATAAATTGTGTTTTATCCCACCAGTTTGCAGAAGCTTCCCACAGCTACCGACAAATTTTCCCTAGGCGAATCCATGGTCATTTCTTTGTTCTTATTGTTCAGTTTCAAATAACATTTTATATTTCTCTAGAAGTATTCTCATCATTCTGAATCTTTCCATCACATTCTGCATCTTAGCAGCTTTATTTCTATGTCTTCTGTGACTTTTGTTTTCTTCTTCTCCTCTTAATTTTTTTTTTTCTGGCTTCGTTTTTTCCCCTTCATTTTACCCCCTACATACGGTCACCCTATAAGGCTTAATTCCTGATATTCTTCTCTTTCCTTACATTATTCCCTTTAATTGGGAGGAAGAGCACAGTGTCAGGAAAAGTAAAGAGGGTTCTCTTATCATATCATAGCTTAAGTGGGTACTTTAAGGCTCATTTCTTTCTCTTACCTTTCATTTCAGTGGGCTTTCAGACCAACTCTATCTGGGGGCCCTCGCTGACAACCAAAATTTAACACTTTAACAGCTGACCTCATTAATTTTCCTTATAAACAGGTACTTTTATCCCTCAATTTCCCCATTACTAATAATATATAATTATTGTTTTGATGTCTATTATCAAAACTTTAGAATATTTTTGTTCTTTTTTTGAATACCACATCAAAAATAACATTCTGTTGATCTCTTTCATATTATATATCCTCATTCCAATCCATCTCTTCCTTTCCATTTCTACTACCAATTACTGTAGTTTAGATCTGCACCTTCTTATCCCATGTTTATGAATATATGGAATTCTTATAAACTATCATAATTCTAATCTTTCTCACAAAGAACAAAGAGAAAAAATGTCTACATATAGTTAGTTCTCTATTCAAAAAATCAGTGGGCTTTTCTGTGTGTTTGTTCATTTGGTGGCAAAGAGTGGTTGGTCTTGGGAGAATAATATCCATTAGTTTAGCAAAAAGTAAATAAATAAAAATAAAACATACAGACAGGCACACACACATATATTAGCTCAAGAATTCTTCCTAAATCAACATGAATCTTTTACACCATAACTGATAAATCATACAAGAAGAACAATTAATTTTTTAACTTTAAATTAAATGTTTTAATTTTTAACAATTAATTTTTTTTAGTCATATGACATTGACTAAACATGAGTTCACATTTGTAGATAGAGACCAGATCTATAAGTTCACCAACTAATTCAACCAAAATATTTAGAGCGCTTGCCTCTTAGAACTTTATACATGTACTGATGACGGCCTCTGCTTTTAAAAATATTTAAGCTGTACACAAAGTTGTATCTTATAAAATATCGGTCTGCAGTTGGCTGGCATGCATCAGTTTGAGCCCACGTGAGCCTTACCCGTCATCTCCTTAGCCTGTTCCACAATAAGATGATTAAGGGTCTCTTTTTCCTGCTTCAGCAAAGTATTTTCTTCCTTCAGAATTAATACCAGCTATAAAATAAAACAAAAAACTGAGATGGCTACAATGGACAGAGCAAGCTGGAGACTAAGTACAAAGACCACACACAGCGGTCACTCCTTACTTCCACATTTCTGCGCCTCATTCCTAGTTACCTCGTCAACTTTCAAATTTGGCTCAAGCATTACCCTCTCCAGGAAGCCTTCCTGAAAACTCCCTCCAAACAGATATCTCTTCTCTGGGCTACTATAGGACTCCGTATATGCCCCTTTATAGCCCTTATAAATGATTTACTTTTATTTCCCTAGTAGACTAGAAATTTCTGGAAGACAAAGATAATCGTTGCTACTGGTTTACTTTGTACCATAAGCATTTAGCAATTGCCTGGCATCTTGTAATCACTTCCTCTTAAGTAATAAGAATGCCTTCTCACCTCAGCAGCCTAGCACAAAGCTATGTGTACCCATGATTCAAGGAGAAGGATTGAAGGAGAGGAGGTCAAGAAAGATGCAAAGGGCATTTTGGTTCTGGAAGTTCACCGAATATGTTCTAAAAGCTCCCTGCTCTTTGTTTGTCTGTCTGGGAAAAGAGAATTTTCCTTTCATTTCCTTTTAAGAGTATTTCAAGGTTGTAAACTAGTCTCTTTATTCCACTTTAGGCATTGACCTTATGATGGTGAATGTACTTCATGCCACTGAACTATATACTGAAAAGTGGTTAATACAGTAAATTTTGTGTTATGTATATTTTAATCACAATTTAAAAAAAAGTATTGACTTAACTTTCTACTTCCTGGTTAGGTAAGGATTCCCAGGAAGCAACAATCAAAACCAAAGATAACTTTGCAAAGTTCCTATTACTCAGTTTCTCTCTGCAATAAAATGTGTAAACTTGTGATGAATGAAATCTGAACTCCTTCTCTAAGCATAAGTTGAAGGAACTCTAAAAGTGATAGTTAACACTAAAGAGAAGGGTCAGGAGTTCAGAGGAGAAAGAGGGCTCTGTGAGTACGTATCCTGAAGAACAGGGAAGTTAGATAACGCTGTGCCATCGCAAAACTCAATCCAGAAGGAAGCGATGATCCAGGTCCTTCCCTCCACACTGACATGGCCTTAACAGCCGCACACAGTAGAAAGGCCCAAGTTTTTTATGTTTTTGAGAGAAGCTGATCTTTGTCAATAGTGTGCTTTTTCAAAATAAATGTCCATACTCCCAGAGCTTGGACAGGCATCTTTTAAAAAACTATCCACAGATTCTGATACACACTTCTGTTTAAGAACCATGGTTCGAGTGTACCTTTTAGGCTCCTTGATCAGGCTGACTGGAAAACTTTACTGGCTGTCAGAGTGAAATTTTTTCCTTTTTCCCCATTACTACACTCCATCCAAAAGAATCAGTGACAATGCCTCTAGCTATCCTGTGAAAAGCAGAAGATAATGAAAAAAGAAAGGAGGAATCTAAATCTGCTCATGGGTGTTATTCTATCAGACTAGTAAGGTATGAACTTGACTTTGAAGAGGAAAAGAGAAAATCCTACCAAGCTGAAATACTCTAGATTCAGATGAATCTGGAAAGCTTCTGTGGACTCAGGAAATGACAAAAATGAATGAATGAATGGAGAAACAAACAAAAGTGCAAGAAAGATCTTAAACCTCAAGAGTATTTCTTTGAATGCATATCTGAACTCTGACAGAACTTGCCATGTAAAAATAACATATTAATGGCACTGTTATGTACATAATGCAGAACCCAGATTTGCTAGAGACACAGGAGAAATTATCTTATTAGGGCCCTGAATGCCATGGAAGGATTGCAATTCTATTATTAAGATTTATATAGCTATGCTATCCTACCTGAATTGCATCTAAGCGCCTTCTGAGCTTCTCATTCTACACACTGCAGTTAACGTTCAGAGCTCAGCATAGAAACAGCATACTGGGATTCTTGCTCATAGATACACCCAACACAGTCAACTCTGTTTTCATTTAAAGATGGTCACACTAGTGGAGTCTCTGAAAATTACTTTTTTCCAGTAAGCCTTATGAGGTACTTTTATTTTGTTGAAACAATGCATGTCACTACTGCTTGAGAACCTTAATATTTTCTATATTTAGTAAAGTTTTGACATTAAGTTAATAGAAATTTGTAGTGTGGAAACACTGATGAATCAAAGAATTTTTTCTTTCTTTCTTTATTTCTTTCTTTCTTTCTTTCTTTCTTTCTTCTTTCTTTTTTTGTTTGTTTTTGTTTTTGTTCTATCTGCATAGTAGCTCTTGGCTACAATCAGTATGTGGACATTTGGGTTTCTCCCTTGGATTTCTTAACATAGTCTTAATTCAAGTTTCCATAAAGCTCCCTAGTATCAGCTACTGAGAGTTCATTGTTTGATTTGCTTCTTAATCATGTTAACCCAAGAAAATTGGGTGCAGACTCCTTTTTAAAGAAAAAGAATGTATAGTAGAGACATGGCCATTAATCCTCTCCTAACAATAGTGCTTTTCCTCTGTTCTCATTAGAATAAAACGGTCCTACTAAAAGACCTACAGCTACTGACTCACCATGTAGAAGAAATGCCTGGGAAACACTAATAATAAAATTTGTATTTCAGCTTTGACGAAAACCAACAGCCACAAGGGCCAGGTAAAGATGACAGCCCATTTCCTTCATGAAAATGTGAACATTTAGTTCCTTCCTACCTGATCAGTTTCTTGTTTGTATTTATCTGCACGTTCCTCAATGGATTTTTTCTCTGACCGAGTTTGTTCCAGGTCTTTCCGGAGCTTGGCAATTTCTTCCTGTAGACTGAGTACCCGTCCAGTGGCAACCTTAGCTTCCTCCTCACTTAGCTGAAGACGTTCTAAGTCACTACGTAGTTTCTCAGTCTCAGAGTTGTATATTCCTTCCAGATTGGTCAATTTCTCCATGAGGCACTTGTAGTCTTTGTTCTTTAAACACACACAAATAGTAAGTAAATGTACATACCATCAAATGAATTTAGTGAAAAAACCAGGCTTATTCATTATATTCATGCTCTATCATCATAATATTGGTAAGGTATCTAACCAAAATTCTAAACACAATATTTATAGTAACACAATCAATACTCTCTTAGTGATACAAAGAAAGAAGAGGACACCACTATTTGTTTTACATGATGAGTAACATAGAAGTGATTTTTCTCATAGTTGCAAGGCAAGTTACTGGAGTAACTTCTTATCTATACTTGCTTTTGAAAACAAATCACTGCGCTACCAAAAGCCATGTGCTAGCCAGATGATGCCTACGAATGATAAAATGGCCTCAAAATCACCAATTTCTTACGAATCTTTCTGTTTACTACGTCAAAACTCCTCTCACACTCAGAAAACCTGTCTGATGAATTCTATTTCATTGTTTTGTTTTTTTTTTTACCATGTGTGGTATTTAGTATTACTAATTACCTTTTATATCATTAGCATGAGCTAAAATATTACTTACTTACTATCTCTAAGAAATCAAACTTTTATCTCTGTAATAGGCTGTAGATTCTTTGGAAGCATGGACATATTCCTGATTCTTTTGCAATCTCAAAGCTAAACAACTCACCTGCAAAAGGAACATTATACTTTATGCAAATAGATTCTAATGGCCCAAGAGTTTTGTGTAAAAAGTACACAATGGCTCTTGGTCACAAAGGTTTGGAGTGTTAGTAAAACTAGCTGTGTCCTCAAAAATAATTTCCTGCCTTAGTCCTTGTAATCTTACCTATAAGCTTGTCACTGTTTCCACACTCATTACTACCATTACTATTTTACTTTTCTGCTAAGACAGAAAGTAAAGTCAAGGGGGGACAATGCTGACCATAACCCCAGAGGGTTTCTTAGGCATGATCACTTTCAGGGCTCCTGTTTAAAACACACCTGCTCATCAACTTTGCGCTGCAGCTGCATAATCTTGTTTTCCATGCCGATGTGGAGTTTCTTATAGCGCTCTACGGAGCGGGCCTCAATCTTAAGCTTCTTCAGCTCGCGCTTGGCCATCATCCGCCGGAAGCAACACTGAAGGTAAATGATGGCATGCATGGTCTTCTTGTAGTGGGTGCGAGCCAGCCAGCCCCGGACCCACTTCTGAATGATGACTGCTTTGTGCTCACGGAGTATCTGCGGAGAAGGGTAAGTATAAATAATGTCAGACCGTGGACTAGACTCTATCAACCTATGGCTATCAGGTGGAGAAGTCATATATTACCTAAAGGGAAAGATACAAAAGTTGAAGTAACAATGTATTATGCAGATTGTACATACCACAAATATATGGCAGCACAAAATTGCTTTAAAAGGTGATTAAAAAAGTTGAATTTAAAGGGCAATTTGAGAAACATAGAGTATGCATGTGGAAGCTGTCTAAATATAAGACATCAGATTATTAAAAGGAAAACAATTCTAAAGTGAAAGAAAAACCCATTAAGTTTCTTATTGGTGTATGATATCTGTCAGCAACAGATCCTCCATAAAGTGAATAAAAGTTGGCACCCTGTGAATTATGTGCTATAAAACAAAAGACTTAGCCCTGGCTGGTGTGGCTCAGCACACTGAGTGCCGGCCTGTAAATCCAAGGGTCGCCGGTTCGATTCCCAGTCAGGGTACATGCCTGGGTTGCGGGCCAGGTCCCCAGTAGGGGGCGTGTGAGAGGCAACCACACACTGATGTTTCCCTCTCTTTCTCCTTCCTTTCCCCTCTCTCTAAAACTAAATAAACAAGACCTATTTTTTTTTAAAAAAAGAGAACTGATATTAAAAAAAAACAAAAACAAACAAAAAACCAGAAGACTTAGCCACCGCCCTTACTGCTGATTCCATCTCATTGTGTGTTATGTCTATGCTTGAGGATATTGGGTATGCCCAGTAAGCTGGCTGTAGAGGCCAACACTGGGAATACTGCAAAGTTTATTACTGTTATATTAGTATTTTTCCAGAAAGAACAACAAAAAATAACACTGTTGGTTACCCTATTTGAGGAATACTATTCTAGTGAGGATTCCCCATTGCTGTTTCAAATGCAACAGGAATCCACTTATGGGATTCAAAGGCAGTAGGGATAAAGCTTTAAAAGGAAAGCTAAAAGTGAGATAAAGGGAAGTAAACAAATCTTAATTTTTATTTTGTTATACTTTTTACAAAAAAATATACTCCCTTAAGTTTATAAACAACTTGTAACAAAAAAAGATTGCCTATAAGGCAATAGTGAGTCTTCTTATCACTAAGACCATCAAGCAGAGATTATGCAAACAATTTCCAGGAATGATAGAGAAAAAAACATTCTTGAAATTAACTAGAGGCTGAACTATCAAAACTTTCTTAAGGGACTTCTAAGTCTACGATTTTATAAAACTCTTGTATGACATTTAAATATATGCACTTAAGTACTTATTAGTAATCATTACAAATGGACATAATGTATCTCTTATGAAACTTTTTAAATGTAAAAATCTCTGAAACCATCTATTCAAATAGATAGCAGTTTAATAAAATTATTAAAAGAACAGTTCCTATTTGTAGGTTATGTACCTGAGAAAAATCAATGAAAAAAAGTGCCATTCTAGAGGATACATTTAAGGAATAAGTGGTTAAGTGCTAAACCATCAAATACAAAATAAACATTGGTGTTTAGGAGACCTTAATAATATCTTCACCAAGTCAAGACTACCCTTTTTGGCTGTTTACTGAACACTAAGGCGTCCTTCCTTTCCACTAAGTGCAGTCACTGTGCATCATGCTGCAGTAAAGTCAGGCAACCTGAGCTCTCCCAGAATATCACCATCCTCAGGGAGTCCCTTATTCATCCAGGTAAGAATCTGGATGAATAGTGACCAACTAGATAAGACTCAGTAATGACAAATTGAAGGCTTTCAGACTTTCAAACTCAAGCAGCATACAGTGGCAAAGCTATTAATGTCAATTTTCCTATTTCATTTCCTTCTCTCCATGTAACTTCAGAATTGGTCCATTTCTGTAATTTCAGTCAAATGGAAACAATATATAATTAGATCTTCCATTCTCTATCTCATTTCCATTAGTAATTTAGAGAAATTAAACTATACCTGCTGTTTCTTAGATTCCCAAGCCCCACGAAGGGGAAGCTTGGACTGGAAACACCAGAAACGTGACCAGAAGGAGCACTAATGGGGTGATACTGGACTATACATGAGCCAGCCTCTAACCTGCCTCCCCGACTGCGTCATCGCAGTTGGAGCTGAGCTGGCCAGAGACTTACACTGCTGAACCAAGGCCTCAGAACCCAGTTCAGAAGTTCCTGAAGGGAGGAGTGAAGAAAAGGAAAGTGCAACCAATTTGGTTTATCTAAAACATCAGGTTTAAAAAGGCTTTCCCTTCCCCTGAAAGCTCATGCTTGTAGAGAAGGAACACTAGACTATAAAGCTGGTGTGGCAAAAAGACAGACCTAAAGTAACTCTTCAAATTTTCCTCAAAACACAGCTTTTAAATATGCTCATTCAAACCTCATTCGTTTTTCATTTTTCTTTGTTATCTAAAATGACTTCAAAATAAGAAAGTAAAATACAACCATGAAGAGAGCCTAGGTCACCCTCACACACTGCCTGTGATTAGAGGTATGGCCCTCAAACCGCTCTGCTGATGCTCCTTCTAACAGTAGTGCCCACAGAGCTCTAAATCCTAGACTGTACAGAATTCCAGCTCATGAGGGATATATCAGGAAGGACAGACTCCAAATCTTGCCAAAATGAAAGAGAAAAGCCTTTCGACTGGATCATATAATGTCAGAGGTGATGATTAAGATTAATCTAGTGACCCATTATCTATAATCATGTTGATTATTGCCAGATATAAAGAGTATTTGTCAAACACTTTCAGAACATTATATTCCAGCCAATAAGAGCTTAACCACGTTAATGTTATTTATCTCCTTTTCACCACAGTAAATTATTTCAAGGTTTTTCATTCTTGGAACAATCTTCCACCCATATGTCAGATACTATACCTAGTCAAAGCCCAGCAAAGGCCCCCAAAGATATCAAATCTTGATCTCTGGAATCTGTTAATGTTACCTTATTTGGAGAAAAGGTCTCTGCGGATGTGATTAAAGTAAAAATCTTGAGATAAGGGATTTATACTGGATTATCCTTTTGGGCCCTAAATCCATCACAAATATTCTCGTAAGAGACAGACAAAAGAAGCGAAACTAGGCACGTAGAGATGATGTGAAGATGAAGGCAGAGAATGGAGTGATGTGGCCACAAACACAAGAAGTGCTGGCAGCCATCGGAAACTGGAAGGGGCAAGGCATGGGTTCTCCCTTAAAGCTTCTGGAGGGGTGCAGCCTGCCAACACCTTGATGTTGGCCCAGTGATGCTGATTTTGGACTTTTGACCTCCAGAACTGTAAGAGAATAAATTTCTATTGTTTTAAGCCACCAAGTTGGTAGTAATTTATTATAGCAACTACAGGAAACTAATACACTAACTTTTCTTCAAATTACATAGATGAGGGAGAAAAAAGAAGGTAAACTTTCCTTTTCCATTGTCTTGTTAATAAATATATGCACTTGCTCAATATTTAAAAATATATTTCAATTGTTGGTTGTTTCTATATGGTTCCTATGTCTATAGGAGCCTCTGTGGTGACTCTGCACAGACACAGAATGTGATTAACATTAATGGAATGAATAAACGAAGTTGAAAATAATGACTCACCTTGCGATACCTATTTCTGGCCAAGTAACCTCGCAAATAAGACTGAAGAACAATAGTCGCAGCTCGTTTAATTTTGTACTTCCTGTGGACTACATACATGCGCCAGTACTTCTGAATGATGGTTGCTGCCTTGGTTCTGCGCAGGAATTTAGCGTAGCTGGCCAAAGAAAGAAGCGGTGCGTTTGTTAGTAATCAGAAAAACCCAGGAATATATTTTGTAGAGACTTAAAGCACCAATATCTTCAGCCTACATAGTACCTACATTGTATTATTCTAATAATATACAGTATTAAATCAACACTTACATTTCTTATCATTGTATAGCAATTTGCAGTTCCTCCAAATATTTTTACAATCATTATCTTATTTGGGCCTTCCCTAACCTACAGATTAGGATGTCCCATATTTCCTGATCTTACAATAAAGAAAGTGAACCGCATAAAGGCTCATTCCTTCTAGGACAGTGTTCGCTGCCCCAGGCAATGTCCCCCTCACACAGCAGACCGCCTATACACAGTCATCCCATACTTACTCATCACCGGCTTTCTCAGATCTATCCATTGCTAAGTGCTATATCTTTCAAACTCTTTCTGTTTGGGCATAAATTCTTTATCATTAATTCATACCTACTGATATTTCTAAATTAAAATTATCCTAATATGTAATCACACTGAAGTATAATTCTAGAAAGACCTTCACAGTTGATTGCTCCTAAGAACTCCTCAATTGAGTCATTATTAACTAGTTCATATGCATGATGGTTTTAGTTTACAGATAATTTTTCAAGCCCATATAAAAGTATAAAAAAAGATACTGAAGACATGAGCACACAGTAATTTGTAATTTTTTTTGAGGATGAATCATAAGGGTGAGTGAAAGTTTATTCTATTTAACTGTCCTTATGACTTAATTTGTTATTCCTTGAATCTAAGAAGAGGTGAGGTGTTGCCCTCTCAGGTAGGGTGACCAGTCAAAACTGTCCTGGTTTGGACAATGAGTCAGATGAACTGTGTAATTTTAGGAGCCGTGAGCCAGAATGGACAGGTCCCCAGGAGACCTACCATCGGGCCTGGTAGCCTCGCACATATCTCTGCACAGTGATGGCTGCCTTCCGCATGCGCAGGTACTTCTTCCGCAGCAGCCACCCTCGGATTGTCTTCTGGATCCGAATACAGGCAGCCCTCAGCTTGTCGGCCCTCAGTTTTTCTAGGTAGGCCACTTGACCGGCACGGAAAAAGATCTTTGTCTTACCAAACTGGTATTTGTCCTTGTCCTATTTTTGGAAGAAATTGTATACTCAGAAATAATGACTAAATAAATGAAACTTTAAAAGAGAAAAAAATACTTCTAAAAGCAGAATCAGTAAAGGGATGAATCTATTAGCTAAAATTTGGGCTACATGATTAACTAATAGAGCCAGATTTTTGATCCTATGCAAGTTGAGCAAATAGAAGGGATTTTAAGGAAATCTGCAGTTTAAGAGTTATTTTCCAGAATTGTTCTACCTGGAATTGTTATCTGAGGCAAATACTTGGTTGTGGGTTATAGACAGCTACTATTTGCTTGTTTGTATTTTATATATCTCAAGGAAATGGAGATGCTGACACACCCTCTGACTGACCCAGGCTGTAAGGATTACATCGGGTTGTATGTTCCATGGAAAGCTGAAGGGACAAAAACACCAGTATAAAGAATAAGGCAGGAAGTAATGCATACAAAATAAAAATTAAAAAACAAAAATCCTGGAGGGTTCATATTAAAAGAGTTAAGTTTCTTATTATAGCTTTGCTCTATCAGCAGTATCTGAAAATAAGCAAAACCCTATAAATGCTTGCACAAATATCAAAACTCCTTTTACAAAAATCTAATCGTTTATATTGTCCATTTACTTTTTTTCTTTTTATCCTCACTGGAGGATATGCTTACTGATTTTAGAGTTGGGAATGGAGGGAACAATAGAGAGAAACATCGATGTGAGAGAGAAACATCCATCAGCTGCTGCTCCTCACGCCCAGACTGAGCCCAGACTGCACCCAGATTGGGGACCAAACCTGCAACCTAGGCTTGCGCCCTGACTGGGGATCAAATCTGAGACCCTGTGGTTTATGGGATGATGCTCCAACCAACTGAGCAATACCGCCAGGGCCATTTACTTCTGACTATAAGCAGAGTTGGGTTGTAAACACAGATATGCATGCGATTTTTAGTCTACTACATTCTGATCTGTCTTATTTAGAAGCATGTACGTTATTAACCTTCGTCATATAAAAAGAAGAGTGGAACTTATTTATAATAATCATTACTGTGATCTGAAATTGCGTGAAAACAGAAAATTCGTGTTCTCTGTAAGCAGGTATCTCCTATATTGAACATGAAATGGAAAATCAGAAATCTCAATATATAAAACTCCAAAAATTTTTTCAATTTTAATCAATAAAATTTACATAGGAAGCCTAGCTGGATATATAAAAAGGGCTAAAAAGTGGTTCCCTCTCCTTCTCCCTGTTGCACCTCGCCCCACACCAACCCTGCCCTCTATTGGTACCTTTGCCCTGCAAAGCCCTGAACCAGCTTCAAGTGGTCTGGGGGAGGAGTCCGGGCATAGGGCTGTTCCTACCTTCTGCTTTACATTTCCATCTGAGCCCAGGTTAGAGAGGAGTTGGGCCAAGCTCAGAAAGCATCTGCTTCTTTTACACATTATTAAGAAAATAGTCTTAGCTCTTACCAAAAAAGTTGTCATACAAAAGAGATATTACATTTAGTTAATCACGACTACCTCAGAGTGAGATAATCCATCCAAATTAGTGTCAAACAAGTGGAACTATTTTTAAAAATCTTTCATAAATCTTAAATTCTCCATGACCTAGATCAGTGGTTCTCAAAGTGTTGCTGATGCTCAGACTAGCATCAGCAAGTGGTTGGACCCACCCCAGACCTACTGAGTCAGAAGTTCTTGGGGTGGGGCCCAGCAATCTGTGTTTTTTAACAAGCCCCCCAGGTGACTCTGATGCATTCTCGAGTGTGAGAACTCCTTAACTTGGAAGGCAAGACTCTCCAGACACCAACCTACACTTTCTAAACATTTCCCTACTGTCTTACACAGTAATCTTAAACTGCAAAGAAGTTTCCCTACATTACTGTTTTCTGAGCAAACTCTGCTTTACTACGTCTTCACACCATGCTCCCTATTAGAATATTCTCCTTCCACTTTTATACAATTTTACCCATTCTTCAGGGCCTGACACAAAACATACGCCTTCTATGACATTGCTCCTCCTTTCCACAACAGGTGTAGCTTTGCCTTGCTCTAAATTTCCTGTCTCACTCACTCAGCCCTTGAAAGACATTAAGGTATATTATATTTACCTTTAAAATACATTAATTTCTAAGATAGACTATGTTACCGAAGGAGAAAATCTAATTTTCTCTTTGTCGCATAGCATTTGGCCTGGTATCTTCCATAAGTAAGTACTAGATAAATTTTTATAGCTAATGATCAAACTCTAAGAAGAGTGTTTCAAGTCTGGGTCCAGGCCTGAAGGGGGGTCATCTTCACCAGTCAGTCTGAGCATCGTAAATATAGGGAGCCTCAGCCTCCAGGACACTGTGCCCCTCTACCCTCCCAGCCCTAATAATCTGGTGGGTGGTATTTGGATGTTCCCGGGGCTTTCCCAGATTATAATCCCAAGGTCTTTGCCCATAATCTGTTCAGATAAAGATAAGTGAAAATTTTTCTTACCTGGATCAACTTCTCTAACACATTCTTACATGTTTGCTTTCTGTCACTCAACACATCTTTCTGCTTCATTAGGACACGGTAGCGGCTGAAAAATTCTTGGTAAGTCCACCTATAAAAAAAAACTCCCGTTAGTTTATTTAAAGAAGTAGGAACCTGTCTCATTATGATCCCTGATAGCTGAAAAATGCCAAGCTCACCGAGAGGGGAAACCTGCCGCGCTGATTCGGATGGTTTCCAGGACACCACATGCTCTCAGTTGCTGCACTGCCCTCTTCTCATCGAACCTACATGGACAAATGAAAATCATTAATACCCAAAGAAGCCTGTCTATAGACACAAATTACTCTCCTCAGTCCAGAGGTTAAATTCTTCTATAAAGAGCTGAAGGGATACATTAGAAAAGAAAGCATTTAAAAGTTGAAGCAGTTATCAAAATGGGAAACTGCATGTGAGAATGAGGAGGAGACAATTAGCAGTAAACAAAAGAGCCATAAACATTATCTGTTGTTTCACACCCAGGACTCACAGGAAATACCATGGACAGTATTTAAAACAACAATAACAACAAACCAACTCCTCCGTACTTTGCTCATACTCATTGCATGGCTTGGCTTCACTCGCCATTCTCATAATTCCATCTTTCTTTAGCTCACCATACAAAGCTCCCCTAGAATAAAGACTGGCCAGCTCTGGAGATTTCTCTAACAAGAAGGACAAGTTAAATATGCCCCATTCAGTTATTTTTTTTAAAAAAATTACTGGGGTTCTAAAAGCAATTCAATTCACTGTAGTGTGTACATACTAAGCATTTATAGTGTCCACATCAATAAAAAATATTTTGTTTTGTATTGTCTTATATAATTTATGTTTACTTTTCTCTAAACAACTGGCATTTATAGTGTCCACATCAATAAAAAATATTTTTGTTTTGTATTCTGTCTTATATAATTTATGTTTACTTTTCTCTAAACAACTGGCATTTTAATGTTAAATTGACCCTAAAAGGGGAAGTGGTTAAGACCTGTCACCCGCCAGATGACCATTCCTTTTACTCCCCAGTTAACCTCCAGGTGACCTCTCCAACCCCTGGCTGTGCTATTTTCTCAAGTGCCCTGGTGGTGGTGGGAGAGGAAGGTGGCTAGGGCTGCCCTGGAGAGTGGCCCAGGGCTTGGCAGCTTCTTCCTGCTTCCCATTTCCTCCAGAAAGGGCTTCCTGGCAATGAGGAAGATACAGTTTTTCGGAACTGCCCTCCAGTGCAAGGCAAAAATTCAGAGGGCGGAGTTGGCAGGGGTGGAGAGAAAGAGCACTCCCACACTGCACGGTGGGAGCTGGAGTTATTATAACTTTTGGTAAATGTGCCTCATCTTTCACCTACAAATTCCGCTTCTATAAATACATTATCCTATGGAAGTAAGAAGGCAAAAAACACAAAAATGTTTGGCAAAAAAAAAAAAATGTTTATGACGGCATTGTTGGAATAGCTTAAACGTAATCATTAGGAAATAATTTAAACAAATGATTTAAATTATGTCTATACAATGGGATACCATGTAGCCACTAGAATGATGATGTGGATTTTTATTTACTAACATGAACAGTATCCAGAATTTATTAAGATAAAAGCAGATACAAAACAGCAATTATAGCATGAACCTGTCCCTTTTATTAGTATATGTGTCTCTCTTGTTCTCTCTTTTATTTTTTTTTCTCTCTCCCACACACACACACACACACACATACACATGCACACATGCACACACGCACACACAGAGCGGAGAAGGAAAAAATGTTGGCCACTTAATACCAGTTATCTCTCTGGGTATAATAAATGCTTTTTAAATTTATTTTAATACTATTTTATACTTCCTGAAAGTTGTTTTTACAATGCACATACATTACTTTTAAAATTAGAGAAATATTTCCCTTTTGAAAAAAAAATTTTTCCTCCACATATGATGCAGAACAAGATGCTTGGTAAAAGTAGATGTTCTATGATGGCTTCAACAGTTTAAAAGTGACAGGGATAACTGTGAGCCTTTGCCAAAGTAGTCTTACCCATCCAGCTTTGGTTTTAACTAATGCCCACATTAACAAAAGCCCAGAAAGATCTTAAACTGAAGTCAATTGAAAACAGAAAATAGAGCTATGAATGCTTCCTTAACCTCAATTTTTAAAATCTTCAGAAGGCTAACTACTAATCTGTTCTCACATTCTCAGAAGGAACAAAAATTGAAAAAATGCACACAAAGCAATCTTGAGAAAGAACAACAAAGCTGGAGGCATCATGCTCCCTGATTTCAAATGCTATTATAAAACTATAGTAATTAAACGATATGATATTGACATAAAAACAGACACATAGATCAATGGAACAGAATAGAGTCCAGAAATAAACCCACACATATATGGTAAATTACTTTATTACAAACAAGCTAAAAATATATAATGAGGAGAGAACAATCTCTTTGATAAATGGTGTTGGAAAAAGTGGACAGCAACAGGCAAAAAATGAAACTGGACCACTATCTTACACCATGCACAAAAATTAACTCAAAATGGATTAAAAACTTGATCATAAGATCTAGAACCATCAAATTCCTAGAACAAAATATAGATGGTAAGGTCCCTGACATAGTGCTTGGTGATGATTTTTTTTAATCTGACATAAAAAGTAAAAGTAACAAAAGCAAAAATAAACAAGTTGGATTATATCAAACTGAAAAGCTTCTGCACAGCAAAAAAAACCCCATCAACAAAATAAAAAGGCAAGCTACCAAGTGGGAAAAAATATTTGAAAATCATATATCCAATACAGAGTTAATATCTAAAATATATAAAGAACTCATACAACCTAATAGCCAAAAAAAGGTCTCATTTAAAAAATGAACAGAAGATCTAAATACACATTTTTATTAAAGAGACATACAGATGGCCAACAGGCACATAAAAAGATGCTCAAAATCACTAATCATCAGGGAAATGCAAATCAAAACCAAAATGAGATACCATCTCACACTTGTTAGAATAGCTATTACCAAAAAGACAAGAAATAACAAGTGTTGGTGAGGAGGTGTAAAAAGGGAAACTTTTTTTCAGTGCGAATGTAAATGGGAACAGCCAGTATAAAAAACAGTATGGAGATAACTTAAAAAATTAAAAATACAGCTATCATATCATCCAGTAATTCTACTTCTGGGTATGTATCCAACGAAAACAAAAACACTAATTCAAAAAGACATATTCATCCCCCTTGTTCACTGCAGCATTATTTATAATATCCAAGATATGGAAACAACTAAATCAATGGGTGAATGGATAAAGGAACTATTGTATATATATAATAGAATATTCTTCAGCCATAAAAGAAAATGAAATCTTGCCATTTGTGACAACATGGATGGACCTTGAGGGCATACAGCTAAATGAAATTAGGTCAGAGAAAGGCAAATACCATATGACCCCTCCTACATGTGAAGTCTAAAAAACACAAAACAAAACAACACACACACACACACACACACACACACACACACACACACACACACACACGATCCAAGCTCATAGATTCAGAGAACAGATTTTTGGTTGCCAGAGGTAGAGGTTGGTGGGTAAGAGAAATGGGTAACGTAAGGGGGTGGTGGTATCAAAGGTAAAAAATAAAAATTTTTTTTAAATTCAGTGAACTAGTAGTTTCCCTCTACAACACAAGAAGAATTGCCCAAATAGTTTTTCCTTCTATTAGTTTGGTAATTCTCATGAGGTATGGATACTCTTAAATTCAGTAGTTGAGAAATACTTACGTGAATGGGAACTTGAAATCATTGGGCTTAATACAGCGCACATAATGAGGGGTAGTGGCATTGAGGGTCTCCATCAGCAGATGAAGGGAGTTTCGGAACTGCACAGAAAAGGGCGGGAAGGCGCGTCAAGGTTTTGTTAAAGCCAAAGATAATGGAAAACAATTTAAAATATTTTTCCAATACCAGTAGAGATTGACACATCCTCAGAGGGGGAGCTGATATTAAACAAGAATTCTAGGTTAAAATTAATTAAGTTCTTCCATTTGCATGCTTGCTATGCTAAATATACATTTGCTCTCTCCCACCTCTTTTCCTGACCTGCTTTTTTATAAGACTCCATTTTCTCAGCATACTTTTAGGTTCTCAGCAAAAATGAAGAGAAAATACAGGGATTTCCCATACATCCCTTGTCCCTACACGTGAATAGCCTTCCCCATTGTTAACAGTTCCCACCAGAGTTGTACATTTACACTGACACATCATAATCTCCCGAAGTCCATCATTTACATTAGAGTTCAGTCTTCCCACCCTCCTTTTAATACAAGTTTCTGCTGTTTTCTATTGTGAACTCAGGATTCTGACTAAAAATATAACTGCTTTAAGAATATCAAGACCATTTAATCATGTACAGTGGGAGTTTTGCTGTAAGCTAGTGGAAAATATAGCAGATGACTTAAGAGGGTACAGGACCATGGCTGGTGTGGCTCAGTGGACTGAGCACCGGCCTGCAAACCAAAAGGTCGCCTGTTCAGTTCCCAGTCAGGGCATAAGCCAGGGTTGTGGGCTGGGTCCCCTGTTGGGGGCACGTGAGAGGCAACCCACTGAAAAAAGCGTATAGGGAATGAGGTGAGAATGGGAGAGTACAACCAGGGTGGGGTTACCATTATGGACACGGGATCAGGACCGGAGGCAGTGGACCTCGGTCTGGCCCCACCTCCTGTCTGCACTAGGCACAGGGTCCCATGCAATGCACAGGAAAACAAGCCGACTAGTGCTCAGCCTCCTGTTCAAAGCCCCAGGCCACTGGTTAGGCACTAAGCATGTATGTCACACTTCCCACTTCCCACAGAGCATGAGACTTCCAAAAAAGGAGAGGGCACTGTTCCAGCTGAAGGAGCTGATGCTCTCTGTACAAACCCACAGAGGAAACAACCAGAGAATAAATAAACAAAGCAGTGTTCTGCGAGGGAGAATTAAGATTAGAGAAGATTATTTTGGGAAAGGCTTAACCAGAGCCACAGGTTTGAAGCTAGGTGGAGGTCGGGGGTGGGGGGGAGTGGACAGAGAAAGCAGTAGCCTCTCCTCCTCTGAGGATCCCACTGGGGAGGCTGAGAAAGGAATATCTGAAGCTTCAGCTACGCCAAAGGGGAAACCCGAACTCACCTGGTGCCCCACCGTTTTCTTGTGCTCCTTGGCTGCCTGGCCTGGTCGACCTTTGGCGGGCTTCGCAGGAATGCGGGTGAGGGGTGTACGTCCTGAAGAGGTGGCTGAGGTTGGACTAATGGCCTTCTCATCATCTTGAAATAATTCTGGTAGCATCTTAAACTGAGTCAGAAAGAGCAAAAGGAAATTATACTCTAAACTCAAACTCAAATATAAACCTTTACAGAAACATTGTGAAGATTTGCAGTCCATAATGATTCCCTTAAGTAAATTCTTTCAGAGTCACATTCCAGAAGTAATCATTATCTGTGTTGGGAGCAAAAAATATGAGAGGAAGGTGACATGTATGCTATAAAAATATAGGTGGAAAAATGTAATAATTCTACAACCATGTTTGGGGGAAACAAAATCAAATCTACTCCACTAAGCATTGAAATCTTAATTCACTCTAAACATATTACTGAGTTTGAACTATAATTATTTTATGAGCAAAATGCTAGTTGAAAGCCCTATATTATTATCTTCATTCCACAAAATATTTTATCAGCATGCTTCATTTGCCTACACACTAATTCAAATGGTGAGCACTAGCTAAAAAATATCACTGAAAATCTCAGCAGGAAGAGTGTCAGGAACTAGTTCTGCAGTACTAAAATATTAAAAAATAGTGATGAATTGATAATAATTTTTAGAAAATAAGTTGGATTACAGGGGTGGGGAGTAGAGGGGAGGAGGAAAAAAACCCTGTCCTTATCCTGTAAGCATTTTATATTTTGTTTTCAAAGGATTTGTAACTTAATTGCATACTTCTATAACCAATGTGTTCTACTAGGATAGCAATATGAAAGATTATCAAAAGGTCTGCTTCTTAGTAAGTGGACAGATGGTATTAGTCACTATGGTTGGGAGAAATTTTTGGAAACAAAAGAGATTTCGAACTATTCCACAGAAACATCTCGTATATGTGTATCTTTACAACATTGCCCCATTCCACATATGAGAAAGTAAATCTTTCTCATAAGTGAAATTACAATCACAACTACCAATTATTTGTCTAATAATTTCAAAATATCTCCAGAAGAAATAATTTCCTTAGGCAAGTTCTTTCACTAAAAAGCAAAATCAGGTAATTTCATTTGCTCTTAATTTGTGTATCAATCATAAGGGTAATTTAGGAAATAATTTATGATGTTATACATAACATACCAATAACAGTTGCTTTCTATACAAATGAATGTATTCCTTGCTTTATAGAGTAATGTATTTTTAGCTTGGTTTGCTACAAAGTGGGGAAAAATTGTTTTACCATTATCTTATATTACAATGTTAAAGCTATGTTCCAAAGGGGAAAAATAAGAGTTCCTAAGATTCAATTTGAAAAGTCAGCACAGGGTTAAGGTGCTAGGCTACTCAATGATAGGCCAAGTACTTTAGAATTTTATCTGTGGTATTTGATCATTCTCAAATAAATCGTTAGCTCTACATCAGCATTGTTGACCTAAACTTTGTTGTTCTCTCTTTTGTGAGAAATAGTTAATAGAAGTGGGCTGCAATAGGTATTTAGTAAATTACAGCATCCAGTAGGTACTATACTTTAACTTAATATCTAAAATATCTACCAGAAAACTGCTTAGTGTTCAGAATTCAGAATACATACACACACATATATATGTATATACGTTTATGTGGCTTCCTCCTCACAGAAACCACAAATTTAAAATTCTCCAAATTGGTATTACTTTAAAAAAAATAGAGCACATTTGATGTTGTTGTATTAGAAACTGCTGTATAATTTCTTCTTTAAGCAGTTGTTCCTCATGGGCCACTCTCCTCCAGCTTCTTTCCTGATTCCTCCGCAGGCCAGCCTCTACAAGTCGCAATGTCTAGGGACTCTGGCCTTTCTTTCTATGTTTTCGACCTACTTATTCTCCCTAAGCAATCTCATCCAGCCCCACTGCTTTAAAACGTCTAGTTCTAAAGACTTCCAAATTTATGTCACCTACTCTGACTTTCCCCATGACCTGCTGACCTTCATTTCCAGCTTCTTGTATGACATGCTCGCTTGGACTATCTATCTAACTGACATCTCAGGCAAAACATGTTCAAGGCAGAACTCTTGATCCATTCTCCCAAAGCCTGATCCTTTTTAAGTCTTCATTTCAGTAAACGACACCATCATCCATCTAGTATCTCAGGCCAAAAACATGGTAACCATCGTCCTCGGTTTCTCCCGTTCTCTCACTCTCCACTCAATTCATCAAGACCTGCAACTCTGCCCACAAATTATATGCCATTTCCACTGCTACCATCTTGGTGCCTCAGTATATCCTCTCTCACCTAGGTCAGTGCTGCCTCATCTCCACTCACCCTAAATACATCATTACCCAGCAGCCTATCTTTCCCTATATGGAAACCTCCCAGGCTTCCATGGCAACGGGAATAAAGTCCCCACTCTTTACTGTACTGCCCTCCAGAAGGTGGTTTCTATGTACCCATTCTATACATCCTACTCACCTACCATGCTCCAACCACACTGGCCTTCTTTTTAGACCCCAAACACAAGCATCTTATACAGCCTATGTACTCCTTACCTGTTCTGCCATCTGCCTTGATAGGGTTGTCTCCCATTTTTCAGGGCACAGCCTAAACTCCTGCCCAAGCTTACTCAGTCTCTAGCTTGGTACCCTGTTTGACTTCATTTACAGCATTTACTACGTTGATACAATATTGTCTAAATATTTGATTAAGTGTTATTACCTAACTCTGCACAAAAGCAGGGATCTCTGCCTATCTCATTTACCTTGTTTTCCTGGCTCGATACCCAATTTTCTGAAATCATTTATTGAAGAATTTATCCATTCCTCACTGACTAAGGATGCCAACTTTATTTAAAGAGAGGCAGATACACAAATGCATAGGTAGGCAGATATGCCTGGAACACTCCCTCTTGTTTCTTTGATCTATCTATTCCTAAGACAGGGCTCTGAATTGCCTAAAACCGAACATATATGTCTAGCAAATAGTGTTAAAGAAAACAAAGGAATCCAAGTGGCAGCTTCATGAATTTGTGGGAAATCATTTCAGTAATAATAACATTATTCACAAGGAGTTTTTTATGCATAAAGCACTACCCTAAGGTCTTAAAACCTATTTAATCCTCATAACAACTCCTCAGATACTAATACAATTCTATTTTATATACGAGAGGCCTAAGGCATAAACTCAGTAGCTGAACTGTGCTTCCCCTTGTCAATTAGCACCATGGAAAGTAGGGGTTATAACTCTTTTTACTGGTACTTGGTAGAGTTCCAATTTAGTAGTATTTAGTCGAGTCTGCAGTTCATTTATGTGCACCCTGATATTAGATATGGCAACATAATTTATATTTTTTCACCACAAAGAAACCTTAAGACACTTTTTGTTAAATTTATAATAACTTAATTCCTTTACAGGTTATAAATTTGGCTACAGGCTGCAAAATTAAAGGGAAAAGAAAAGAAAAAAAACACATACACACAAACTCAACCCCACACAGTATGACCATGAAAATAATTTTATTTAAAACGTATAACACAAATATCAACCTTCTAAAAGTAGTACATCCAAGAGAACAAATCAACACTATATTACACTTGCTTCCTATCAGGTGTAAAGACATTAAAATACAAAGTTCATACCCTCAGGCTGGGTTTCTAGGGGATGGGTTTCTAGGGGATGGGTTTCTGACTGGGTGTGGGGGGGGGGGCCTCTAAGCTATGCAAATCACACAAGGTCCCCATTCCAACGGCAGCAGTGCTACACAGGCGACAGCCACTCTGAGTGATCCCTCAGAATGCAGAGAGAGCCATCTTCTGATAATTAACCTGATAACTAGCCAGTCAGAGAAGTTAAGTCAGAATAAAGACGCAACTGATTATGGGTGCCTGGGGAATGAGAACCTGTGAATATTCCATTTAAGTTAATTACTTAGGCAGAGAAGTGACATTAGAATTTCATGGTTTTCATCACTATTCATAAATCAAAATGATTTGTAATCTTTAACTGAAAAATATTCAGAGATTGGCCCTGTGAGAGAATTTTCTCTTATGTATCAGTCCCATAAGCTATAAAGCATTAATGCCCAATGCCTATGAGGATAAGTAAAACACTGACTTTTTCTAAAGACATTTAGACTCATTATTTTCTGAGGGTTAAAACCAGAATTTGGTATTTATATGAGCTTTCTAGTATCACAATAATTTAAGGCAGAGTTTTTATTCTAAAAACAAGAGTCAAAATGTTCATGTAATATTCCATTTAAGTTAAAAGGACTGTCTTAGAATAAATCAGAAAAACCGTGTCATTTTCAGAATAAACCAAAAAAAAGTGCCAGTCAGAAATCTAAGAGAATTTGATGAGTTTTATATTGAATGTTTGAATATTCACTTTGCTATATGGAGTAACTGGCTGCCTGGTTTGCTCCCTACAGAATGAAAGTGAGCTGTGCTTCCCTCCCCATCTTTTCCTGATGAGAGTAAAATAATGGAGACTGGGATCAACTTAATAAACAATCCAGCATAACTGTCATAGTTCTTTGACATCTGGAATAATCTTTTCCCACTAGAAAGTAGTGTTTCTAGAGTTTATGCTTAGGAAAAATAATTCCAAAGTGCTTTGCGCTGCACCTGAAACTGCACTCAATGATTCAGAGATCAATCTCCACCTGAACAGAGTGCATAAGGCTATGTTTCAAGTGAATTCCTTCCAAATGACAGCAAAAATATTGCCTTCTCTCACAGGCTCTCACAGGCTCTCACAGAGGCACAAGAAGAGCCTAGAACTGCTGTAGAGGCAAAAATTCCACATAAAACTGAACGACAACACTGCACAGTGGTGAAGAACAGGGGCTCTGAGCCAGATAACCTAGGCTTTAATTTGGCTTGAAAACTCATTAGCTATGAAGTCTGTGTCTCAGGTCCCTCATCTGTGAAACAGGCAGAGAAATGATAATGTCACCTCATTATGAGGATTAGATGAGTTAACATTTGGAAGGCATTGGAAACAGGACCTAACACACACGTTAAGCATTATGTATTTGATAAAAACTAACAATAAAGCTGATTTTGTTAGAAACATCATTATTATTGTTTTTAAAAAGCTAATGCTTAAGTAATTAACATTATATTGAATATATCCTGATTGAAGAAAACCATACATTGTTACCTTGCTTGATTTAAGAACTTTAATTTGTTCTTCAAAAACAGTGTCTTTATTCTTTTCCAGAAAGCCTTCACACTGGTATTCCACCTGAAAACACATGGAAAAAATCTCCTTAACTAACAAAACTTTTTAATAGATGTCATAATCAACAAAAAAAAATGTATTAAGCTCAAGTTATATGATGGCAATCAGCAAAGAGGTTACCATTGGTTTATTCTAAGAAACTAGAAACTTGGTAAGAAGTATGTTAGGCCTGGAGTAAAACTCCCCAAATACTGTTTCTACTACGGGACAGCGGTAGTGCTGGATAATTGTGGTCTAAAAGACCCTCCCAAATCACAGGTAAACAGACTCATTTGAAGTTAATTCTCTGCTCCCCTGCTGGCATCTCTGCCATAGCAGACCCAATGTATTTCCTTCTATCCTTAGTTCACCAACCAACAAGGGTAAATCTCTTGGAGCAAAGAGATTCAAGTGGGAGAGAAGATCAGAAGGAGCAAATAGCTATCTGACAGAAAGAAAGAAGAGCTGACTATAGATGGAAGTGAAGGGTGGTCAATACTGTATGATTTGGTAAATAGAACTACTCAGGAACAGACTATTCCAACTTGCAAAACTCCAGCAACTTCAGCCATCTACCAAACAAGGGACTCCCAACCTGCACCACAAAGCCCTTAGGTGACTATACAGTCATTCCAAGGTTTCCAGCCAGGCTTACGGAGGACTCAGAAGGCCCCCAAATCCTAAAGGAGACTCTCAGAAGCTGACTCCACAGCCTACCCTACAACCTCCTTGAAACATAAATTAGTCTTATGGCTCCTGCTGTTCTTAGTAGACTATAGAACCTTTGGAGCAGTAAGTTGGCCTGCCTTGTTAGTAGGGACCCAGTGAATCAATAACAGAGGGCAACACTAGTCCACAGTTTCTATTCTGAAACCCTTGGGGTCAGCTATGTTTTAGAACTCAGAATTTTTCAGCTAAGTCCAAAGCAGCAATCTGTGATCAAATACATTATCATTTCTACACTGAAATATGCAAATATCAGCCTAACTGGGGTAAGTAAAGACTATAAATAACCTCATGTTATAGTTCAGGTCAGAGATCAGGTTTAGCCACTAAATGAATTATGAACAGACTTTTGGTTTTCAGAGTTTCTTGGATTTCACAATTACAGATAGAGGATTGTAGACTCATTTTTATTTCATAATTCCATTTACATTAAAGGAGAAGAACAACAAGCCAACAATGAAGGTTACTTTTCTTGTAAGTCCCTGAAGAATGCAAACTTCAGTAAAAAAAAAAGATACCTCTTGACTATTGATTTTTTTTCCTCTTTGAACTTTAATATTAAAAAAAAAAGATAATAAAGCTTCCTTACCTTGTCAGCAAAATGTTGAATGATGAAAGCTTTGTTTGATAGACGGGGCTTTTCAAAGAGTGCACATTTGTTCAAATGTGTGTTGTACAATTTTTGAGCCCAAGTGTCATCTGTACCTTTTGGCATCTACATTCATTGAAAGAAAAAAAAGAAAGAAAACAAGATGAATATTGTTATGAGACTCTTCTGATGTATTAACTAAGAGACTATTTTTGGGCTTCGCCTACCAATTTTTATACATTTTTAAAATTAAATTTATTGGGGTGACGTTGGTTAATAAGGTAATATAGGTTTCAAGTGTACATTTCTATGATACATGATCTGTATATTGCATTATGTGCCCACTACCCAAAGTCAATTTTTATATTCAATTTAGGAACTTATTTCTTCCACATTTCTTTCTTAGAAGCCAAAATCCAATTAACAAAGAACTATAACTGAGCCCTTCCCATGGGTAACTCATTCTGCCTATACCAGGAGTAAATATTCAATTTAAAATAAATATTCAATTTGCTTTTAAAGCAATAAAAGCCTCACAAATAAAAGATGAAATATTATGACTATCGTATATTTTCTAAAAACTTGTTAAATAAAGGTAACATTTGCACATAGTAAAATATTTATATAATTCAGAAAGGTACAATGGAGAGTAGTGTCATCTCACTATTTACATTAACTTCTTCATCTTTTTTGTCTCTAAAGGCATCTAAAGGCATATAGTCAAATAGGATCATTCTATAAACTCATTATATTTTTTTTCCTTCTTAATAATAGCATTCTTGTATTTGTGGCTACTATGCTGTTACTGATTTTTGTAACAATGACTTCTTTTACATATATATCTTGGATACTTTTGCAAGTATATTCATAGAGTAAACTCCCAGCAGTTCCACTGCTGCATCAAAATATATATGTGTTTATAATTTTGATACACATTGTCAAATTTTCTCTAAAATATATTGTACTAATTCTTGACCTTTATTAAGAATACATATGTGATAAATACTCATTTGGTAGCATCAAATGAAAGGTATTATTTAATTTAATAATAATTAAATTCCCTGATAGGTAAAAAACCAGTTTCTCATTTTTGTTTTGATTTGCATTTTATTCAATTTTGAGTGAGGCTGAGAGCCTTTTCATTACATGCATTCTGAATGTTGTAGAAAATCTGTATGTTTAGGAGGATCAATCTATGTCTCAGTTGTAACTTATGGCATATAAACTAAATAAAGAGAAAGAATAGGTTATCTGTCTAAGACCATTCAGGTAGCAGTAAAGCTGGGGATCTCGCATTCTTCCAGCATGCTGCATCTTCAAATATTAAAGCTAAAACTCCCTCCCTACCATACATATTAGTAATAAAGAAAACCCAGTCAAATTTTAAATTATGAATATTTAGAAGTATTATTCAAAATATCTTTTGTGATTTCTTGCATTTCTTTAAATATCTCATACCATTGAACAATAAGTACCAAATACAAGCATACTGAGTAATAAAAGTGGCTGAAATTGATAGTAGCTGTATCAAATGCCAATTTGCCAATTTTTTGCATAACTTAGAATCAGCTAAAAAGAAAATGGAAATTCTCCTCCTCTCATTTGTATTTAAAGCCCCCTGGGTCTAGTGACTCTTTAGAAAGCAAGTTAGGTGCCGCAATGGTACCTCATGATATACTATGAATCTCTGCTGAAACCCACTTCTGACCTTTATATATCTGTTTTGATAGACTAAGTACATCAAGGAGTCATACTTACTTTGCATTCCTCATCCAGCAAATCTAGAATGCCCAGTTTAGATTCTATAAGATTAATGCAAGGCTGATTATCATAAAAATCTATGAGAGTCCATGGAATTTGTTCCTTCATATATTCTTCTTGTTCTAATTTGAAGACATGCTGAAATAAATACAAAAAAAGTGGCATTACTGTATCATCATAAACAATGCCAGTCAAGAAACAACCTTTATACAAAACACTCTAAGATACCAACATAATTTGAGATAGTCCATGACTTTCAGCAACAACAGTCTTGTGGGAGAAACATGATTTACACACAGAGAATAATAAAATAAAGCAAATAAAAATCACAGACAATAAAACCTCAGATATGCAGGCTTCTTGATAAACAAGTAAATCTAGGTATGTGAATGTTTTAAATAGCTCATGTTTTCTGCCCTGGCCCAGTAGCTCACTTGGTTAGAGCACCCTCCCAAAATACCAAACGTGAGGGTTTGATCTCCAGTCAGGGCACATACAAGAGGCAACCAACGAATGCATAAATAAGTAGACCAACAAATCTATATTTCTCTCTCCTCCTTCTCCTTTCTCTCTAAAAATCAATCAATAAATTTTTTTTTAAACACCTCATAAATGTAGCAGCCTTCAATGTTTGATATGTACACATCCAAAACTGCACTATTTACTTTTTGACCTCCTATTTAATAAATTATTGCATTGTGTTGTTAAAACATGGGCTCAGGAATGTCTTTGCTGGCCTTGACCAACTATGCGGAGCAGACGCTCGACTACTGACCCATGCTGGAAGATGCGTACAGCATAAGTAATTCTCTCAAGGCACTGTCGCGTTGAGGGTCATGTGCCTCAGAATTAGATAATAGTTGGTCTTTCATGTCTGCCTTGATTGTTCTCCACAGTTATGAAATTTACTGCTCACTTTTCTGGATTCTACATCCAACTCTGTAAGCAATTGGAACCACTATCAATTCATGCTATTTCTGTTAAATACTTCAGCCAGCACCCTTGCCATTGCTTCTAATCTCCATTCATTCATTTCAGCGAAAATATGTATTGACTGTCTACTATGTGCCAGTCATCAAACACCATTAACAAAATAGATATGGGCTCTGCCTTCATGAATTTTGGAGACTGGTGGGAGAAACAGACAGAAATCAAATAATCACAAGGAATATAACTACAAACTGTAATGTTAGAGAGAAAAATGATGCGAGCTATGAGGGCAGGCACCCTCACCTAGTCTGGATACAGAGTGGGGAGGGAAGGTTTCCCTGAGGAAAGGCTGTGTGATCTGAACTCTGCGGAAGAATGGAGTTAGGTCAGTCTAGGTGGGAAGGGTAATCCCACCTCTGCTTCAGGCCACCCAGCCAATGCAGCGCAACCACAACTTCTAGTCTTACAGATTCTCATCACCTCCATTTGTAAGGCCTTGGGGGTTTCTACTTTCCTTTCCTAATCTCTTTGTCTTCCTTGGTTTGTGCACACATCTTGCTACTTTTCTGGAAAGATTAGCTCTACGGCTATAACAAGACAACAAATATTAAGGACCCAAAACCCCATAAAACTTAAGTGTCACCAAGATTTCTGATACATACTCTCGTATAATGCTGCTCTTGGCTCACTTGCAGCATTTATAGTCTAACCAGCTGCAATAAGCTTTAGTCAAAAAAAAAGAAAAAGAAAACCTGGTCATCCGTATGAATATTTATGTCATGCTAATTAGAAGGCAAATTTCTTCTATTCTGTGATTAATGAGGCACCATGTGTCAGCAGGATGCCCTGACTGATGGTACCAATATTTCCTGAAACAATGAGCCCTCTTTTTTTTTATTCATTAATTTATATGCAGTCTCAACATTGACAATAGAAACACTGCTCTAGACTTCAAATAGGGCTTTTTTCTCACACACATCTTTGTATCTAAGTTTAGAAAAGTCCATGGGGCCTCAAAAATTTTGGATGCTCAGCCCTGGCTGGTGTGGCCCAGTGGACTGAGTACTGGCCTGTGGACCAAAAGGTCACTGGTTCAATTCCCACTCAGGGCACATGCTTGGGTGGCAGGCCAGGTCCCCAATAGGTGGTGCACAAGAGGCATCCACACATTGATGTTTTTCACCCTCTATTTCTTCCTCCCTTCTCCTCTCAAAATAAATAAGTAAAATCTTTAAAAAATTCTTTGGATGCTCTATTGTCAAAAAGACAATGTGGGCATGAGGTTCAATGTGGCAAGAGATCCTTGGTCAATATGGTAATCTTTCCAAGTACTAAACATGCCAGTCACCATGTTTTTCATACCCACTGCCTTACCCACAGCCCCTGCTGAAGGAGCAGTCCTAAACAGCCAAGTTCTTTACTGTGAGACCCTGTGTGCCTATCGCAGCTGACTAGACCAAGGGTGGGTACTTGACGACACTCTACTGCCAGAGACCTCTGAAGAAAAAATGAACTGGGTTATCTGTGAAAGCTGCCTCTGAAAGAAGTCAGGAAGAATGAGAGGTAAGCAAGTTAAGAGAATGGGAGGCATACTCCAACCACTATTGGGTTCACAGGAAGTTCAAAGTGAGTAAGCAGAAACTTAAGGTAAAGAAAATACATACAGAATAGAAGGAAAGAATATGCCATTTTAAAAGAAGAGGGAGTGGAGCAGTTGTACAGAAAAGCTAAGATGTATTATGGCGTATAGTGTGATGTGGGTATGTGGGGGTGTGTGGGAGGGTGTTGGGGGAAGAGAGAAAGAGGGCAGAGAGAAACAGATAGAGAGAAACAACGGGAGAAAGACTGAAACAAGAGAGTCAGAAACACATTCAGAGAACTGAGGCCCTTGAGAAATAGACAAACTAGCCAGTCCCTAATGAGACTGGCATTGATTCCTTCTACTTCCAGTCACCCTGTACCAAAATATACTGGGAAAGAGCAGAAGGCTGTAGCACTCATTAGAATGTTAAGAAACGTTGAAAAACCCTGAGAAAAGAGAATGCTCAGTTTAGTCTCTCAAGGCTTTTTTTAATGTTCCTCATGCAGAGAAGAAAAATACAACCATCATATTCTTATGAAAACAGTCATATACCTGAGGTTTTAAGATCACCTCTACATTATTTCACTGTGCTAAGTAGCTTAATTTGCTATATAAAGACGGTCCAAATTTTTATCAATATGTATGCAATATTTTTAAAAAACCAAATAGGTTGAAGGTTTTATGATAACAAGAAACAACCCCTCGTCCCATCCCTCCCCAACCTCAGTCTCGCTGCCTGGTAGCAATCACTTTTATAACTCCCTCAGATATTTCTTGTGATATTTACCTTAAAAGGATAAGCTTATCAGCTATGTTTTGATTTATTTATTTGAAATAATGTCTACTGATTTCTTCTTAAGATAAATGAGGCTAACTTCACATATACCACCTCTTAACTGCTTCTTCACATCCTCCCAATATTACTAGTTTTAAATCTTCTCCTGGTTTTTATTAATTTTGTAACTTAAAATATCTTTAAACTTCTATTTTTTTCTTCATCAACTATAGGCTATACCACTTGACCTCTCTCCCTGTAAGATGAAGATATTTATTAAGGGTTCTTTTCCTGTCCTACAGGGAAAGGGTCCGAGCCCCTGTCAGGGCATGCACAGGAGGCAACTGATTGATGTTTCTCTCTCATCTCAATAGTTTTCTTTCTCTCCCTCTCTCCCCTCCTCTCTCTTAAAATCAATAAGCTCTTTTCTCTTCTATGTATCTTTCAATTCCTATGGGTGACTAATTTTAATACCCTCTCATCAAAACTAATAACAACTACCCCAATCTTGCACTTACTGCATCTGTCAGGTGGTCAGCACTTTACATATACCAACTCACTTAATCCGTAAGACTATGTGCAGTAGGTACTATTACTGTCCCCATTACACATATGAGGAGACTAAGGCCAGAAAGGTCAACTAAGTTGCCCAAGTTCCACGGATCAATGCAGAGTAGGATTTTAATCCAAGCAGTTTGCTTCAGGGGGTCTGTGCTTTTCACTATTACAATCTACTACCCTCATTTTTAAGAGCATCCAAATCCTCAACATCATGCTAATGCTCTCAGGTATCTGACATTACTAGTTGACAAGAGATACTCTCAAAATATGCCCATTGCCATGGTCTCAGTGAATGTCTCAAACTGTTGAAAAGAAAATATGTAAAAAATATGTAGGAGCCCTGGCTGGATGGCTCAGCTGGTTGGAACGTCATCCCATATACCAAAAAAAGTTGAGGGTTTCCTCAACTGATCAAGTGCATATAACCTAGGTTGCGGGTTCGAGCCTCTGTCAAGGCATGCACAGGAGGCAATTGATGTTTCTCTCTCATCTCAATAGTTTTCTTTCTCTCTCTCTCTCCTTCTCTCCTTTCTTCTCTCTTAAAATCAATAAACATATCACGTTGAGGATCGCAAAAAAAATGTGGAAAAGAGAGTATGTTCTGAATTTTTGCTCTGGTGTCTTACTAATACAAGTAAGAGTTAAGCAAGTCATAACTCCACATATAGTTAGCCTCAGGCACAACACAATGGAGACTATCTCTAGGCTCAAAGCTTCATACATGCTATCTTACTATCTAACACAATTTCTGCTCCCCTCTCTCAATTTAATTGTACAAAATTTTTGCTATTCTCAGACAGTAATCCAAGGATGACCTTGAATCCTATCTGGACCATAAATATTCTTCTAATGTTGCATCATTTATTAATCATAAGTTCCTCGGCAGTTTAGCTGTTCTGAACACCAGATAGTTCTAATTCATAACTTCATTTCAGGAATCAGACTGTAAATACAGACTAGGAATTCAAGAAAATAATTTATAGCAGAATATTACTCAAGAAAGAAAATTCTTACCATATTGAATTGTTGCTGTAGTTTTTCATTTGCATAATTTATGCAAAACTGTTCAAAACTGTTTATCTCAAATGTTTCAAATCTGTAAAACCAAAAATAATATGGGAGGAGGAGAAAAAGGAACAAGTTGCTTGTAAAAATACCCAAAATGTGCATATTAGAAAGAAATAGGAAATCCCCCAACATTGTGAAACTTTCTTTCTACATCAGCGAGGACACAGGTTAATAAGTCAGTATAATGGGACATGTGCCCAGCAGATAGGCATCACTCAAAATGCAGAGAGTTTTTTTAAAGACTAGAGTATGTAGTTGTATTGAACAGTATGAGTTTTTTTTGGGGGGGGGAGCAATTAATTCATCCCTAAGTGGGGAACACTCAGTATTATGATAAAGCCATTGCTCTTGCCAATGTACAGACTCAGTGTCTACATACACATAGAAGGGAACTGGAAATAGAGAGCTCATAGGTTCTTTTAAAATCTGAACCAGATAATGAAAAATTAGGCATCAAGAAGCACACATGTACAAGAACAATTTTAACAGTTAAAGAAGGGTACCCAGAGAAGAAAAACTAGCAAATGAGAATAGATTTTTAGAAATTCTCTTCTAATTTTCACTCCTTACCAGTAGGAGACAGGATCAAACACCCATGGAGAGTATCTAGAAAATCTCTAGAAAGGAATGCTCTCTGGAAGGCCACCAAGCCAAGTACACTTACCCATAAATGTCCAGCACGCCAATAAAAGAGTGCTGTTTGACAGCAGAATGGAGAGCCTGATTGACATGATCGACAATCCAGTTAAAGAGCTTGGCATAGATGTGCTTGGACAAAGCATCGCGGGCATTCGTAGCCTGCAGCTTGGAGATGGGCTTGATGTATGTCTCCGTGGCAGTAGCCAGCTTCCGATGGCAGAGCCAGTGGCACATCTCCTCATAGTCCACACCCATGAGGTCACAGAAGATGCTGAGAGGTTCATGCTTGGGCTGCCAAAAGAGAATGGGTTATTTCCTATGACCAGATCAATCAGATACAAATTTACTGAAAAAAAATGCTAACAAAGTGGTAGCAAATAAAACCCAGCGATTTCTTTGTTATAACAAATACCAAGATCACTGAAAGCTGGTAAGTGATAATAATCAAAATCATCCATCAAACCAGCAACTAGGCAGCATTTGCAATCTCTTCTTGGGCTCATTTTAAAAATTATCTGTCTCTTCAGAATGTGTGTTTGTACCTCTTTTCAGACATTCATATTTACTAAGTGTCTATTATATGCCAGTAAACAAAAGCAGACAAGGTCTCTGTCCTCCTAGAAGGTACAGTTCTAGGGGAGAAGGATATTCATCAAATAATTGCTCCCTAAAATGTAATATTACTACAAAGGAGAAGGACATTACACTAAGATTTCAGGTTAGATAAGTGTGCTCTTTTCAGGGAGGCAGGAGACAGCTGCCTTAGACATGGGCTCAGATCTGAAAGATGAGGTGTTAACTTGATGAAAGGGGGAGAAGAGGGTCTTCCAAGCTGAGGGAACAGCTAATGTAAAAATCTGTGGTGGAAGAGTTACCATCGGTGTGAGGGACTGAAGCTGAGTGAGGGAGATGTAGGACATAAAGCCAGAGACGGGCAGAGGCTGTACCATGGCTGGTCCTCATCCTGAGAGCAATGGGAGGCCATGGAAGGGTTTTACAAAGAGTAACTTGATAGTTGTTTGTGTGGTTTCTAACATTAGAATCTCTCTAATCACTTACATGAGTAGTCATGCAATACAACTTTAATTTAATCTATATTGGTGTATTATATTTTTCAAATCTTTACTTGCACGTTCCAACGGAATGAGATAACATTCCTGGGGAATTGGCAGGATGATACTGTAACTGCTAATTAACAAATGAAGAAGTAAGATCCAAGAGACTAGCTTGTCAAAAATCAGCTGGCCAATTTACATCAGAGTTGTCATTAGAACCTGGGTTTCTTGACACTCTCGTCCTCTGGCCTTTCCCACTGAACCAGTCCCTTCCTTCTTTCTTCTCCCCTCCTCCCAACTAATTATTTCATACACAAATCACCACCATTCCAACAGTATGGTTGAACTCCCATAAGCAGTTTTATTCACTCATACATATACAAATGACTTGATATCATTTAGAAGTGGATCAGTACTCTCTAAACATATTCTACCCCAATGGTATTATTATGTCATTCTATTAGATCAAGGTTGTTAAATGTTCTGTTCAAACTTTCTGTAAATACTAATTTTTGAACAACTTCATCTACCAATAATCAAGGGATTGGGCGAAAAAGAAAAAGAACTCATGGACATGAACGTCAGTGTAGTGGTTGCAGGGTGGGGGGCAGAGGAGGGTGGGTGGAGGTAAAAGAGGGTGTAAGGGGGATAAATGGTAGTGCAAAAAATACAACAAAAAATAAAGTATATTAAAAAAGAATATCCCATTATGATAGATTTGTCCATTTCTTTTTGTGGTTTCTGTTTTGTTTTGGGGTTTTTTTTTGCTTATATATTTGAAAGCTACATCATTGAGTATGTGCCAAATCTGGAACGATTACATTTGCCTGGTGAATAAAACCTCTATCCTTAACTAGTGATTCTATTCATCTCCAGCAATGCTTTGGTCTCCAAGTCTGTTTTGTCCAATATCAATATAGCTCTGCCAGTTGTTGGGTTTTTTTTTCTAGCTATTATGGTGTGTCTTTTCTAAATTTTTTTATTTTCAAATTTTCTCTACCTTTATGTTTTAGGAATTCTTCTTTTAAAAAGCACATACCTGAATTCTTAAACCAGCCTGACGATTCATTGTAACTGATACATTAGTCTGTTTGTATTTATTTATTTCTATCTTATTTTGTGCCTTTATTTGCCCCACTTTCTCTAAAATTTTCTCTCTTTCTTGATATACTGGAATTGTTTTTAGCCTATTTTCCTCTCTACTAATTTGAAAGGTTTACTTTCTGTTTCTACTTAAGTAAAAGAAGCATTAACTTGTATTAGTTAACTGAATGTAATTGAATTACACTAACTCTAAACACTCCCATCCAATCTGTGTGCTTTGGGGCTGGTGATTCACTTAATTTTTTAAAACATTTTACTTTGATCTAATTTTAGACTAACAGAAAATTACAAGTACAGTACAAAGAATTTTCTTCACCCAGAGTCCCTAATATAGTATTAACATTTTACCACATTTGCTTGTATCATTTTCTCTCTCTCATTCTTTCACATACATACCCACACAATTTTTTCAGAATCTTTGAGAATACATTGCAAACATATTAACATTTTAGTCCTAAACATTTCAGTATGCATATCCTAAAAATTAAAGACATTATCTTACATATCTCTGGAATAATAAACAAAATCAGAAAATTAGCAATGATACAACCTTATTATCTAACCTCCAGATCTAATTCCATTTTTTGCTGATTGACCCAATAATGTCCGCTGTGGAAAAACAAACACACAAAACATTTCTATGGTCCAGGATCTAATCTAGGTTCATTCATTGAATTTAACTATCATCTTTCATTAATCTCTTTTAATCTGAACACTTCTTTACTTCATTTTTTTGTCTTTTGTGATCTGGGCATTTTTTTTAAAGCATGCCCCGCAGTTTGTGTCTGCATGATGTTGCCTCTTGATTAGAGCTGGGCCATGCATTCTTAGCAGGAATACCAGGGAAGTGATGTTGCCCTCTCCTGGGTGCTCCAAACCAGGAGCTATGTGATGCTGATTGGTCGCATCACTGGTCATGCCAATTGTTTTAACCTGTTTAAGGGAATATCCCTTGGGTTTCTCCACTGAAAGATAACTATTTTTCTCTTCCTAACAAGTAAGTATTTTGTGGAGAGTGCTCTCTTTTGCAGCCTAATATGTTATTAATTATCATTATTATTAGTTTTAGTTTTTCAAATTTTGTTTGCCTGTACTTTACTAGTTTATTGAATCACCATATCTTCTCAACATTGGATTGCTTTCCTTTTGTGTAAACTATACCCTTTAATATTTCCTCTAGTGACAGCCTATTGGTGACAAATTCTCACAACTTCCTATATGCATAAAAACATTCCTATTTTTCCTTCATTCTAGAAAGACATTTTTATAGGACATACAATTCTAAATTAATAGTAAGTTACTCTAGAACAATAATGATAGTAGTCCACTGTTTTATGCCTCATTGTTCAAGCTGGAAATGAGCTATCAGTTTAATTGCTATTTCTTCAAGAGTAGTATGTCTTATCTCTGCCTGTTCTAAGATTTTCCTCTCTGACTTTGGTATCATTATGGTGAATTAGAGATGGATTTTCTTTTATTTATTCTAACTGGGATTTTTTGGACTTTCCAAATCTGTGATTTAGTGTCATTTCACAAGTTCTAAAATGTGTTAGTGATTATCTCTTCATATATATGTCTGCCCTACTCTCTTTTTTTTCTGTTAGGAATTCTCATTAGATTAAAATTAATCTAATAGAGATTAATAGAGACTAAAAACTCTATTCTTCATCTCTCTTAACTATTATTTTTAAGTGCTTCATCTCTGGATCCCATCTTGCATTTTGGATAATTTCTTCACATCTATCTTCTAGCTGGCTCATCAGTTCCTTCCCCAGTTGTATCAGATCTGCTATTACTTTCTTTCTTAGTAGGTTTGACTTGGCTATTCTATCATATTACCTAGCTCCTTCTATTTTGTATCATCCTGGGACATAATTTTTTATTATGAGCCAATATTTCTTGTAACTTTCCTCTTAGAACTCTACTGAGGCCTTGACTGAAGGTGGATTCTCCAAAATAGGCTTGCATTTGCTTCTGTGAAGCATCTAGAGCACTACTGTTCCAGGACAAATTTAAGCAAAGTGTTCTGTATGTAACTCTCTGAAATCATCCAGGAACTATGAAATGAGGCTGGGAGTATGTAAATGGTCAGTTCATTGCTATAAATTTTTAAGGAACTATTTTTACCTCCTCTACTTAGTACTAAGGCATGAGCTGGATTAATTTTTCTTTGTACTCTTGGAGGGGGTGGTGGACAAGTTCATAATTAATAAATAAAATTAATTAGTTACCCAATTAGGGTCTCAGTTTTAGGCGGTGGTTACCTTATTTCTCCCTCTGTTTATATTTCCTAGACCTTATCTTTACTCTTCTGCACCCCGTTTGGCTATGAAAACCTAAGCTCAAGGTCACTCGGTTCTGCAAATTTCCTCAGAGTGAGTTCTAGCTTCAGGTTCTGCTTTGTTCTCTGAGTTCCTGTTTTCACCTAGTTTTTAGCCTCTGAGTGGTTCTTTATATTTATTTTTTAAATATTTAAAAATATAATTTATTCAGCATGAAGGTCAGTCAGAGCACCTAGTGTAAAACTGTTGTTCCTCATTTGTAAAATGCAAGAGACTAAAATGAGGTAAGAAGTTAAGCTACTTAACCAAAACATAGAATGAGTAAATAGTAGAGTTGGGCTTGAACCCAGACAAAGATACTGAAACATATATTTCAGAACTAAAGTTGAATTTATCCAAATTTAAGTCACACAAGTTAATCCACATGTAAATTTGCTAAAATCAACTTGGTTATCTGAAGAGTAAAACATAAATCTCAAGATTGTCTTCTTGCCCTGACCAGGTAGCTCAGTTGGTTAGACCATTGTTATGATACATCAAGGTTGTGGGTTCAATCCCCAATTAGGGCACATTCAAGAATCAACCACTGAAAGCATAAATAAGTGGAACAACAAACCTACCTCTCTCTCAAATCAATAAAAAAAAAGACTGTCTTCTGTTATAATCTTTGAAGAAGCAGGTTGGAAATAAAATTAATTATATTAAAGTTTCCTCTATTTTAATAAAGTTAAAAGACTCCTAATAACTAGGGGGAACCCCCAAAACACCAAACTTATCTTCTAGAGGGCGGGCCCCTTGTAGTACAGGCTTTCCCCACTAGGTGAATGTTGTAGGAACCCATTTGTTTCAATGCAGCAGCTGGCATTGTTGTGAGTGGCTCCGTTTGGCTTCAGTGAATTTTTTTAAAGACTCTTTCAGTTCCTTTGCTCATTTCATGATTTATGAGCACACCTGCCCACACAGCACTGAGTGTTCAGCAGTTTGCGACTGAAAAATGACACGACCCCTATACCCCACCCTATTCACCCAATCTTGTCCTGATTTTTTTGTTCCCCAGAGGAAAGAAGTCCTCAAAGGGAAATATTTTGCTGACATGGAAAAAATGACACACAAAAAAAAAATGGCAGAAGCACTAAAAGGCATCAAAATTGAGCATAAAAACTGTTTTGAGCAGTGGAAAAAAATGTCTCCATAGGTGTATTGCATCAAATGGAGAGTACTGTAAGGCAACTGAAGTTTAAACATGTAAGAATAAATACACAATTTTTTATAAGTAAACTGCTGGTTTTTTGAATTCCCCCTCATATATGTATAAATGTGTATGTGTGTACATTATCTTTGATGGTAGTGACCAGCAAATATTGCAAATCACAAATGCCCAATGAGGACAATTTGGACGGTCAGATTTGTTACAGTTTAAACAAATGTTCCCGCATATGAAATTGGGTTTTAAATCTCAGTGTGCTATTATTACTATGTGTGGAAGAGAATATAAATCATAGTTAAGACAACGCATCTCACAGCCATCTAGTCCCTCTTCCCAGGAGTAACCAGTGCTATCAGTCTCTTCAATAGCTTTTAAACCATATTTTATTTCCATGGCTGGAGACAAAAAGTTGTCAATACTTGGCACTTGTGCCAAATAAACCTTTCTCTCTAGACTCACCAATCCAATGTTCATATCTATTTCTCACCTCTGTTTATATAGATCAGACATGTATCCAAGTCTGAGTCTCCTACCCTCTGTCACACACATACACATACAAACACACACATGATCACTGTTCACAAGGGATTAGAATCCATAATTTATTTCCAGTTCGAGATTTCACATCTCTCTGATAATTATCTCTCTGATAATGTTAATAGAGAGACTTCAAATGTACTTCTCCCATAAAGAATCAACAAATCTGAAACACAAATCTACTGCCATCACACTAAGTTTGTTCTGAGCTTACAGGTATTGTGCAGCTGTCAGAATCTCGAGACGTAAATCCAACGTTGCCTAAGTGAAGAATGCCAGCAAGTATTCGGAAAATTCCCATCTGATAAGATTCACTAATTCCTGAAACAATATAGTAAATTAACAAGTGATTAATTTTAAAACAGGAACTAAAAAACCATAGCAGACAATTTTAAGCCTATTTTTAACTCTTAAATATTGCCAGACATGCACATTATAACGTGTCATAGTTAACAATACTGCCATCATGGTTCAGAGGATGAGATGCGAAGTGAGACACATATGGGCTCAAGGCCTGGCTCTGCCCGACCTGCCACCTCACATGGGCAGGTGACTTCACCCTGCTATGCGTCTGTTTTCTCATTTGAGATATGGGAGTAATTGTGACGATCTCAAAGGGTGTATATGAACATTAAATGAGAAAATTCATGTAGTATATTTACACACTATGTGACATGGTAAGTAGTAAACAAATTATCATCATCATTGTCACATACTAGATTTAAGTATTTTATTAACATTATTACCTTTTATATTTATCTCTACTCCAATGCAAGTTGTAGTTCAAGAAGGCTGTTTTAAGCCAGATTATTTAATTATTTCATTTAACTACAGACCAAGTATAAATCAAAGAGACCCCTAGATTAGAAGTGTTCAGGCTGGTGTACTCCACCCTGACAAGTGAGCCTCAAAAAGCAGGATTTGAGCAGGACCTGAAGATAAGGGAAGATAAGGAAGCTGAACAGCTCTTGGCTTTTGATCAGATCTGGCCTCATTTTTCAATATGGTAAGAATTTCCAGAATTTTAGATACATGTATATGCAAGTAAAAATAGTAAAATTATTTCCAAATATGTAATCATATCCAGGGTAACTGAGTGTTGATATTACAATGAGTATTTTTGCCATCTCTTGCATTATGGCTTTTTCAAATTTCTAATTTTCTATTTACAAACAGATTTATGCCTAGAAGTCATGTTTTTCAAAATTTAATATGCATATGAATCAACAGTGGATCTTGTTAAAATACTGATTCAATAGGTCTGAAGTAGGGTCTGAGATTCTGAGATTTTACAAACACTACAGTGGTCCCAGGCCATACTCTGATTAACAATGCTTAAAAATAAATTCACTTCAGGGTACCCCTCACATTACCAACATATGATTGTAGATTTATTCATAATCTGAGGTTTTTCAATAACCACTGAAGTCATACACTACAATTCTAAAGATTAATTTATTTATATGTAGACCCAATATTTTTTAAATATCAGAAACAAGGCAGTGACATCTGAACCATTTCAAAAAAAGAATAAACTACATGTACTATACATTGTTTTTGTCACTCAGACAGCTGAGCCACATTTCCCAGTCTCACACACACACACACAAAACCCTGCAAAGTGTGAGTCTGTACAGGAACCCATTTTATTTATCTCTAGGTTTTAGATTTTGTAAAAAGTTAAGCAGAGTTAGTCCCAGTTCCCTTGAGGCCCTGAATGTGTGTTTAAATAGTTTTAAGGGATTATTTGCATACCTTAAAATTTACCTGTTTTAAGTATGCAATTCAATGATTCTTAGTAAATTTTCAAAGTTGTGCAACCATCACCACAATCTAATTTTAGAACAGTTCCCATCACCCCAAAAAGACACCTTGCGCCAATTTGCTGTTGGATATATTTTATAAGGAAAGTTAAATCTCTCAACAATACTCACCATTTAATATGAAGCTAAGTCAATATCCAAAGCAAAAGTTGCTTGAATCAAAAAGTTATTGCTAATAAGAGCTCAAGAATAAAATCACATTACCCAGCAAAGTGCAAGCCTGCCTCGTATGTGCCATCTCCTTGGCATCATCGACTCCTTCGATCACAGGACTGCCCCCTTGCTTTGTGTAATGAAAGTCATTTGCATTTCCTGCAAATAAGAAGGAAGATAAAAGATGTGCAGTCTATGAAAACGACTTCTATTGTCTACTCTGAATCAGGAGCAATGATAGCATGGTTCATTGCAGAGTCAGGAGTTCTACTGCCTGGTTTTCAGTTATATTTTAATACAAAATTCAGAATTAAGTAATAAAGTGAAGTGTTTGTAGTTTGTTTATCCTAACTGGAGAAATGAATAGTCCTTTCCTAAACCGGTTTTATTCCAATCAGCATGCTTCGAACACTTTACTCTCCTCATCAGAATCCTCGCAGGCCTCCATGACATAAACTCCTTTAATATTTTTTTCTTTTAATCAAGGCAAATTTCGAACATATATGAAAATAAAAGACTAGTATAATGAGAACCTATGTCCTCATCATTTATCTTGAACAAGTATCAACTCAAGACCAATCTTTTTTTTCAAGAAGGTAGCTTCATTTATTTTATTTTTTTTATTTTTTAAAATATATTTTTATTGATTATGCTATTACAGTTGTCCCAAGTTTTCCCTCTTTTATCCCCTCCACCCAATACCCCAACTCCCTCCAGCAATCCCCAGACCCCTTAGTTCATGTCCATGGGTCGTGCGTGTAAGTTCTTTGGCTTCTCCATTTCCTATAATGTTCTTAAAATCCCCCTGTCTATTCTGTACCTATCAATTTGCACTTTTTAACTCCTGTACCTTTTCCCCCATTCTCCCCCTTCACCCTAACTGTTATTACTCCAAATGATCTCCATATCTATGATTTTGTTTCTGTTCTGCTTGTTTGCTTAGTTTGTTTTCTAGATTCAGTTGTTGATAGTTGTAAATTTATTGCCACTTTAATGTTCTTAGTTTTGATAGTCTTCTTTTTCTTAGATGAGTCCTTTTAACATTTCATGTAAGAATGGCTTGGTGATGATGAACTCCTTTAGTTTTACTTTATCTGGGAAACGCTTTATCTGCCCATCAATTCTAAATGATAGTTTTGCTGGATAGAGTAATCTAGGTTGTAGGTCCTTGTTTTTCATCACTTTGAATACTTCTTGCCAGACCCTTCTTGCCTGCAAAGTTTCTTTTGAGAAATCAGCTGACAGTCTTATGGGAACTCCTTTGTAGGTAACTATCTGCTTGTCTCTTGGTGCTTTTAAGATTCTTTATTTTTAACTATTGGTATCTTAATTATGATGTGTCTTGGTGTGGTCCTCTTTTGGTCCATCTTCTTTGGGACCCTCTGTGCTTCCTGTACTTGTATATTTATTTCCTTCACCAAATTAGGTAAGTTTCCTTTCATTATTTTTTCAAATAAGTTTTCAATTTCTTGTTCTTCCTCTTTTTCTTCTGGTACCCCTATGATTTGGATGTTGGTACATTTGAAGATGTCCCAGAGGCTCCTTAGCCTCTCTTTGTTTTTTTTAATTCTTTTTTTCTTCCTGCTGTTCTGATTGAATGCTTTTTTTCTTCCTTATGTTCCAAATCATTGATTTGATTCTTGGCTTCATCCTCTCCACTGCTGGTTCCTTGTAGATTTTTCTTTACTTCACTTAATGTAACCCTCATTTCTACCTGGGTCTTTTTTATGCTGTTGAAGTACCCCATGAGTTCCTTGACCATCCTAATTAATGTTTTGAACTCTGCATCTGATAGGTTGCTTATCTTCATTTTGTTTAGTTAGTTTTCTGGAATTTTGTTCTGTTCTTTCATTTGGGCCATATTTCTTTGTCTCCTCATTTTGGCAGCCTCCCTTTGTTTCTGTGTCTTAGAGCTGCTTTAACTCGCTGCCTTAGTAGCATGGCCAATTGTAGAAAAGCACACCTGTAAGTTGTGTCGGGTGGAGACTTAGGTAATCACAAGGGCAGGGCAATCCATGTTACCACTCTGTGGCTCTGTGTGGGGAAGGGTTTGGAAAGGACACTGTGCCACTGCCTGGCCTCTGGAGTTCTATCTAGGAGGAAGCTACCCCTGGCACTTGCCCTGATGACAGTCACATCAATTTCTCCCTTTATTCCACTGGTACCCTTCTAGCTGTTGCCCTGGTACTGAATCCCAGAGGGAGTGAAAGTGCTAAGTCTGTCACAGTCCCTTTAAGAGAGTCTACTAAGAATCTCAGTTTTTTCTGCTGCCCCAACCCCCACTGGTTTTTACAGCCAGAAGTTATGAGGACTTATATTCCTGGTGCTGGAACCCTGGGCTGAGTGTTCTGGTCTGGGATCCCTTGCTCTCGATGTATCCTTCCTGATTTTTATCCCTCACACATGGATGTGGGACCACCCGTCCTGAGTCTCCACTCCTCTCCATGCCACTCTGGCATGCCTCTCCACACCTCTGCACCTCTGCTTCTCCTATCCATCTGGATGAATGTGGCTTCTTTTTATTTAATATATAATGTTACTTTTTTCCCCAAGATTTTATTTATTTATTTTTTTCGAGAGGAAAAGGGAGGGAGAAAGAAAGGGAGAGAAACATCAGTATGTGGTTGCATTTGCATTTCGCACACCCCCTGTTAGGGACCTGGCCTGTAACCCAGGCATGTGCCCTACACTGGGAATTGAACCAGTGAGCCTTTGGTTTGCAGGCCGGTGCTTAATCCGTTGAGCCACATCACCTAGGGCTGAATGTGGATTTCTTTAAATCCTTGGTTGTTGGACTTCCATATAGCTCAATTTCCTGACTATTCTGGGTGGTATTTGTTTTATAGTCTAGTTGTAATTTTTTGTAATTGTTTGAGACTGTGAGGCATGTTTATCTATACCTCCGTCTTGACCAAAGTCTCAAGACCAATACTGTCTCATTTAGACAGCTACTTCTCCTTTCCTATCCCTTGAAGCCAACTGCAGACCTCTTATGTCACCCATAAATATTTCAGTATGAGATATTTCCTTTTTAACAAGTAAGCTTATAAACTCATAATTATCATAAATTAACAGAAAGCAATACTGTAGTACAATAAACCTAATGCCATATTCATACCTAATCGCAGCATCTTAAATTCAGGTAACTTCGCTGAGGCACAAAGCTGATAAAAGATATGATAGTTTCTTTCCTCTTCTGCCTTTAAAATAAATAAAAAGAGGTTTCAATTATCACATTTTAATCTAAAACTCAGCAAATTCAATTACAAAATAAAATTTTAATACTTAATTATCTCAGTGCAGTAAGTTGTCCTTTCCCAAATTTCCTAATGCGTAGTTATGATTACTAAATCTTATGATTTATTAGCCATGTGCAGATGGGTGAGTATGCATCTGTTGGTCACACTCAGCATAAAATGTTTGATAGTAATGTTTTCTGAACTCCTGAACATCTCGATATATGGCATTGGTATAAGAGACCACTGTCTTTTAAGGAAGCTAAAACCATTTTTTTTGAATAATCAATATTTTCTCACAGTGCCTCTCAGATTCACAGTCTTCTTAATACCTTGAATGAAAAAGAATATCTTATTTTTGCCATAGTTTAGACTGGGCCATCTACTGTGGTTGTTTTACAGTTGTAATTATAATATTTTTCATGCAAAATTGAATCTTTATACCCTAATATCATATCCTTGAATTCTTCAGTGTATTCAGCTGACTAAAGAACAGTGCAAGTAAGACCAAGGTCAGGTTTAATGCCCACAGGGGGCTGATGTCTTGTAAAGAAAACCCATTACAGGACAGAAGACACAGAACAAATTAACAACATACCAAATGATCATAAGCATGATTAGGCAAAAGATCAGGTAATTTGGCTCAAAAACAACTAGAAAAGCAGGTGGACCTACAGAAATGCTTTGGTCGTTTATACAGGAAGAACAATATCAATTATGCTGTGGCTGACTCATTTTGATATACCAAATTTCCTCAATATTATTTAGCACTGGGGATTGGGAACAACTAGAATTCCTTCAATATCTCTAGATAAGATAGGATTAGGCCTTAATGGTTTGTCTTAAACACTACTAGCCTCTGGTCACCATACCCACTTAAAATTTAACTGTTTACCTACCAATCAAATCTGTACTATTTAAATTCCATCTTTTCTTAGATCTACATATTTCCTCTATTTTTTCTTTTGGCTACTAAACATTTAAAAAAATAAAATCTATACAAATATATATGTGTATGTATTAACATTGCTCTGTGTGCACCTACATATTAAAACAATGGAGGAGAGTGACTATTGCTTTACTACATAAAAATCAGGTATTATACCTTAGGTGGCCACAAATCAGGCACATCCCCAAGGTCAAAGCCAGGGTACCTGCAGGCTGCTGAAACTCATGATTCTGAGTATGTCCCAGACACTTTCAAAAGCATAACAGACTTGTGCAATGGAAACTGTAGCTGCTGCTGAAACCCATGACTTTCAGTATGTCCCAGACACTTTCATAACCATAACAGACTTGTGCAATGGAAACTGTAGATGCTGCTAAATGGCAGTGCCAGGGGAATCTGAACTTCAGTGCAGTGGGCATCCAGTTAAGAGGCTACAGGAATCCTGATCTCACAGCATGCAATGGGCCAGAGCCCTACACTGGGAGTTTTCCAATGAAAGGAACACATTTCCTTAGTATGCCTATAAATATATAAATGTATGCCTGCCAATGTTGTAAATCTGTAATATTTCCCACTTAAGAGATAAAAAAGGACCAAGAGTAGATATGTGAATGATATCCTACACGGACATACAGACTTGAATGTGTTCTTTGACAGTTTTACAACTGAGTTGTGAAGATTTGTTAACCACCATTATTCTAGCTAAATAATATATTCTAAGAGAGGAGAAGAAAGAAGGAATGAGATCAAGGATAATTTCTTTTTCCTTGAACTGAGTTCAAGCTATCACTCATTGAAGGCATAAACCAATGTCTCTCCCATCAACTGAGATATACAAGCATCTGCAGGAAAAAGTAAAAACTATTAAACCTAAACCAGTGCCCAGCCCCAAAGACCATTAGTCTAATAGATATTCCTCCACCTCTTACAGGCATCATTTCCCACATTTCAGTTCAAGTGTGGTTTGTAGTAATATTGTCATAATATACTCAAGCGTATCTAGAAATAAAATGCAAACCAGCAAGCATGAACTCTGGAATTACACGGCAAGCTAACACATGTATATATGTTTGCATGCCCAGCTTACCTGGAACACCACTCGGGATTTCTCTAAAAGGTAAGTTCTCATATTGGCACCAATGATTCGATATCTCTTATCAAAACCAATCTCAATATACTTCCCAAAACGGCTGCTATTATCATTCCTGGTTGTCTTGGCATTTCCAATTGACTAAGAAACAAGGGAAATAATATGAATTTAGAAGTGTAATTCATGACAGGGCATTTACAGAGTTGGTTCAGGGAAAGGACAGAGTAGAACCCAACCTCTTATAACTAATTATTTCATGACCAGAACCAACGTTCCCTCTGCAGGCAGTAGTATATGTTTTGCTCACTGCACAACCACACAGATATCTACTAATTGTTAGTATCCGCCTTGTTATCATCACACAAATTATTTTCATAATCAGTAAACATGAACCAGCAGCTGGGAGGTCTTCATACACCACTTGTGGTATCTGAAACAATGGATGGCTCTGGGTGCTCCCAAGGCACAAATCCTCTAGTTAAACATCAGGGTTTTGATTTCTTGAAAAACTTAGTCTATTTTATGTAAATAAGCTGGATAAACCAAATTAATATTCTACTGAAAATGTTGCTCTAGTGTCCAGGATTCTTTAACCAGAAGTTTCTGTCATCTCATCCGGTGACAACAAAGGTCCGGATGGACTGCTTATTTGAGAATTAGTAATTACTTACTCAATTCAAAGCCATTTTCAGAAACCAGAGAAAGTAGTTTGGCTTTGAATTTTGATAGCTTTATCTAACTTGCAAAACATCAGCTGTAGAATGCAGAGAATGCAACTTCTTTCTAAATTTTTAATATAACCTTTAAATTAAAATGACACACATACTGCTTTCTATTTAGGTAATATCCTTCTATACATTTTTCTCTCAAGGCAATGCAAAAAACATGGTATAGTTAGAAAAGCAGTGTTCATATAATGCATATATTAAGTATTTAATATGATGTTTTCATAAGATTAATATCTTTCATTTGTGCAAAGCCTGGGACTATCAAGATTGGTACGTTGGAACCACAGCAGTGAGAAAGATGTGAAAGTGCTCTGGGGTGTTAAAAAAAGCAATACAAAAACAAGTGGTGAAAATAATAACACAGCCACAAAAGTCAACATATTAAATTCTCTGATCCATCAAAAAAAAAAAGTTATTTTCACTCTCTGAAATACAGGGTGGGTATTGCTCTACTGTTTTGGCAATGAGAATACTGCCATATTTCAGATTAACATTTTTAATGGAAAGAATGACTGAAAGGTACCTTCCCAGCAAAACAACAGAATAATCTAATATAGCTTAACAATTTAACAATAAAGATATTTACTCAGATATTCCCCTTCTTGGTATTACAAAAACCACAGCAAAAAGCCCCCATGTAGTCCCATTATTTTTATTTTATTTAGAAAAAGAAGTTAATGATAAATGCAGAATTTTCTTTCAACACCATAGGCTCTGTCAAGGAGCAAATGAAGGGTTACATGGAGCAGCACTGGCAGCAGCAGTAATAGTTCCTGAGTGCTCACCAGGCCCTGTCTGAAGTACTGTTGGGAAAAGATGAGCCACAGCTTCTCCTCCTTCCCTGACTTATCCCACCTTCCATATGGTATCTCTCTCCCCTCTACTCAGAGTGGGAGTTAAAGTGGCCAACCTGCCCAAATAATACTATACTCAGTGAGAAGAGGCAGTGAGTAGGCAAGGGTTGAATCATACCACTTTGTCTTTGAGTAAAGGGTATTTTATACATAGAGCAAAGAATGGCAGAAGTAGCAAATGAAATAGAAGTCTAAAGATCTGGGTATCAGAGCAGGTCCCACTACCAATTTCCATCATTTAATCTTTTGTGGAGCTTTAGTGTTCCCAAGTATAATTAGACTAGGATAGATGACTTCTAAAGTTTTTTACAAAAATAAAATTATGATTATAAGCCTTGAACCTGATATCAAAAGAAGGTTCTATATATAAACAGTACCTTTTGTCCATCCTCCCTAATTGTTCCCTCTGCCTTATAAGTACTATATTTATAACAGCCTCACTTCAATGCTATTTTCTTTCAATAAGGAAAAAATTGCTAAAGAAGATTTATGGTCTTGATTTTACTATCGGTTTTAGTAAACTATTAAGTGATTTACTCTTTATTAAATGGAGATAAAGAGCTTCAACTACAGTTACTGAAGATGAAAAAGAACAATTAAGAAAGACCCAATGTGCTCCAAGAATATCCCTGTCCCTATCTTGGGACACAATTTTCCAGGAGAAAGGGAGAAAAAGAAAATGTGATTAAATAGAGCAAAAAGAATCACTTCTGCCCTGACTGGTGTGGCTCAGTGGATTGCGCGCCGGCCTGCGAACCAAAGGGTCACTAGTTCGATTCTCAGTCGGGGCACAAGCCTGGCTTGCAGGCCAGATCCCCAGTAGGGGGTGCTCAAGAGGCAACCACATACTGATGTTTCCTTCTCTTTCTCTCTCCCTTTCCCTCTTTCTAGAACAAAAAAATAAAACCTTAAAAAAAAAAGTATATGGGCTTGGGTACTAGATAGGCTTGGGTATGAGTCCCAGGCCTGAAAAGAAAAAGAATCACTTCTTTGTACATCGTTTACATTTCGCAAAAGGACACATGCTGAGGATGAGAAGCTTGCTTTTTAAAGGATAATGTGCAAATCCCACTAGCCACTGGGCTGTGATGTTAACCATGAAGAATGCTTATTACCCAACAAGGAGTTTCAGCAGATCGCTGAAGACCAAGACTTGCCTTTCTTGACATCACAGTAAAGAGCTCTGATACAGAGACATAATCTGGAGGCAGGTTTAAGTTACAAATTTCCTGGGCCACATTCACCTATTTCAGTAATTCGTCTGTTTTCTTTTTCTTATAACTGCAAACTCTGTCACCATTTTTCAGCCCCATATTCCATTTTAATCTTTCAAATTGGGAAGACTTCACTTGTAATTGTTGAAATTAGTTTTGTCTTTACCAAATTTTCTTACTCTAAATACTTGTAGAGAAACTAAACAATATTATAGAAGGAAGTAGCTAAGTATAACTGATGCCTTTGGTTTTTTGTTTTTGTTTTTTTTTTTTTTTTTGTTCATACTGGCAAACAGGGTAAATTCCTTGTAACAGCATATTAAAAAGTAGTATCTGTGGCCCTTCCAAATTTTAAATATCACTCCTACTAATATAATATAGCAAAGTAATAAAATACTTCATTCAACTTGACATATTCTAGGAGTTAAATTCCAGACTTACATTATTATATGATCCAGTTCTAGAAAAGATGAGATTCCCTGATGCCATCACAATGAAGACTGGCATACTCTAACATCAGGGACTAAGAATGGCCTAAACTATTGCCAAATATCAAGAATTCATTGTCATGACCAAAAACAGTCAAAACAATGGAAGGAAGCAAAGCCCTGTTGTTTCCTGAGCCAAATCCCAAAACTGGCTCTACCAACTGAATTTCCACAATATTAATATTAGTGGCATCCACTAATGTAGCTTAAATTCTTCAAAATTGTAACAGTTGCTTAAAATCTTTATGGCTGTCATTTGGCACAAACATCTGTTTCCTCCTGCCCATGCTATTTCAGAAAAAACTTTTCCAGTTCTCTTTCCACAGTGCACCCAGCCCAGGAGGCCTCTTAACTTCCGCAGGGTATCTTGTCTTCTCAACCGACCGCAAGAATAAAAGTCCTGCTGCTCTAGGAGGCAGGCCTTTAGGCAAGGGGCCACAGCACTCTGTTCTGAGATGTCACACAGCACTGCAAACCAGGCACAATTACCTCTGGGCTGATTACTGCAAAAACCACTTGTACCATAGGTGCACCAGGACAGTTCTAAACTCCATCTGTGTTTGGGGAACAAATAAGGCTTGACAAAGGAAAGAACAGGAATAAAAAATGCTGATTTGAAATTTCAACAAGGTTTGTTTCTGCAAACTAATTTCTCTCCATTTAATAAGACTTACTTTTCTCCATCTAATGAAACTACTTACAAAAACGTACCTTTCCTAAATTATACAAGGCAAATAATTCTCTAGTTACAAATCCTAAAATACTGTAATTCTCACAGATATAGGTCCATTTTCTTTGGCATAAGAATTTCTACTCTATATACATATTCTACTTTTAAAAGGACCTTCTTTCATAGTTCTTCCTTTCAAGAATTTAGTTACTGGATTTCTTTTTCTAACCTAAAATTGTGCGATATGCTTGACAGGAACAAGAAGAAAAATGTTAAGATCACGATTTAAGCTTAGTTCATATGGAAAAATTAAAATTTTATAGCTAAACAGGTTGGATTAAGTACAGAAAATGTAATGTGGGCAAAGGAACAATGAAACTCATTTTTGCTTGACCATCGTGTATCCTATATTTTGAAAGGAGCTTAAATAAGAACCCAGGATTGAGGAGAAGTTAGTAACTTACACTTCTAGCAAGGAGCAATAGATATAAGTCAATTAACTAGCAGAGAGAAACTCCAGGAAATGAAGTATCATTGCCAGCTATTTAGAGGCAACAATTCAAGACTAGGTTAAAACTGCAGGATTATGAAATAGATTCCTCTGTCGCTGAACTTTTCCTAGATCTCTTCCTGACATGGGAAGTATTTTCCAACTTTTAGTGGATGAGAAATCCCAGACTTTCTGACATGTGCTGTATCAAGCAATTTTTTTTACCCGTCTCTTAACAAAAGAATATAGTAAGAAGGCAAGGCTGCTGCTGTCTTACCTCCATGATGGGGTTGGAGGCCAAGACCTTTTCTTCAACATTGGCTTCACTGGCAGAACCACTTACAGTTGCAAAATATCGCATGGCGTACTTAGCTGAGACTGTTTTTCCTGCCCCAGACTCCCCACTTACAATGATGGACTGATTTCGTTCATCTCTGTAAAACAAAGAAAAGTAACTGACAGTGCTGCCCACTTTTGAATGTAATGAACATTATTTCCTCTGTGCTCCCATCAATAAGCCATGGTGAGTTTCTGCTGCTTCATATATGCAACAATGTGGGAAGGAACTTAAGAATGGTATTTCCTAATAAGTATAACTTCTTTCAAACTAACAATAAACAGGTAGAAGAAGGTATCAAGCATTAAATTAGAAAGCATCACATCTAAGGATAAATCTGCAATCAAGTGTCTCTGAATTTTTGTGTATAAATATCTTAAGACATATTATTTTTATCCCAAGAAAATCACTTTGATATATTTCAGTACTGTTGTCAACCACCTCAGAGGAGAAAGAAGCCATAGCAAGGAAATCTAGAAAAAATCCTATTTAATTAAAATTACAGCTGTGGCTGGTGTGGCTCAGTGGACTGCGTGTCATCCTGTGAACTGAAAGGTTGCCAGTTCAATTCCCAGTCAGGGCATGTGCTTGGGTTGTAGGCCAGGTCCCCAGTTGGGAGCATGCGTGCAAGAGGCAGCCAGTCGATGTTTCTCTCCTTCTCTTTCTCCCTCCCTTCCCCCCTCTCTGAAAATAAATAAATAAAATCTTTTTAAAAAATTACAAATTTTCTACTAGCTAATAGATCATAAAGTAGTGTCTCCCCAAAGCTCCAGCTTTTACTAAAATACCCTCATTACCAGAGAAAAAATGCTTCATTCATGGTTCATTTGTTCATATATGTCAGAATTCAGAGACTATCACTGTTTCACCTTCATTCACATAATGAGTCACTCTAAGTGAACTTGCTCATAAGACTATCATTTCCTTTAGGATAAGGACTTACGTCATCTTTATCTTTAATATCCAGCACCTAGTCTAGAGCCTGACACATTACAATGTTCAATAAATTTATATCGACTATAAGTAAACTGAACATCAGTGAACAACCGAGCCTAAGAATCAATCTCTCTCCTTTGGCTATGACTTCTACTAGGACATAAACAGAAAACTCCAACTTCCTGAGACAAAAGCAGCAGTCAGCTTTAATTTATCAAAATAAATGAGCAAGTATGTAAAGGTGGTATTTTTTGTGCCCTTAATTTATAAAGAGAGAGGATGACTTCAAAGGTTTTTAGTGGAACTATCCTATAAGGATACAAGATGGGGGAGGTTATTCCATTATAGGAGATGATCTTTTTATCTTTTAAAAGAGATTTATTTATCCAACAAATATTTATAAAACATCTACTAATTGACAAACATTATGCTAAACACTAGAGATATAAGTAACATAAACCATGATCTGCATCCTCAAGTGGCTGATGATCTCACAGGAAAGGCAGACTACATTTCAAGATTATAATATATGTGATGGAGCATTGAGAGAAGGAAGAAGTGATCAGGGAAGATTTATTGGAGATGATACCTGAGCAAGGTCTAGAAAGGAGGAGTAGGAGAAAATGTAAATGAAACCCCAGATACATGGGAAGTTAGAAGAAGGCAGATAATTCACTCTGGTTGGAACATGAATTAAACACAGATGAAGGGCACAGAAATTAGCAAGAACTGGATCATAAAGGCTTCACATGAGATGTTAAAATTCTTGAAGTTTACCTAAAGGTAGATCATGGAGTGCCATTTCAGGATTTTTAAACAGAAAATAACACAACTCTATTAGTAAGGTCACTCTGGCAGCAATGTGGCATATGGGCGGCAAAGGGTCCAGAAGAAAAATTATGGAAGTCTGAACAAGGCTGTTGTGGTCATTATTGAGAGAGGCAGATGGTTTAAGAGATACAAAAGTGGTAGGAATCAACAGTACTTGGTAATAAATTTCCAAAGTAGAAATATAGAACTTTTCTAAGGAAAAGGTTCTTTTTCTTTTTGAGAAAATGAGGGCCACTGCCTTATTTTACAGACCTGGTAAAGTATAGTAGAAGTACAGTGCAGGCCTAATCAACACATTCACATGGCACTACCAGGGTCATGTCGCAATCTGTACCTGATGCTCTGACTCCCATATCATGGGGAAAATCAGTAGGATCTTGGTGACACACTAAGTGACATCTAATTATTATAGAACAAGCTTGCATGTAATCCTGTTTTTATGAAACTACCTTGTTCGTCAAACTCACTATCTCATTTCCTTTTTATTTGAATTTCTAACTGTGCTGGATAGCCCCATTGCCTCTGTTCATCCATGGCTGACTTCAAGATAAATCACTCTAGTAAAACAGCTCTCCTTGTGGTACCAGTGTCCTTTCTTTTAGTCATTTACAATGTCTTCAGAATTTATATTTTTCAATACATTAATCAAGAAACAGTATCAGCAGTCTTCAGATTACCTTCTACAATAGGATTAGAAAAATTCTCTTCCTAATTCTTGCAAGATCAGTTAGTATGTCATCACCCCCTGTGTGACAGATAGCTAACAACGAGATTCTCCCAGCATCCCTAATGGCAAACAAGCCGAGAAGGCTACCGCTAGTCTGATGAAAAGGAAGTGTTAATAGAAACTGCTATCCCAAACTGCACTGCCTTTGAAAAGTTATTTATTTCAAGTCTTAAAAAACCTAAAAATTCGTATGTAAGAGCCTTTTTGTATAACATGGGGAAGAAGAAAAATATTAAAAGCAACAAAATCAAGGATTGTTCAAACAAATCAGGGATTTGTACAAATACACATATATGTGTTCTGATTCAAGCACATGCCAGATATATTCTCTTTTCTACAGTGTACAATCCTGTGGTCACAATACCAACAGTTTTTAAATGTTTTTAAGTGACTTTATTATTTCTTTATTATTCCTGACTTTTTGGCAGAGAGAATTCTTTTTTTTCCTCAAGCCTAAGAGAGTATTTCAATATATAAATAAGTACTACTCTTCCATTATATAAACTTCTTAAATTCAGATTCCAGTCCTAGCTTTGTCACTTACCAGCTTCATGGCTTTGAGCAATTGTATGACCTCTCTAGGCCACAGTTTTCTCATCTTTAAGATTAAATGGCATCTAAGGTCCCCCTCAAAAGCTAAAGTACTATGATCTAATAGTCAAACTATGCAATTGGTTTTTTAGATGTTGGGTTGGCCATGGGCTGCACTCTAAACCTGGGTAAACTCTTGGAACGACTGGAACAGACAAGCCTAAGGATACAGACAGTTTCAAATGGCCATATAGGAGATGGACAACATTTCTTCTCTGGAGAACTCCTGAATAGACGTGGCCAAAATCAATAAGAGCCACAAAGAGAAAAATTGAAAGTAGCCCATTGACTTGCTTTTAAATTAAGAACAGGAATCAGAAATCTTAATAAAGTACAATAAGGTCTTTAAACTTTCAGTTCTCTGTGGCCATAGGAAGAAATGAGGAAACTAAGTAATGCCGACCTCAGAACTGACTCATGCAAAACACAATTTAATATATCCACCCATGGTGATATGTACTCTCTGATAACCACACACTGGGCGTTGCCATCTACCCTGGTAATTACACAAGCACCTCAGTCTAATATTTAGCTTATAAACAAACATTTTTTGGTGAAACAAACCCTAGAGTTTTACTTTTTTGCAGGCAATATAAAAATTTCTCCCTTTATTTGATCCCTTGTTAAAAAAAAAGAGAGAGAGAGAGAACATTAAGTTGGTGCAATATAATGATTTCTTCCAAAGCTGTGTTTTTACTGTGGTGACTTACAGATGTGGCCTCATTTGATACTCCCTTACTAGAGAGATGCTAAGTTTTCCTCTGTTATTATCACTTCTCAAAATCAAGCCACTCTGCTCTCTCTCTGATTTCTGCTTTTGATTAATCCCAAAAAGAAAAGATTTAAACTTTAAAATAGACAGTAAGTTTGCAATGTCAATACTAAGTATTATTTTTGAAGTGTAAATATTTACTATAAAAGAGCGTGCAGGCACTGGCGAAAGCTGTGCTTTAAAGAGGCAGAGAGAAGGACTGTGCAGGAAATGAAAATAACCGTTTCCTAGAAATACATGCTGAGGTCATTTAATTGCTGGTAAGAAGACTGTTACATGGCTATTCGATCCTCTCCTATCAATCTTTTTTGTTCCATCAGTATAGAACATCTGAGATTAATATAACGATCATAACAGAAGTAGCTAGTTATATTTGATTCTAACTCTTACAGACTCTTATACTTACTGTATTTTATTCCTACTGCAACCCTATCAGGAAGACAGTACTCAGCAAGTCCCGAATTCATAATAATAAAGAATTCTGAAGAGGCATCGCTTACTGGGAACTGAGGTGGTCTAAAAGTAAAATTTGAGTAAAATCATGAGGAACAATAGAAATCAGGCAAATGGAAGAGCACAAAAAGGATATTCTAGGCTGGATAAAAGGTGCAGAAATAGATGTATGTAACATTAATTTGAGGGGATGGGTGTGTTAGAGTAGAACCACCTCGTTGAAAGTAGGAAAACTGAATGCAAAAGAAGAAAGGCTTTAGAGTCTCAGAGCTGGATTCAAATCTCAGTTCCCAGATACTATTTGTTAGTATGATAGCCAAAACAAGTTACTTTCCTTATCTATCTGCTCCCCGGGCTGTCATGAAGATTAGAGGTGACATGTTGACATCATGCTTGGTATGTGACAGGCCATCTAAACATGGTAGCAATTAATTAATGTAAGTTAATCCACCTTTACACACCATACATAAAACTCTCCTTATCAAGTAGCACGTACTACTTCAAGCCTTCAAGCCTGCCTGCATAAACAGGACATTTGGTATCACATGGCAGCTGAGCCATAGGTAGTTAGGAGTATACAATTTTCCAATCTTTTTATAAGTCTGAAACTTTTTTTTTTTTTAACTTTAGAAAGAAGAAAAGGCAGCTTAACAATGAGGTTTTCCCTGAGCCTGGTGCATACACCCTCTGGCCCACCCAGTATTCTCTACCTCCTTTTCAGACTATTTTTCACAATATCACTTATTAACATGTGACGGCCTATCTATCTTTATTTTTATTGTTTATCATGCCAGAAGTTTTTGTCTGTTTTGTCTCATTTGTTTACTGCTGTGTCCTCCAGGTTCCCAAAAGGGCTTGAATGGTGCTCGATAAAGATCTATTGAACAAGCAATGAAGTACCTTCCCTGAAGATGCAAGGGGCCTCTAGGAGCACCCGTAATGTGAAGCACCAGAAATTACATCTAGTAAAGATGGTAGTATTCATTTGGTAAGGAAAAAAAAAAAAGATCCTGCGACATCAATTCCAGACTATAGGTCTAAGCAGACATGGCTTATTTAGCTGTTGAGACACATTTTATGGGTGTAGATTTAGTCACATAAAAGGTAAAGAAAACATCATAACGAGTTGAATTATATTGTAAAACTACATAAAAAAACAAAACTGAGCAAAGAGAAAACCAACCAACAAACCTACAGTTAGTGAATCGCACTGAGTGGCAGAACCACAGGGGATGAATAAGGTGGCAAATGTTAGAAAGCCAAAGGAAATCTACGGGTAGGGAGCAAGAAATATTCATAGAAATCTAATACTATGTGAGGATTGCCAGTAACAAAGATGGTAAGAGCCAAGCATTCATACTTAAGAAGAGCATTTTCGAAGAAGTCGTAGAGTTCTCCATGAACAGTATAAAATTTTTCAGAGATTATTTTTAGGCTCTAGCCCTCCATGCAATTCCCTCTCTTCCTAGTAGTTCTCAGGCTGTACTGACATGGTGCTAATTCTACACTGTAATGCTCCGGTACTATACAAATACAGATTGGCGGGCTTTTCTAACTTTAGGGGAAAAAACATACTAATAGATAGAATTTTTTCAATTTTAAGCTTAAAAAAAACCCAAAGTCTCTTAGACTTTTGACAGTCATTACTACTGTATAGTAAAATCTGGTATAATATGGCATTTATGTAGTATAAAACTCTGGTTAGTCATTTTATTATTTAGTATGTTGTATTTCATAGTATCAGACTAATGGAATTTGAAAACTAGTTTTCCTAGTTATGTGGCCTTGGGAAAGTTACATAATTTCTCAGTAAAATGAAACTTAACAGTAATACCACCTCAAAGTTCTGTGAGGATAAAATTAGTTAATAAATGGAAGGCAAATAAACAATGTCTTGCAAAAAGAGAGCATTTAATAATTGTTTGCCGCTCTTAGAAGTATCAAAAATATTTTATTAATAAAAGGATATAATGTTTTCTCTGGACTGCCATTGAAAAAATTCTAAAATTCTGTCATATGCTGGTCCAATTACATATGAATATACACTCTGCCTGGTTAGAAAGGAAAAAATAAAAACCTCTGCAGTATTAATTTTCTCACAACTCCATAAACTGTTTGAGGGTTTCCCATTTCATTTTTATAACATGCCAAGTTCTTACCTGTAGGCTGGAGAAATGAGTTAAATATATACTAATCTTCTATGCATCCACAGTTTTGCATTACATCGTATTATATTATTAAGAGTACAATCTATTATTAAAATTCTCTTCTCTTAAAATGTTAGGATTCCATGGTTAACATCAAAGATATTTTGCTGATGCTACTGAGGATCACTGATGCCCTAGCACACAATGTTAACATTAAAATTCACAATGCCCTTGATATTTAATCCAGCATTTAGGCCTTTTAGTTCTTGTCAGCCACTCATCTGAATGACATTGGGCAAGCCATTTAATACCACCAATTCTTGATCTACTCATCTCTAAAACATAGCATCTGGCCTTGCATAGTCACAGGATCATGATGAGATTCCAATGGCAATTTTAAAAAATCGTATGTCCTTTTACAAATGTAGGTTATTTTCATAATAATGCAGGCCATCTGAGGCACACTAGTCAAGGCTGTTTATTTAATAATAGTTTATAAGTTGCCATTCACTGTATTATAAAATACCTATGACTCAGCAAAAAAGAAATTACCACATCTAATAAGAATCATGAATAACAGAGTTTCACCAACCTGGCCATTTGCTTGTAAGCTTCTTCAGCTACTGCAAAGATATGTGGATCCATATCACCCATGTTCTGACCACTATATGCATTAATAATATCTTCTCCATAAATAGGCAGCTGTTCATAAGGATTTATAGCAACTAGGACTATACCTAGGGAAGGGGTGAAAAAGCAAAAAAAGTCAATTATATCCTAATGGACATATTAAACTTGGTTAAGTGAGAATCACAGTTACACAAATTTCTGTTTCAGTTAATAGTGAACAAACAAATTGTTAAGGATCAAAACATGCTATAGCCTTTGCCTCTGAACCCATTATATCTAGTCCTAAATACGACATCATTTATTTTTCTATTTTTTATCCTCACCCAAGGATATGTTTATTGATTTTAGAGAGACAGGAAGGGAGAGAGAAGAGAGAGAAAGGTACATTAATGTGAGAGAGAAACATCGATTAGTTGCCTTCTTGTATGTGCCCTAACCAGGATCAAACCTGAAACCTTTTGGTGTATGGGATGGTGCTCCAACCAACTGAGCCACCTGGCCAGGGCTAATACACCACTTAAAAACCGAACTAGGTTATTTAAAATAAGGACAGTTGTGGCAATGTTAAAAGAATTTTAAATGTTTTCTTAATATTTAAATAAAAAATTCCACTTCTAGAAATGTATTCAAATGAGAGAATCAAAGAGTCATGCAAGAGATTTTTTAGAGATGTTTATCATGTTATTTACAACAGTGGTAACTGCTGTAAACAGTTGTAAACAGTAGTGAAAACAAACTAAATATATAAGAGTGGTTAAATACATTTTGTTACAGCCATATGATACACTACTACCACCACCATCATATTTTTAAAGACTATTAAATGCCATAGGAAAACATGACACAAAACTGTAGAGAGACTGATTCCAATTTTATTATCTATGTATACTCCCTAACATATACACACACATAGGATGTAAGTCAGAATGATATTGGTTATTTTTCAGTGGTGAATTACATGTAATCCTTTTCCTTTTTTTATAGTTTTTATTGTACTTCCTTAAATTTTACAGTAGGTATATATTAACTTAATGAAGTCATTCATTAAACAAATATTTTTTCAGCTCCAATTCCAAGGGGAGATTCCCCCTGGAAAAAACACCCAGAATTGTCTTCTGGGGGGCGGGCCCTTTGTAGCATAGTGTTTGGTAGGTGAGTGGTCTAGGAACCCATCTGTATCAGTGTACCAGCTGGCATTGTTGTGAGAGGATGCTTTCAGCTTCTCACAACAATGAAATTTTTTTTGAAGACTCTTGCATCACGTTTGCCCATTTCACGATGGATGAATGATTTACTGAGCTGAGTGTTCAGCAGTTTTTGACCAAAACGGCATTACCCCCGTGCCCCACCCTCCTTATTCACCTGATCTTGCCCTGAATTACATTTTTTTTTTGTTTCCCACGATGAAAAGAAGCCCTCAAAAGGAAGTGTTTTGCTGATGTGGAAGAGGAGAAACAAAAAATGGCAAAAGCAATAAAGGCATCAAAATCGACGAGTTCAAAAACTGTTTTAAGCAGCGGAAAACCAATCAGCTAGGTGTATTGAATCAAATGAAAAGTACTTTGAAGGTGACTGAAGTTTAAACATGTATGAATAAATACACAATTTTCTATAAAAAAATTCGGGTTTTTGGGGGGTCCCCCATCATAGGTTTCGAGTCTAAGTGACAGGTTTACAACAGTAAATAAAAAGTAATCTTTATCCTCAGGGAGCTTATTTTCTAGTGGGAAATTCAAACAATTAGCAAGGTAAATAAGAAAAAAAAAATATCATAGGTTAGAAAGTAGTAAGGAAAAGGAGAAAATTTAAACAGAAAAGGAAGACAGATACAAAGGGAAAGACAAGGGGTTTATGATTTAGATGAGAGGGTGGGGCAGGGAAGGCTTCGCCAAGAAGGTAACATATGTGCAAAAAAAAAATTATAGAAAAATGAAAATTGAAAAGAATATTCGCCTTAATACATAGGGAAGAAAAAGTTAATATCAAGGATATAAAAAATATGAACTGTTTTTTCTATATTTTTAAAATTATATTTTATTGATTACACTGTTATAGCTATTATTGTCCCAATTTCCCCCCTTGCCCCCCTCCCCCCAGCACCCTTCGCTCCCTCAGGCACTCCTCCCACCGTTGTCCGCGTCCATGGGCCATGCGTAGGTTCTTTCACTACTCCATTTCTTATACAGTATTTTGCATCCCCATGGTTATTCTGCAACTACCTATTTGCGCTTCCTAATCCCCTGACCTCTTCACCCATTCCCCCATATTCCTTCCCATCTGGCAACCATCAAAATGCTCTTCGTATCCATATTCTCTCTGTTCTTCTTGTTTACTTAGTTTGATTTTTAGATTCAATCATTGATAGTTATGCATTTCTTGCCATTTTATTGTTCACAGTTTTTGATTTTCTTCTTTTTCTTAAATAAGTCCCTTTAACATTTCATATAATACTAATTTGGTGATGATGAACTCCTTTAGTTTTTTCTTGTCTGGGAAGCTCTTTATCGGTCCTTTGATTCTAAATGATAGCTTTGCTGGGTAGCACAATCTTGGCTGTAGGTCCCTGCTTTTCATGACTTTGAATATTTCTCACCAATCCCTTGTAGCCTGCAAAGTTTCTTTTGATAAATCAGGTGAGAGTCTTCTGAGAATGTCCCTGTAGGTAACTAACTGCTTTTCTCTTGCTGCTTTTACGATTCTCTCTTATCTTTAACCTTTAGCATTTTAATTATGATGTATCTTGGAGTGGGCCTCTTTGCATCCACCTTCTTTGGGACTCTCTGTGCTTCCTGGACTTACATGGCTATTTCCTTCACCAAATTAGAAAAGTTTTCTTTTGTTATCTTTTCAAATAGATTTCTAATTTCTTGCTCTTTCTCATCTCCTTCTGGCATCCCTATAATGTGAATGTTGGATCACTTGAAGTTGTCCCAGAAGCCACCTACACTATCCTCATTTTTTGGATTCATTTTTCTTCTTGTTGTTCTGATTGGTTGTTTTTTGCTTTCTTATATTCCAAATCATTGATTTGATTCTCGGCTTCGTCCGCTCTACTATTGTTTCCCTGAAAATTGTTCTTTAATTAGTGTATCCTTCATTTCTGACTGGAATTTTTTTATGCTGTTGAGCATCCTTATCACCAGTGTTTTGAGCTCTGCATGTGATTCATTGCTTATCTCCATTTTGCTTAGTGCTTTTTCTGGACTTTTGAGTTGTTCTTTCATTTGGACCATGTTTGTCTCCTCATTTTGGCAGCCTCCTTCTGTTTGCTTCTATGTATTAAGTAGAGCTGCTATGACTCCATCTTGCTAGTGGGCCTAATGTAGTATGTGTCCTACAGTGTCCAGTGGCACAGCCTCCCCTATCACTCAAGCTGGGTACGCAAGGTCCGGCATCCATGTGAGCTGAGTATACCCTCCTCTTGTAGTTGAGCCTTGATTACTGGTCCAGGAATCAAACCTGTCACCTTTCAGAATGGGATGATTCTCCAACCAACTAAGCCACACCAGCCAGGGCAAAGATATAAATTATTTTAAGAAGAAAAGACAGCCCTGACTGGTGTGGATCAGTAGTTGGGCATCATCCCCCAAAGTGAAAGGTCACCAGTTTGATTCCCTGTCAGGGCACATGCCTGGGTTGCAGGTTCAGTTCCCAGTTGGGATGTGTATGAGAGGCAACTGATTGATGTTTCTCTCTCACATTGATGTTTCTCTCCCTTTCTTTCTTTCTCCCTTCCTTACCCTCTGTCAAATAAATAAATAAATAAATAAATAAAATTTTTTAAAAAGAGAAGAAGAAAAGACATCTGTTCCTGTCCAAAAAAGAAGGATAATGAAGCAATGGTTAACAGTGAGTTTGGTACCCTATGCAAGTAAACTTAGAAGAAAATGAACAGAAATATTGGATCTGAGACTCAGGAAAATGATTAATGAAAGAAAGATAAGAAGTAGTACAGAATAAAAGCCAGTGATGAGAGAAAAAATAAAGGATAAGAAGAAAACATTAAAGAAGGAAAGAGGGAAAGGAACCCAAATGTATATACATGTGCATGTTTAATTTCTAACAGACAGAAAGAGAATCCTGTGCTGGGTCCCTGGCAACTAATACTGCAACAAGCAGGAGCCTAGGCAAAGCAGATCAAATAAGAATAGCTACTGTACCCTTTTGTGATAGCATGGGTGGACCTCAGGAGTGTTATGCTAAGTGAAATAAGCCAATCAGAGAAAGGCAAATACCATATGATTTCACTTATATGTGGAATTTAATGAACAAAATAAACAAAATAGAAACAGACTCATAGATACAGAAAACAGATAATTAGTTAGAGGCGAGGAGGGTCGAGGATCTGGATGAAAAAGGTGAACGAGAAAAGTGAAAGGAGGGAAGGGGAGGGGAGGAGTAGGGAGGGGAGAAAGAAAGAAAACAAAAGAAAAAGAAAACTCATAGGCACAGACAACAGTATGGTGATTACCAGAGGGAAAGGGAGTGAAGGGAGGTAGAAGATGTTACAGGGAGATTAATGGTGATGGAAGGAGACTTCACTTCGGGTGGTGAACATAAAATAAAATATACAGATGATATATTATAGAACTGTACACCTGAAACCTATATAATTTTATTAACTAATATCAACACAATAAATTAAAAAGAAAAAAAGAATAGCTACTACAAATCAAGTCAGTCCTACATTTCTAAGTCAACGAAAAAAAGACAACACTAAACTACTTGTAACAGCTCCAAAGATAAGTCTTTGGACATCTACTCTTGATGTACTAGTTTTTAAAGAGATGAAAATAACTGTTAAATTGGCATTGGATTTGGCATATGAATTCTGTGTGGGAAAAATCCAAAAAAGAGGCCCAATTCTTTTTATGTTGATGAAAATTATGTAAGTTCACAAAAGAGCTATTTGGCATAAAGTGCAGCTAGCTAATGATAACTCTGAAGTGAACCTGTTTGTAAGAGAAAATCCAATCACATACATTCTCCCTTCCCCAGACACAGTATTTCCATGTCTATGCTCAAGAGAGGAAAGGGTTCACAGTTCACTCAGACAGCAAAGTACACGTACCACAATATGTATAAATAAGTTTGGAATCAATAAACCGGACTCTGAGATTGTGAAGCACAGCAGGCTCATGAAGATAGCTGAGGGCTGTGAGGTCATTTTCACCCACAAGTATGTCAGGGTTTCTTAAGTGAGGCAGCTCCTTGGTCTTTGGATCTAGACGATATTCCAAATCCTGAAAATGCACAAGACACAGCATCTGGATAAGTCACAGCAGTAAATGAGAAATAGGGCCATGCATTTTGCTTATTTCCTAATCCCTATTTGGTTCTCAACTAGTAAATGTATTCTTTTTCTGGCACCTTCCAAAAACACAGAAACTGGTGGAAAAGGCAAAAAAAAAAGAGTTTTCTTTTTCACTAGTTATATTAACTCATATTAACAAATTTCCTAGTATAGTTTGAGAAGTCTTAGCCTACACCTTTTTTACCCAGTTACCGAACCATAAGTTTTTAATCTTTAAGTTTTTTTTTCTTTTCATCTATGATAAATGAAAGGCAGTATAACACAGTGATTAAGAACTTGGCTCCAGAGTGAGACCAACATGGGTTCAAATTCTAAAACTGGTGCTTAATTCTTTAATGGTCCTGGGTACGTTACCTTACTTAAATCCTTCATTTGTAAAATAGGCATAATAGAAACAGCTCACAGAGGCCTGGGAAAAATTAAATAGACAATGCCTGGCACATGGTAAATACTTGGGAACAAGAACCCCAAGAGCCTAAGAATCCCCTAAAATTAGCTATAACACTTTATGTGTATGTGTGTAAATATATACACATATATGTACTTTTTTGGAAAGACAGTTCATAGTTTTAATTTGATTTTTAATGAAGTGTTTGGCCCCAAAAGTTAAGAAGTACTATTCACTTTAAAGAAAAGAGAATATGGCTTTATGGCAAAGCCAATCATGGAAACTGTGACTCAACTATGTATTAAGGGCAAATAACATACAAGTAAAAAGGAAAAAATGCTATTTAATTGTACGGAGGAACAAGCTGTTTTTGTAAAAAAGTCACTTTTATTAACACTGAAGAGCTATACAGAGGACAAATATTCGTACTTGGTTGAAATGAACTCTGCTAAATGGTGAGTAAATTTTCAAGTCTGGCCCTCTACCTCTCTGCCTGTTTATTAGGGTAAAATGTCCTTCCCCAAAGCTGACTGGCCTTTGCATTGGCCCTTGCAATAGAAAAACATCACTTCTGGCTATGAGATCTCAGGCAGAGCTACTTAATGTCTCTGAGCCTTGGCTCCCTTATTTGGAAAATAGTTATACCACCTACTAACCCACAGAAAAAAATTAACGTAGGAAAATATAGCCCACAGTGCCTAATGGGTACCTAACATAGAGTAGTCAATAAATGTTGAATAAATTAATTCCTTAGTTTGGCATTCAAGGCCCTCCTAATCTTTCCCAATTCTTCCCTACCATCTTCCCAACTATCCTTCATGCCTCTGTGTTGCTCTCCTGAAATTTTCCTGCATGCTGACACCAATGAGTTTTTTCTAAAACACAAACCTGGCACCCTTCTCCTGTTTATAAACCCTACAGTCACTCCCCATAGCATACCAGTTGAAGTCCTAGGGTTTTAGCATGAAACCAGGCCTTCTGTGATCTGGTTCCCTCCCCTATCCTATTGCTGGTCCTGTACTCTCATTTTACATCCCAATGAAATGGAACTTGTGTAGTTCCCCAAACACTCAGTACTGTGCATGCTTCCCTGCCTTTCTCCATGCTTTTCTGCATCTCTGACATGCATTCCCCTTGTCTACTCATCCTTCAGACAATGCTTCCCTGATCCCCTACCTTCCCCGGCCCACTGGCCACTCCCCTTTTGTTCTGTTTTTGTTTCTCATTCATATTTCTCATATTATGAGTCATGCTAATCACAAGTACATCTGTTTCTCTTATCTGACACTGGTGTCAGAGAGCATACCTTTTGCCACCTCTTAACATGGCATATAGCTAGTACCTTAATATCCAAGCCTTGAATTAGAACACAAACCTTTTTAAAATCTCTCCTCCAGTCACCTTGTTATAATCACCATCTCCAAAATGCATTCCAATCCTCACAGATTCTACCACCTTTCTCTTTGTCAATCCAAATTCTATCTACCTTTTAATACCTAATCAAAATCCTTCCTCCTTGAAGCCTTCCCTGACAAAGCAGCCCATAATGAAGTGTCCCCATATTGGGACCCTGAAGTCCATATAGTCTTTACAGTATAGTAGAGTGGTTATGAGCACAAACCACGAAGGTTAATTTCCTGGCTTTAAATCCCAGCTTTGTCCCTTAATACCTACATAACCTGGAGCAAGCCTCAAACTCTGTGTTTCAGTTTCTTCATCCATAAAGTTGTAATCATAACAGCCTCACCTCATAGGCTTGTAGTTAAGATTGAATGAGTTATAGCAAATAAAGCACTTACTAAGTGCTCAATATCTGTTAACTGTCAGGATAGTATTACTCATTTGGTAGTTAATCAACTTACCTTTTGACATCTTTGTGGTGCTGAACTATTCCATATAGTCTATATTTCACTTAACTTTTCATATATTTGTATCTAGATTCCCTGGCTAGACAAGTTGTTTAAAGGAAATTAATGTCACACAGGTTTTTAAGAAAAAAGTGTGATATGCCTTGTCAAATGCTGTGGAGAGATTAAAAAGTGTGATACTAAAACAACTCCACTCATTCAGTGAATGCAAATAAGGAACTATGGAGACATAATTGGTTTTAAGTTTTATTTTTTAAATATTTTTCAAATGAGTAGTTCCAACAAATACCATATCTCAGATTAGTTCCCTAGATGATATGAATACAGGGTCTGGCAGAAGTAATGCCTGCTTGAGTGTGGTTGGTAGGATAATAATATGGGTGTAATAATTTATAGTTTTAATTTGAACATTTCTCCTAAAATGTTGTATGGTGTGCTTGAGTGTGATATTGTTATGTTACAGAATTACATGCTTATGATTTTGTAATAAACAAGAAGCATTATTTGTGCCAGACCCTCTATGTTAGTTAATGTGAAAACATTTTAATGCTATCCTAAGCAAAATACAGAAGAACAGACACATACTTGGGAGGATTATATGTGAATCTGAACCTAATAATAATCAACTTATGACAAAATAATGGATTTTTAAAGTATCTATTTCCACTAACCAAATGGGATAGAGAACTGAGTTTGCCATTTTGCCATTTTTAATCAATTTAATTAGTAAAAATATTAAATTAGTTCAAAATTTAACTTCCAGCTAAAGTTAAGTATATCACAACAAACTTATGCTTTTGAATTCCCTTTACTTTATGCCAATGACAACAAAATAAAAGCCAAATTCTTACCTTTCCTTCCTCAAGGTGAAGCAATAGGACTTTATCTCCAGGCTTATAATCTTTGAGTAGCTCTGCTGACTTCCAAACTTCCTCAGGATCTGGTATCCAAACCCTGGCAAACTAGAAAACAAAAAGAAAAAAAAAATTTAAACTGGAAAATCAATTACTTTATAGTGATATATAAAACATATGGATTTATTTATAATTAAATAATTTCTGAAAAAATAACTCTTGGCCAATATGAAATTTAAGTTTTAAATTACTAGAAAAAAGTATTTTAGCTCCAGTAATACCATCATGTCCACATAATGTGAGAAGTATGCTCTGTATTGCAGTAATAATTTCACAATATATGTTAAGTCAAATCACTGCCCTATGTCCCTTATACAGGGCTGTAAGTCAACTATATCTCAATAAAACTTAGAAAAAAAAACTATGCTCTGAAAAGACAGCTATAATGAAAGTATGACTTTGCTTTATATAGTAAATGCTACCTGCAAATATAATTTTAGTTTAAAATGTACATATAAATCTATTTTCTCACTAAATGTGGACTTCCAAAACATGATTTTGGATCGCTGGTGTGGTGGCTCTGCCAGCTTCAGCAACACAGTTATCTTTTTATGGCAGGATTTACAATTTGAATTTTTTATTGTGGTTTTCATCCTGTGCTCTGCAAAGCCTTAGTGATTACTCAGGTGCTCCTCGGCAGTTACACTGTGGAGAGGACAGTAAGCTCCTGACCTGGAGCCACGGCAGTTTTACATACTGGGTGTTTGGCATTTTTTGTGAAGGAAGTTCTGTTGAGAGAGACCGCATGCATGTTTGCATGCATTGTTATCTAGTACTTTACCTTCATTATTTTATAAAGATGAGAGAAAATGGTAAAAAAAAAAGGTATATTTGGCCAGCAATATATTTGGCTCTCATGACTTCAATATCATGAAAACAGTATGGTTAAGGGCTCCTGAAGCAGATCTTTAGCCTCCACTAGACACTCTGGACTTATGCCAATTTTGGACTTCAGGTTAATGTTAAAGAAAAAGAACAAAACATATTAACATGAAAGAATCCTCCAGATACTATATTGAAGAGATGTGTCGTGATTTCTTGGATTCCTCAGGAAGGAGTCTCCCTTGAAAACATACGTACACTAATCCCTGATGCTCATTTTCAGGAATATATGAAAATACCACTAACAGCCTTTCTCTATTTTCTTCAGAGCTCTCATTACTACCTGAACTTATTTACTACTTGTTTACTTGTTTATTATTTCTCTTCTGTCATTAGAACGTAAGCTCCACATCTGTATTGTTCAGCATAATATAGAGTACCTGTGTACCTGATACACCGCTGGCACTTAGTATTTGTTGAAAGAATCTCAGAATAAAAGTTATCTCCTTAAACTGCATAAAACAGCATGGTAAAATAAACATACCCATTGCTTTATTGTTCTCTTATGCACACTCATGCACACTCTTTGTCTGAACAGTTTGCAGAGGAAACAGTACTGAGCTAAGTTGCGGGTTCTAATCTCAGAACTGCCATATCGGCCTTGCAGCCTTTGATGTGGGCATCTGTAAAATGGGGGGACAGCAGTGCTCAGCTAGCTTGTCACAAGGGCTCCCATATGGATGCCTTGTGGAAAACACAAACCAACATATAATTGTTATTAAGTGTGTTTTCCCTAAGAAGTGACTGCTAATGTTCGATGTCAAAAATGTTACTGAAATTAGTTTTATAACCCCCTTCCCCCTGTTAAACAGCCCATAAACTGAGTACACATTATTAAATTTTATTCAATAAACATTCTGTGTACCAAGTGCTCTCACACTGAAGTTCACTTTAGGAAGCCAGTATTTCCCTAACTTTCTCTGGAAGGATTTACTGTTTCTAGAAACGACATATGATATATGAGATAAAGAGTCATAAAGTTAGCTACTACCCTTACTGATAAAACGATAGGTAAGCAAAACAGGTTCCATTCAGTTTGTAGAAGGCTCACTGACCAGCTCTAAACATGAGATTTTCCACTTTATCTAGAAAGAAGAGCCTTTGTGTTTTTTGTCAATAGTAAGTTGCAGCTCAGGTTTTCACAACTATTTTGGAAACAGTAATGAGTATATACTTTTCCAAAGGCTTGATTTCCAAAAGCTGGGTGTTAACAACAGATAGTAGAGGGAAGCTAAGGCCCTTGCATTCTCCAGAGGCAATATATATAAACACCAAACATCACCCTGATAACCAGCTTCCCCTTTATCTTAACTGTATTTCTTGGAAAACTATCCAAGCAGAAAGAGGTAAAAAATCAGTCTATTATTACCAGTCTTTTAATGGTTCTTTTCCGCTTTTACTGATTATTGCAGAAACAACCATTCCAGAACTGGGTTACTTTGGGAGGTATAAATACTGTAGTTGCTGAAACCCAGGGGAATCTCCACCGGACAATGCCCTTTCCTGCTGCCTCTGTCACTGCCAACCCTACTTTCCACTCTTCTCCAGAGCACCTATGAGAACACCAACGGCAGCCAGAGGATCAGGACTCAACCTGTCCAGCCACATCTAGTGCCTAAGACTGAAGGAAGGAAGACAAGAAGACAAGGTCCTGAGATCACACAAGAAAGCCAGAAATGGGACGTGGCAGCAAAAGTCAGACAGGTATGAGAAATAGGGGTGGACACATATACCTGGAAGTCTCCTCAGGGGGTTTTTGGTGAAACAAAAACAGCTAGATAACCCAGACTGGACACAGCTCCCAGCAAGACAAAGGAGAGTCCAATATCATGTAACTCCCTCTGTCATGTTTAACTGGTAGAGGACGGGGCTTTTCTACAATGCTCCTCGCTCCCTTTTCCATTCATACTACTCTAGTTTCTTTTTTTTAAAGTATATTTTATTGATTATGCTATTACAGTTGTCACATTTTTTTCTCCGCTTTATCTCCCCTTTATCTCCCTCCACCCTGTATACCTCTTTCCACAAGCATTCCCCCACCCCTTAGTTCATGTCCATTGGTCGTACATGAAAGTTCTTCGGCTTCTCCATTTCCTATATTATTCTTAACCTCCCCTTGTCCATTTTGTACCTACCAATTATGCTTCTTATTCCCTGTACCTTTTCCCCCATTCTTCCCACTCCTCCTCCCCCCTGAACACCCTCCATGTGATTTCCATTTCTGTGATTCTGTTCCTGTTCTAGCTGTTTCTTTTTGTTTCTTTCTTTTCTTTTTTTTTTTTAGGTTCAGTTGTTGATAGTTGTGAATTTGTTGTCATTTCACTGTTCATAGTTTTTATCTTCTTTTTCTTAGATAAGTCCTTTTAACATTTCATATACTAAGGGCTTGGTGACAATGAACTCCTTTAACTTGACCTTCTCTGGGAAACACTTTATCTGCCCTTCCATTCTAAGTAATAGTTTTGCTGGATTGAGTGATCTTAGATATAGGTCCTTGCCTTGCAAGAGTTTGAATACTTCTTTCCAGACTCTTCTTGCCTGCAAGGTTTCTTTTAAGAAATCAGCTCATAGTCTTATGGGAACTTCTTTGTAGGTAACTGTCTCCTTTTCTCTTGCTGCTTTCAAGATTCTCTCCTTATTTTTAATGTTGGGTAATGTACTTTCAATGTGTCTTGGTGTGTGCTTCCTTGGGTCGAACTTCTTTGGGACTCTCTGAGCTTCGTGGACTTCCTGGAAGTCTATTTCCTTGGCCAGATTGGGGAAGTTCTCCTTCATTATTTTTTCAAATACGTTTTCAATTTCTTGCTCTTCCTCATCTCCTTCTGGCACCCCTATGATTCGGACATTGGAACATTTAAAGTTGTCCCAGAGGTTCTTAAGCCTATCCTCATTTTTTTGCATTCTTGTTTCTTCATTTAGTTCCAGTTGAATTTTTATTTCTTCCTTCTGCTCCTAATCATCGATTTGAGTGCTGGTTCCCTTCCCTTCACTGTTGGTTCCCTGTGTATTTTTCTTTATTTTGCTTTGCATAGCTTTCATTTTTTCCTCTATTTTGTGACCATACTCAACCATTTCTGTGAGCATCCTGATTACCAGTGTTTTGAATTGTCATCTGATAGGTTGGCCATCTTCATTGCTTAGTTGTATTTCTGGAGTTTTGATCTGTTCTTTCATTTGGGCCATATTTCTTGGCCTGTGACATTGGAAGGGGCAGGGCCTTAGGTATTCACCAAGGTGGGGCTACCCACATGGCTGCAATGTGGCACTGTCTGTGGGGGAGGGGTCAGAGAGGGAACAAAGCTGCTTGCTCAGTTCTCGGACAGCTTTCAGTTACTTCCCCCTCTACCCACAAGCAAATTGGGCCCTACTGGTGCTGATTCCCAGGTGGGTGGGTTTGTGTACGTTCTAGGACCCTGTGGGTCTCTCCAACAAACTGTCCTGTGAGGCTGGGAGTTTCTCCTGCTGCTGCAACCCCCACAGGCTTTTATAGCCAGAGGTTTTGAGGCTCGGTCTTACCAGCTCTGGAACCCTGGATTGCCTGGTCCATCTCAAATGCTCCCCTGTTGTTCCTCCCAGTTTATCCGCAGGAAGGTGTGGGACTGCCAGCCGCTGCCTTGCCCACCTGGTCCTCCAGCTGTCACCTTGCCACGTGTCCTCTCTGCTCTGGTCGCCCATCTCTGCCTCTCTTACCAGTCTGGATGAATGTTTCTTTTTCAATTCTGTGGTTGTCAGACTTCCATACCATTCAATTTTCTGGAAGTTCTGGTTGTTTTTTGCTTTTATATGTGTTGTTGTCTTTCTTCTGGTTCTGTGAGGAGGCAACGTGTATCTACCTATGCTTCCATCTTGGCTGGAAGTCCCCATATTTCTCTAGCTTTGTCCCTCATTATCTTGTAAACCCCTCAAATATCTCACTCATGATACCTCAGACCTTATTTTGGTTATTTACAGACCTCTCTGCCTCTCACACTGGACTATATATCCTTAAGCCACCTATGAATCCCTTCTAAGGTTGGCTATGTTCTTTGCCCACAGTTGGTGGACAATACATTTATGTTGATTTTATTTATGACAGAGGTAGGGTAAGGGAAGGAAAAAAGACGGGAGAACCGGGATGAAAGGTAGGAAAGACAAACTTCGCAGGCCTACTTCAGGATTTTTCCTGA